TATCCCAACTACGTAGATCGATGCTCATGCTGGTGATCACTGGATTGTCTGGTCCAGACTCAATAATTTATAGACTGCCGCCACATAGCTGGAATATTGCTGAGTGCGGCGTTAAACAACCAACAAACCAACTTGAGTGAAGGACAAATACGCTCGAAATACAATCATCGTTTCGAAAGACAGGTTTGTAATTGTTAAAACTGATTTACATCCGGCAGTGATGTATTTTCAACATCAGTTTGGCATTTGCAATTAGCCGTTGATGCGAAAGAAGTTACCAATGAGTCCATTTCTTTACTCGTCAAGATTTTGGAAATGCGTCTTCTGAAGGAGCTGTGCTTTACTGGAAAACGACTGACGCTTTTGTTCAGAGAAATCCAACACTACTTAAAAACACCCCATACACTAAACTCCCTTTTAATAACAAAGTTTGGTTGGGGTATGTGAATGTATGTGTGAATATATATATGTGTGCGTGAGCGTGTGCGTGCGTATCAATTGAGGTCATTTTCAAGATGCAACAAGCTTTCTCTGCAATACCTTATCTGTAAGAATTGTTAATGGTTGTGTATTACTTGATTGTGCCGCCATCGGCAATATTCCAACTGTATAACAGCGGTCTCGAAATTATCTACCCTGAACCAGCCAATCCAGTGATTTCTGTATGGGCATCGATCGAAGTTATAGTGTCAAGATTAATCCCAAATCCGCTCTGTCTGTAGGTTCCCCCTGAACTTTAACTAAACTCCAAAGTCAAAAGTTCACAACAATCGTCTCCTCAATAGCTATCGAAGTACAATCCCATTGACAAAGTTTATAAATAACAACTTCTTTTATTTCGTGAGTGCGGCGTTTCGATACCGATTCTTGACAACCCAGCTTAACAACGGTACAAGAATCTGTAAAGTTTGTCAATATTGTACCACAACTTCTAAAACGTCACTCAAAGAAGTTACAATCACGTGCATCCTTAAAATCGTTGAGAAACAGGAAACAGCCGCATTTTCTCCCAGTTACTGAATTCTGCGAGTGTTTCACTTTCATTCATGTCTGGTACTGGCATGGCGTTGGCATAGTAACCTTTGAAACACCGACCAACACGTGGGTCATTGTAGGCGTGGGTGTGTTTGGCTTTCACAGGTATAATTACGTCTGTGTCCACAGAGCTGCACTGTATTGAATACAGTACCGAGTACATATCCTGTACGTATCAACGACTTGTAGGAATAACATGAAACTACATGCATTGAGATCGGATTGACACTATGTGCAGTGCTTCCAACCCCATGAGAAAAGAAGCCTTGAGATGCCGGAGTCCAAAGGCCGCCCTCCCCGACCGTGTCCTGAAGACCCCCCAGAAGCCAGAGTGAGTGAGTGAGTGAGTGAGTGAGTGAGTGAGTGAGTGAGGTTTAGTTTTACGCCGCTTTTAGCAATATTCCAGCAATATCACGGCGGGGGGGACACCAAAAATGGGCTTTACACATTGCACCCATGTGGCGAATCGAACGCGGGTCTTCAGCGTAACGAGCGAACGCTTTAACCACTAGGCTACCTCACTGCCCTAAATGGGGTGGAGATGTTCCTCAACCGCAAAGAAGGTCCGGACGTTGCTTATAAATTTTATATTATCAATCACAAGTTTGTCTGGTCTAACTCGGATATTTACAGCCTCCGTGATATGGTTTTAATACTGCTGAATGAGGTGTCAAATAAACAAACAGTTTGACACTGTTTGACATGATCACAATACATTCCGCCATGAAAATGAAACCTTGCTGACTGGCGTAAAATCAGCGCCTTGATGCTATTTTCCCAACAAGTGCCCTCAGGTCGTGACAAATAAACAACTTATCGCGTAACATACTCTGTTTGTACACTGTTTAAATCCTATCATCACTGCCTGTGGTTGAATATATTTATTCTTAAACTCATACAAACAAATTAAAGAGGAAGACTTTTAAAAACCTGGTAAATATTGCCAACAACGCATTAACACGGAATCTATACAAACTTTGCTATTGAAACAACGCCAATATGTCTCGGTATCCTCAGTAAGCCTGCGTGGTATTGTATGTTTAAACTTCAACAGCACCGTGTCCTAAGCCGGATTTCATTCAGAACAGCGTGGTCTGACGTATATTGTTCTAAGCCAAACGAACACACTTGAATTTTCAATTTCTACCACATGGAATTTTTCCAAGTATAACATAAGCGAGTAGGAACACATTATCTCGGCCGTACGCATGTTTGCCATATGGATATTCATAACTTTCTCATAATGTGCGTTAACTCAGAAAAATGAAACTTTAAATTAATTGAATATGTAAACAAACATTCAATTGTTCTCTGCTACCTCAATAACACCTTAGTATTGAGGTTCAAGTCGACGTGTCGAATTAAATTAAATGGACGCAATTTGATATTTAAAGTTTCATAGATTTAATTTATATATATCGTCAAAACGGGATTCTCAGGTTTAGTGTCCATTTCCTGGCAAAGGGTAGGCGCTTTTCCTGTTTGAACTCGACACATGGATGGATTTACTCAGTAAACCATATTTTCAAGGAAAATATTGTTCTTGGACGATTGGAAGCAACTGACAATTAAGCCAGGAGTGTAAATGCATAAGTTATACAAATGTATATCACTATTTAACGAAAGCAATTTAATAGACGGATATTTTTTTCATTTAAATTTAGAATTTTAAAATTTAATCATTTTAAATCCATATTCTGAAACTATAACTGACCCTTTTACCTCCTTGAGTATTTTTGTCCAACTGAAATGTATAGGCGTCTTTGTAAACAAACCCATCTGTGCACTTATAGTTAGTGTACGGAACTCGGAACACTTAATACTATTTGCCACACGACCTGTAACATGTCATAATGTTGAACAGGCGCGTTCGAAAAATATACGATATGTACTGCACAATGCACAGGGAGAATATAACAGTGTTATAACGGGGAATTGATTGTTTTAGCCTCTTGATATATATTCTTGCTATATAATTACAGTTTGGGTTGGGTACTGTCTGTGCCTGAAAACGTTTCTGGGAACGTTGGTAATCATTGCATAGGAAACTAATGTTTGTGGAATTAAGCCTGGATTGATTACATAATTTCTCTCAAGTTGTCGTACGTGCTTTTCTGGTAATAACTATATGTACATATATATGATTAAGTTGTACAGGTGAATTTTCTTCTTCAGATATTTTGTACCTTCTCACGCTTGTTCTCATAGATATGACGGTATTTTGTACCTTCTCACGCTTGCCTCATAGATATGACGATATTTTGTACCTTCTCACGCTTGTCTCATAGATATGACGATATTTTGTACCTTCTCACGCTTGTCTCATAGATATGACGATATTTTGACCTTCTCACGCTTGTCTCATAGATATGACGATATTTTGTACCTTCTCACGCTTGTCTCATAGATATGACGATATTTTGTACCTTCTCACGCTTGTCTAATAGATATGACGATATTTTGTACCTTCTCACGCTTGTCTCATAGATATGACGATATTTTGTACCTTCTCACGCTTGTCTCATAGATATGACGATATTTTGACCTTCTCACGCTTGTCTCATAGATATGACGATATTTTGTACCTTCTCACGCTTGTCTCATAGATATGACGATATTTTGTACCTTCTCACGCTTGTCTCATAGATATGACGATATTTTGTACCTTCTCACGCTTGTCTAATAGATATGACGATATTTTGTACCTTCTCACGCTTGTCCTATAGATATGACGATATTTTGTACCTTCTCACGCTTGTCTCATAGATATGACGATATTTTGACCTTCTCACGCTTGTCTCATAGATATGACGATATTTTGTACCTTCTCACGCTTGTCTAATAGATATGACGATATTTTGTACCTTCTCACGCTTGTCTCATAGATATGACGATATTTTGTACCTTCTCACGCTTGTCTAATAGATATGACGATATTTTGTACCTTCTCACGCTTGTCTCATAGATATGACGATATTTTGTACCTTCTCACGCTTGTCTCATAGATATGACGATATTTTGACCTTCTCACGCTTGTCTCACAGATATGACGATATTTTGTACCTTCTCACGCTTGTCTCATAGATATGACGATATTTTGTACCTTCTCACGCTTGTCTCATAGATATGACGATATTTTGTACCTTCTCACGCTTGTCTAATAGATATGACGATATTTTGTACCTTCTCACGCTTGTCTCATAGATATGACGATATTTTGTACCTTCTCACGCTTGTCTCATAGATATGACGATATTTTGTACCTTCTCACGCTTGTCTCATAGATATGACGATATTTTGTACCTTCTCACGCTTGTCTCATAGATATGACGATATGTTGTACCTTCTCACGCTTGTCTCGAAGATATAACGATATTTTGTACCTTCCCACGCTTGTCTCATAGATATGACGATATTTTGTACCTTCTCACGCTTGTCTCAACGATATAACGATATTTTGTACCTTCTCACGCTTGTCACATAGATATGACGATATTTTGTACCTTCTCACGCTTGTATCATAGATATGACGATATTTTGCACCTTCTTACGCTTGTCTCATAGATATGACGATATTTTGTACCTTCCTTTTAACGCTTGTCTCATAGATATGACGATATTTTGTACCTTCTCACGCTTGTCTCATAGATATAACGATATTTTGTACCTTCTCACGCTTGTCTCATAGATATGACGATATTTTGTAAATTTCTTAAATATTTACGATCTTAACCGTTGCAACAGAAACACAATACTTCAACATAGCCTGTTATCACACAATTTCTTACCCTGATTCTTCAAGTACATAATTCAGATAAAACACAAACATCAGTAAAACTGTATAATTCAAAAGATAACAACTTTTAAGTTTTAAAATGAATATATAACACATGTGCATTAAATACGAAAATGGCACGATGATTTCAACAAAGTTCGAATCAGTCACAAGCGTAGTTGTCACTTACCATTTAGTCTGTCTGCTCCCACTGCATATGAAAAGCGCTTGCGAGGCTAACAGCCACCTTGCCTATTGCTAAGCTGTGAGCTTGGCGGTTGAAGACCAAACTGCCCGACTCAACTGCATCCTGCTACAGCGGAGTTAGAGTAGGTTGAGACTGCAGATGCCCTATTGGCGGTTGAATCAGCCGAGGAGGTAGCCAGGCGGTTTAAACAGTTAAACAAACTTTTTATCAAGTTTAAATAAAAAAAATTCAAGGCTGAAAGAGAACCGTTTTTTCGGGCAACTGTTTCTCATAAGCAGGGATGGAGGTCCGAACTTTAATTATCTTTCTCAACAAACAAAAGAGATTGAAACAGTTGAGGCAGTAATCAAGCTGTCGAAATAGTTAAAACAAATCTTTTATCAAGTTTAAATAATTATTTTTCAGTAAGGCTGCACTAGAACAGTTTTTCGAGCAAATGTTTCTCAGAAGCAAGGAGGGACGTGGGACCCTTAATTATTTTCTCTTCAAACCAAAGTGATTGAATCAGTTGGGGCAGAAGCCAGGAGGTTTAAACAGGTTAAATTTTTATCAAGTTTAAGTAATTTTTACAGTTCATGAATGACAAACATTTCTTTTCAATAAGGCTGCTCAAAAGCTGTTTCCAGGGCAAATGTTTCTAAGAAGCAAGGAGGGAGATCGGACATTTAATTATTTTTCTCAAACCGAAGTGATGAGGAGCATCTATCAAGCAAGCCTACAAACATGCACTGCTGGACACTCAACGAAGCCTTCATACAACGTCAGTTTATAAGCAGGAACATAAGGGTCAGCTTCACTGGACAAGGTGAATTCACCCACCCATCCACCCACCCACCCACACGCACGCACGCACGCACGCACACACACACAAAAGCAGTAACCCATGCTTGTCGTAAGAGGCGACTAACGGGATCGGGTGGTCAGACTCGATGACTTTGTTGACACATGCCATCGTATCCCAAATGCGAAGATCGATGCTCATGCTGTTGATCACTGGATTGTGTAATGCGTGTGTGGCGTTAAAAACCACCAACCAAACAACCATAATGTGAAGAGCGAAAGCATGAATCATTGGAGTATCTCACACTCTCTCAATGGCCACATCGAGATGCAACCGTCACATTAGAGTAGGATATTACTGACTAAAGCAGCTCCCCCCGCCACCCCCTTTACCCCCACGCTCCCGGGTTAGAACTGGCATCCATGTCATAAAACATACTTGTCCTATAGGGCGAATGAGGGGATCGGGTGGTCAGGTTATTATACATACTTTATCACATGTCTGCGAAAGACTACAGGATCCCAGCATCCCCAGCTTGTCGTGAACGGTGGCACAATGGTTCGGGTTCTCAGTCTTCGTAACCATTCGTCACCACTCGCCCCTTTCCGTAACCTCCAAGAAGACGCTATTCGGCTTGTCCCGGAATAACACGAGTTGGTCACGAATGTCTTCGTAACTTGGTCGTGGCCGTCGTATACCGCAGATTGGTACCCATGATGTCATTCAATGGATTGTCTGGTTCAGAAAGCCGCATATATAGATGGCAGGACGACGGGGTAGCCTAGTGGTTAAATCGTTCTCTCGCCACACCGAAGACCAGGGTTCGATTCCCCACATGCGTACACTAAATGAAGCACATTTCCCGTCTCCCCGACGTGAAATTGCGTGAATGTTACTAATAGCGGTGTAAAACTAAACTCACTCACTCATCTGGATGGGATATTGCTGAGTGCGACGTTAGAAAACAGACAATCTCCAGTAACCAAGGCGTGGCGAAATAGCCTAACTCCCCTTTGAAGGGTACCTCAATGGTTACAACTAGACTAACGCCCGGCCCGGCGCTTATTAGAGGGTAAACGGTTTGTAAAATTTAAGACGGCATACCATGCAATTAAGATTTGTACTTGCTGTATGTTTATCCAGGGAGTATTCTGGGAGATCTCTTGCCAGTTGACCCTAGGCTGATTTCAGGCATCCTGTGACACCCAAGGTCCACTGTTAATTGTCTCCAAGGAACTGATGAGGTTATCGCTAACAAAAGTGTCAAGACAATCGGGCGGAGATGCAGTCTTTGCCTGTCTCACAGTCCCTGAACCGCATTAGTTTTCCTTCGCCCAGCCCTCTCTGCAGTGCTAAAGCTCTAAATGAAGCAAGTCTAGATATCCTCAGGTTCCATCTAGCTGGCGCTCCTTTTCAAGTGATAAGAAATTACTTGTTTCTATAAAAACTATACATGTTTAGAATCTAAGCGTTAGACTAGCAGTCCTAGTCTGTCTCACAGTCCCTGAACCACATTATTTTCCCTACTGCCAAGCCCTAAATGAAGCAAGTCTAGATTTCCTCAGGTTCAGAATCTCTGAATCTCTGGTCCTTCTAGGGCTCTAGAGAATAAACATTAGTCTATAGCATTCCGTACGAGGCTCCGGACAGGCTACCTCTTACCATTCAAGAAACAGATACCTGATGAAGGCGGCCAGTCGTCCACTCACGTCCACGTGTATATCAGTGCGACAGGGTTGTGCTTCCAATTGCTGAATTTCTGAAAAACTACTCCGAAACGCTCAGGGTCAACACATCAGTGGAGGATAACCCACAGAGGGTTTGCCGCTCGGGGCAGACCAGTTGAGTTTATTGGTTAGGGATTTGCTTTGGCAGTGCACAGAAGTTTATATCTAACAAATATTTAAAAAAAAGAAAATAAAGTTTACAGTACTAGGCAGAGAAACCCTGGGTAAGCACAAAACACTAGACCAAGTGTTTCGAAGCTCTCCTAGCGCCAGGATAGTCGTAAGTTGCACTTGTACGACTATCTTAGCGCTGAAGACAGCTTCGAAAATCTTACTTAGAGTGAGTGCGCGAGTTTTACACCGCTTTTAGCAATATTCCAGCAATACCACAATGGGGGACAGCAGAAATGGGCTTGACCAAGTGGTTAAAGCGTTCTTTCGTCACACCGAAGACCCGGGTTCGATTCTCCACATGGGTACAATGTGTGGAGCCCATTTCTGTGGTGCTGGGATATTGCTGAAATCGGCGTAAAACCACACTCACTCCCTTTCACTAGGTCTGTCAGTGGGTAGAGGGGTGGCCTCTCTTCTTCATGTACACTGGTGGGGACAGCACACGGACTGTGATCAATGAAAATACGTCTGTTTTTTGTTAAATGCACACTCACCATATGACGGTGGCCGGTTTCTTTTGTTTGTTTTTTTAACGCCATGCTCATTAACTTGACTGTGATCTGTAAACAACCTTGCCTGCACCAGACAATCCAGTGAATGACATCATGAACATCGATCTACGCAAAGGGATACGATAACATGCAACAGCCTAGTTAGTCTGTCATACAGACCCTGAAGTAAATATTTCCAAGAAAGCCCACGCAAGTTTAGAAAATGTGGCAAGTCTAGATTTCCTTAGCTTCTGAAAATGAAGAAAGTCTCAGGGCTCCTTTTCATTATACATGATGTATTTTATTTATTTTTACTATGAATTCTTTTTCAGTAAAAGATGTTCATTTTAGAGACTAGTTGTTAGTCTACAGCCTAGTCTGCTTGCCTTACTACCCGATCCGGGGCGGTGGAGGTGGCCTAGTGAATCAAGCGTTCAGTCGTCACGCAGAAGACCCGGGTTCTATTCCCCACATGGGTACAATGTGTCAAGCCCATTTCTGGTGTCCCCCCGCCGTGATATTGTTGGAATATTGCTAAACGCGGCGTAAAACTATAAGTCGAAATACAAAAAGTCAGATTGTTTGCTCGAATGCTTCCTCACTCGTACCGATTACATAGAAGCCTCGACGCTGATTGGCTGATAAGAAAGTTCATAACTCAGAGAAAAATCGTACTGGTGTAAAACTCTTTTACTTGGTTGTAGTGGTGTGACGATTCATCGATACACATCGATACATCGATCCATGGGCCGTCGATACAGTGAATCGATACACAGTTTTACATTGTCGTATATCCCGATACGATACTTCAAATGTGCAACGATACATCGATGTTTCACTTTGAATATTGCCGAATCGCGATAACTGTCAAGAAAAAAGACTCACTTTTGTTTGATGATTAAAATATTTGCTTACTTATTTTCCCTTCATAAGTAAATATTTTCTCGGAAATTCTTGCGTCAAGAACTGTGTCAGACATAGCGCTCACATGTTATTATCATTCACAAAGTCCGTGTATATAAACTTGATTATCTCGTTTCCGAATGAACATTGAAAAAACGCTGGCGGAATTTGACGAAATACTTTAAATGGTTTTGTTTTGATATTCGGGTGTTTTATAGTTGGTGTTAGAATTAAATATTTTAGTATCGTGATGCGTATCGTATCGTCACCATTATATCGGGATTCGTATCGTATCGCAGCTTCAGTGCACGATACTTTGGCAATACATCGTCGTGACTAAAAGTTTAGCATCGTGATGCATCGTATCGCAGGTTGTATGCCAATACCAGCACTACTTGTTTGGTTGGTTGGTTGTTTAACGCCACACTCAGCAATATTCAACCTATATGGCGTCAGTCTGTAAATAATCGGGTCTGGACCAGACAATCCAGTGATCAACAACATCAGCATTGTTCTACGCAACTTGGATACGATGACACGTGTCAACCAAGTCAGCGAGCCTGACCACCCGATCCCGTTAGTCGCCTGTTACAAGCACGGGTTGATGAGGCCAGTTCTAACCCGAATCTTCACGTGTTCATCTTATACTAATGGCATGGCCTTCAGCATCGACTCGTACATCATTTCTGTGTATAGGTATTATATATACACACTGACCAGGAAACCTTATAGTATTCAAATGTTATGAGAAAACGTAACTAATCTCATTAGAGGCGTGGTTCGTATCTGAATATCTTGCCATATACCCAGAAATACGATAAGTTCAGGACTTCCGTGTATTTCGAGGATTTTACTGTATATCGGTATGGGCCACATGTTGAAAAGAGATTGTATCGTGGATTTCGTACACAGAACATCCTTGGAGGCATACCATATACAGAGCAAAGGTCTTTAATCGACAAATGCTTACTCAAAAACATTCCCACAAGAGAGCTGAAAATAATTAATATATATCGTATACATTTATAGTATACATACTTATTTGTAACGTACATGATGTTTCAGGGGCGGATACAGCTTTTTGAGAAAGGGGTGTGTGTGTGCACACTATTGAGAAAAGGAGGGGTGCACACTCAATTTTCACCTGAGTTTCAATGGTCATTTAACAAACTTTCAGCACAAAAGGGGGTGGGGTGGGGTGCGCACCCTGCAACACCCATCCCCCCTATGTTTGTTTTATTTGTTGTTTTACGCCGCACTCAGCAATATTCCAGATACATGGCCGAGGGCTGAAAATAATCAAGTCTGGACCAGACAATCCAGTGATTGACATCATAAGTATTGACATCTACGCAATTGGGGCACGATGACATGAGTCAACTAAGTCAGCAAGCCTGACCACCCGACCTGTCAGTCGCCTCATACGACAAGCATGGATTTCTGACGACCATTTCTAACCCGGATGTACACGAGTCCGTACATAATGGGTTGTAGTTATGGTCGCTACAAATGCACCACAAGAACATCTCTGTAGAGTTTTGCGTAGTTGAACAGATGGGCCAGTTCCCCTCTTACACTCCATTCGTAGTAAGAAGTGAGTATGGTTGTACGCCGATTTGAACAAAGTTGGAGAAATAACCCGGCGGTGACACAGGAAATGGGCTGCACATATTGTACCCACGTGTGACTACAGACCTGGGTGCCGTTCCACTAACCGATCTTAGCCCTATGCCAATCGTAAACCCCTAAAATCCCAATCTTAGCGTGACGTTACGATCGGCATACCGTTCCACTAACCAATCTTACCTAAGTCAATCGTAAAGTTAAGATTCAAAGTCTAAGTTGCTCATGACCAACTTAGGATAGCTAAAATCAATCGTAGAGAAACCAAAATGGTGGCTTTCCTATTCTATGTGAAAAATAAGAGCGAGCATTTCACCGTGAGCGTCCCCTAAAGTCCCCCATGAAATGAATTTCATGTCATAAACATAGTAGATGTGATATTGGTATCTTCATCATGATATCCGGAAGTAGGCCATATTTAAAGCTAGCGAAGTCTCGCTGTGCGAGATCTCGCGAGGCAAATTACCCATAAACCCTTCTTCATCATGGCCTCAATGTAGATAGACACGTGAGCCGGCCATTCCGTAAGTTTTGATCGTTTTCACTTGCATAGATTGGTATGAATAACTTTTCTTCCATCAAAGGGTCCATACAGGACCTAGATGGTATACCTAAGCAGAAAAATGTGCCCGTAGAGGCGCATACATCTGCAACCGATGATATGTCGAAAAACCACGTGGATGGTTTGGGCAAGTCCCATCAACCCCAACCATCGGGGTCGGGCAACAAGCGAGACTTGGGGTTGGATAGCCACTCTAATCAGCACAAACGTGCTCGAATTTGCGCACGGGTGGCTTCTGCTTCTGACTTTGAGTCAGATTCAGGATCAGAATCTTCCCCCTCGAGCGATGTAAGCTCGGACGAATCTTACGTTGAGTCTGCTACGAATCAACGTGGGGATAAAGGGGTCGTTCCGTCAAAACCGGTAATCAATAAAACAGGAACAATAGAGACTTTCGATGATTACGTCCCCTTCTCGTTAGCTGATGCCAAAGACCCATCAGAATGGTGTCTCCCGCATACTCTCTCTCGACAGACTCAGAGAAATTTCTCTGTCTTCTGCCAGGATTCCAAACTAGAAGAAAATATTCTAGAGGATCTCCCTGTCCCTTCAGAGGAATGTCTTCAGACACCTTCTCTGGATCCATATCTGGACGACCTCTTTGAGGCTAAGGGAAAGTCGTTCGAGAAAAAGTTTGACCAATCCCTTCAATTTATTCAAAAGCGGATTCTGAATTCCATGGGGCCTCTATGTCACCTGTGGCATAACCTTGATAAGATCCGCAGAGGTGAATCCCCCGCCGATTTAGACATCTTTGAGCTGTTGGAATTGGTAGAGAAAACCACCTGTCTTATCGGTCAGGCTAATGTCTCCATGAATTACAACAGAAGGCTAAACATTCTGGCTAAACTTTCTAAGGATGTCAAGAAGGCTAAACGTCTCATTCTCAAGCATGACACAGCTTTGTCAGAGGCTAAGGGCAGACTCTTCGGAGATGCCTTTTATGACGTCATGCTGAAGGAGGTAAAACGTAAGACCAAAGCCAAATTGATATTTGATGCTGAGAGACGTTCAGCTCGCAGACCTACTTTCAGACACCAAGGGCCCAGTCACCCTGATAGACAGCCCTTTCAGAGAATGCCCTCAGGAGGAAGACAATCTACTGGGGGCACATTCCACATCAAGCCCTCCTTCAACAGAGGTTTCAGAGGCAACTCTTCCAGAGGCAGAGGAAGAGCCGGTCAGTCCGGTCGGAATCGCAGACTCTCTTATATCAGGTGGGTCAAATGTCAGCAACGCCTGTTCCCACAATGCTCCTCCTTCCTCAATGCCACATCTACAGGTTATCCCAGCAATTCTAGAGCTAAACCTGGATCTTCTGTTTTACAAGGAATCCCTCATAGGGGGTCGTCTGGTACACTTTTTAAAAAACTGGCAAAAGATCACTTCAGATCCATGGATACTTCAGACAGTTTCGGGTTTCGAGATTCCTCTGTTGTCAAAACCTATTCAGAATCGCGTGTTTCAACCAAAACTAAAGCTCACAAGACAGTTAGCCTTGAGCCAGGAGATCCAATCAATGCTTTGCAAACATGTGATAGAGGTTGTTCCCCAGTCTGCTTCGATGGACTCGGATCAGTTTCTAAGTCCTATGTTCATGGTTCCCAAGAAGGATGGAGGGCAGAGGCCAATCATAAATCTCAAGGCCCTCAATGCTCACATTCCTTACAAACACTTCAAGTTGGAAGGACTACACCTTCTAAGGGACTTGATCCGCAAAGGGGACTACCTTTGCAAGCTGGATCTGAAGGATGCTTACTTCAGCGTCCCAATGGCACCCCACATGAAAAAGCTACTCCGCTTCTCTTGGAAGGGTGTTCTGTATCAGTTCCGATGCATGCCATTTGGACTTGCCCCAGCTCCAAGAGCATTCACAAAACTTCTTCGCCCAGTGGTAAGTTTGGCACGGCGAGCAGGCATCCGCTTGATTATATACCTGGACGATATCTTGTGTATAGCGGAATCGCCGACCCTGCTGAGTCAACACAGGGACACCCTCATCTTTCTCCTCCAGTCCCTAGGCTTTGTCATAAACTGGAAGAAATCAGTTCTGTCACCAACCCAGTCGATCACTTTCCTGGGGTTTCAGATAAACACGGTGGATCGTACTCTGATCTTACCAGAGGAGAAGGTAGAGAACATTGTAGCAACCTGTCGTCACATGATGAGAAAGAAACAGGTAAGGATTCGACAACTGGCAAGTTTGATAGGAAAACTGTCAGCTTCAATGAGAGCAATCTTACCCGCTCAACTGCATTGTCGTTACCTGCAGATGCATTCGAGCAGGGAGCTTTTGCGTTCTCAGAGTTACGAGTCAATGATTACACTGCCTTCGGTTTGTCTGGAGGAACTGAAGTGGTGGATGACCAACCTCACCAATTTCAACGGGAAGCCAATCATGGCAGCTCATCCAGATGTAATTCTCCAGACAGATGCATCAAAAAAGGGATGGGGAGCAATACACGGCCAGAGATCAACAGGAGGCCGCTGGTCAGAGATAGAGCAGAGTATGCACATAAATGTTCTAGAGCTGAAGGCAATTCATCTGGCACTCTTGACCTTTTGCAAGGGGATCAAAGATCAATCTATTTTGGTCCAAGTGGACAATCAGACAGCCATGGCTTATGTGAACCGATTTGGGGGACAAAATCAGTCAGTCTGTTGCAGATCACAAAGCAGATATGGGGTTTCTGTCTCCAGAACCGTCTGTTCTTAACAGCAGTCTATCTGCCAGGGGTAGAGAACATTCATGCGGACTGGGAGTCTCGCCACTTCAACGACTCGAGCGATTGGATGCTCAATCCAATCATCTTTGCTCAATGCAACCAGATACTGGGTCCCTTCTCAATGGACCTTTTTGCATCGAGACTGACTTTCCAAATGAAGCCGTTCTGCAGCTGGAGGCCAGACCCCCTTGCACAATCAACAGATGCGTTTCTAGTGAATTGGAACCAGGGGATTCCTTATGCCTTTCCCCCGTTCTCACTGATAGGCAGGTGTCTGTGGAAGATCCGAAAGGACAAAGCGGAGCTGGTCTTAATAACTCCAGTGTGGCAAGGTCAGTCCTGGTATCCACTCCTCTTGGAGATGGCGGTCACAAAGCCAATCCTCCTCCCACAGATGAGGGATCTGTTAAACTCCCCGCAAAACCTGCCTCATCCACTGATAGAAAACAACACTCTGGTGTTAGCGGCATGGAAGGTTTCAGGCGTAGCATCAAGACCAGAGGAATTTCAGAGGCGACTACACAGCTGCTCTCCTGCCAATGGCGACCCGGCACACAAGGCGCTTACAATGCTTCCTGGAATAGGTGGACTGGCTGGTGCAATCAACGGGGTTTTGATCCCTTTTCAGCCTCTGTGGAGTCTATCTTAGACTTTCTCACTCACTTGTACCACGAGAATAGTCAGTACAGGACCATAAATACAGCTAGATCAGCTTTGTCTGCTTTTCACCCCACTATCGAGGGCTATAATGTGGGTCAGCACCCACTGGTCAGGAAATTAATGTCAGGGATTTTTAATCAGAATCCTCCTCAGCCCAGATACTCAGTGGCCTGGGATGTAGATTTGGTGCTGCAATATTTGAAAAAATTGAAAGATAATATATATTTGTCGGATAAAAACTTGTCTGGGAAGTTGACAATGCTTCTGATGCTAACCTCTGCTAGCAGGTCTTCAGAGTTATCTTCCCTGGATATCAGACACATGGTAGACAGGGGCACTGAAGTAGAATTTACCCTGATTAAACCAACCAAGGTGACTAAGACAGGAACAAAACCTCATCCCTTGAGTTTCAGTGCCTATGAGAAGGACCCTGCACTCTGTGTAGTTCGATGCCTTAGAGTGTACTTAGAACGCACAGAACCTTGGAGAGATGAATGTAGGTCTGGCCTTCTCTTGAGCTATGTGAAACCGCATAAACCGGTTTCATCCCCAAGTATTGCAAGATGGGTGACAAATCTTATGAGCGAGGCGGGTATTGACACTTCACACTACAAAGCTCATTCTGTCAGAGGAGCTAGTGCTTCAAAGGCATTTGCCAAAGGTGCTTCTGTCACAGACATTTTGAAGTTGGGAAACTGGACCAAGGCCTCTACTTTCAGAACCTTCTATCTGAGAAATACTATCAGCAGTGGCAACTGCTTGTCAAAGATACTTGACACTACCGGGCTTTGAACTACCAATATCACATCTACTATGTTTATGACATGAAATTGGAAATTTCACAAGCACACGTAGTGTGTAAAGTGAAATTATAATTTCATTAGTAAACATAGTAGATGTGATATTCCCTACCCTGTCTCCCACCCTGAATTGCCTAGATTGTTTGGCATTTCTCAGAGTTATTGCATTGCTAAGATTTAACTTCATTCCAGGAAACGTTTTGAATTTATGTCAATCTTAATGGATTTTAATATTTTACAGTTTTGGATTGATCTGAGTGATTCAACCAAGTCATAGCTGATAATGCTATGCTCTTTACTTGCAGTTGAGTGCTGTGGGTCTGGACTACAGCGGAGCTGGCCAGGAAGAGGAGGGCGCTCCACTGGATGACTTGTGGCCACTGACCCCATCTAGGGTTTTTTCCGTTTGAAGTTCAAATTCAATAGATCTGTATGATCTGATTAAATGTTTTTCCTTTACTCTGTGTTCTTTTCTAATTTCGTCCCTTATGAAGAAGGGTTTATGGGTAATTTGCCTCGCGAGATCTCGCACAGCGAGACTTCGCTAGCTTTAAATATGGCCTACTTCCGGATATCATGATGAAGATACCAATATCACATCTACTATGTTTACTAATGAAATTATAATTTCACTTTACACACTACGTGTGCTTGTGAAATTTCCAATTACTATAAATATGCATTTATTATTATTATATTATGCTTGATATCCAGCGTTCACACGCACTTGCACCTGAAACCAAGGTGCTCACTACCCTAATGTTTTGCTCTAGGTTTTTTCTCCACGTTTACACTTGGTTGGAAAAATACCCATGAAGGCCCGGGTTAGAATATTGAACTTCAATAACCCATGCCTGTCGTAAGAGGCCACTAACGGGATCGGGTGGTCAGGCTCGCTGACTTGGTTGACACATGTCTTCGGTTCCCATTTGCGCAGATCGATGCTCATGCTGTTGATCATTGGATTGTCTGGTGCAGACTCGATTATTTATAACTAAGATACATAGCGTTCACTAACATGAACGCTCATGTTAGTGAACGCTATGCATCTTAGCTAGATTATTTACAGACCGCCGCCATATAGCTGGACTATTGCTGAGTGCGGCGTAAATCTAAACTCACTTCGTAAACTACTTTCTATCATTTGCTAGACTATGCAAAGGGAGATAACTCGTGCCTCGCATTCCTGTATCTCTTGCACGAAAGAGTCTCGATCTAAGCTTGGATCGGATCGTAAGATCGGGACCGGCTACGATCGGCCTAAGATCGGTTAGTGGAACGGATGTAACTTTTAGCTAAGACGATTGTAAAATTGGCGTAACTTGCTAAGATTGATCTTAGATAAGATCGGTTAGTGGAACGGCACCCAGGGTTTTCTGTGTGAGGCGCGAACGCTTAAACCACCAGGTTACCACGCCGCATGCCCCACAAGGTTGATTGGTTGTTGAGTTTGTTGTATAACGCCGCGCTCAGCAATAATACTGCTATATATATATGGCAGCGGTCTGTCAATAATCGAGTCTGATCAACACCAAGGGCGTAGCTACCATTATAAAAAAGCCCGGGCTTACACATGATTTTTGATTAAAAAAATGTCTAATTATGGCAAAAAATACCCATAAACACGTTATCAGAACAATATATAAATGGTAATCCCTCTATGAATCATATTGACTACAATATTCTTTGATAACAAAGCATTACAAATAGAGTCACCATTTACAGCAAACATGTTATTCTTAATATCATAGATTTGAAAGGTGTCATTCTTTCAGTGATGATTTTTTTCCCATCGACATGTATGTGAATGTTTTGTTACAGTCATGATTATATGTGAATCATAACTGAAATGCAGGTATTTACAATCGTTTAGAAAAAACCAAATACTCGATGCATGGTATTGTATCAGTAAACGTGCGTTAAACAATGTCGAGATGACACTACTTTATGGATTATCAACTTCTTTATTTTAACAATAGCGACGTTTCGGTATAGGTTCTTATACCGTTTTCAAGCACATGGGGCAATGAAGGGGTACACCAGTTTATATACAAGATAAGATAAAGAGGTAACAATAACAATGGTGGGGAAACAAAGCATTGTGGTCGGTATACTTTGTTTCCCCACCAAAACATATTTGCACATGAGAAAGTCACATTTCAATCAAATGCTTAATATTCTGTCTGAAATAATGGTAGACAGCTCTAAGTTAGCCTTATGATTTCAAAATATATATAAGATAACAAGATTTTAAAGTTATTAAATCATGTAACGTCAAACAATAACACTTCAGGTCTCATAAAAAATGAAGGTAGGCGAGCCCTCAATATTATCTAAATTTAAAGCTTTGACAACCTATCGGACTTACACGAAAACAATGGCTTGCTACGCGCCTGAACACAGAGACCATGAACATCAATCAACGCAATTGGGATACGATGGCACGTGTCAACAAAGTCACCCAGCCTGACCACTCAATCCCGGTAGTTGCCTCTTACGACAAGCATTGGTTACTGAAGACCAATTCTTACCCGGATCTCGCCACACAAGGTGCAGGGGCATGAAAGTATGTAACTTGACATGGATTTTCCAATATCAAATTCGCTATTTGCAAAACACTATCATAATTCCTGTGTTCAGCTTTAAACTCAACCAGTTTATGTCATTTTCTGAAAAATATGTGTTGCATGACAGGTATTACTGGTTCTGACCATGCTTGATATTTACATGTGCCGAGAAAAATAAACAAACGTTTAACTTTTAAAGAAAGTCATACGTATCACTCTTCTAATAATATATTTGTCCTGTAAATCGAGCATCTTCACAAACAGAACAAAGACACATTCTAATTGTGAAGGACAAAACCATATACATGTATACCGAAAAATCCTTGGCATCAAAGTTCTGGTACCAGGGATATAGCACATGTTGCATGTTCTGAATGAGTGAGTTTAATTTTACGCCGCTTTTAGCAATATTCCATCAATATTAATATCATGGCGAACGGCACCAGAAATGGGCTTCACACATTATACCCATGTGGGGAATCGAACCCGGGTCTTCAGCGTGACGAGCGAACGCTTTAACCACTAGGCTACCTCACCGCCCCAGTCAGGGCAAGAATGGGAGGGGAGAGGAGAGGGGAGGGAGGGGAAGGGAGGCAAGGGCGAAAGACGCATGAATTGAGAACGTGACCCCAGAGTTCCTAGATCGATACAAAGAATCTTTCCCCCTTCCCCAGTATGTTAAAATCGCTTTGAAGGGGGGCCCGGGTCACTCTCGCTGGTGTTTGGTACTGGTCTTGATATGTTAGCAGATTTACTCGAACTCTCCTCCAGCAAACAAAACTAGAGCCACAGCAACTGTTGTATTTGTTTGTGGGATTTCCTGAGTAAGGGTCGCGGAATATATTTCCCTGTGACGTACGAAGGACGATCATGACAAACTATCAGTGAGCTATTTTGCACTGCCGTGAACGTACATTTCGTCCATACGATCTGAGACCTCTGGAATTAAAGCTATCATCAATTAAGCTATCATCTGTCGTGTTCGAGAAGTAGAGGCCCTCTGGGTCAGGTGGACTCAAGTCGCGAGTGAGTGTAGTTTTACGCCGCTTTTAGCAATATTCCAGCAATATGACGGCGAGTGACACCAGAAATGGGCTTCACACATTGTACCCATGTGGGGAATCGAACCCAGGTCTTCGGCATGATGAGCGAACACTTTAACCACAACGCTACCCCACCGTCCCTTCTAGCTCAGGACACAAGACCCGAGTCAACTTGCATAAATCAATCCGAGCAACCAGTTATTAGTTACTACAGATCTGTAAATTCGCGATCTTAGGCAAAAGAGCACTGCGCATGTCCCTTTCATTTAGGGTGCTGCAATGGCTTTGCGAGTCAATGAATTTGTAGTTTACAGCCAGACCCGGATGTCTCGGGTAAAACATTGGCCTGCGGATAATCAGGTTTGGACCAGACAATCCCGTGATTGATATTGTGATCAATGATCCCCACCACTGAGACAATGACACATCCTCAGTCAGTCACCGATTCATCCACTTCATCCATTAAAATGCTTCTTCTGACCAACGTAGGTTGCCGAAGACAAAAAGTAGTCCAACACACAGAAAAGTAGTCCAACACACAGAAAGGTAGAACTATGGAAAAACCTGCCAACACTTTGCCACAAATGTAAACAAATGTAGTCCCACCTACTGTCCAAGATCTCTACAATCGTTTAGAGGGTCAGGAGGAGCGTGCAGAGGAGTCTGAAAATATGTTGGCAGAAGCTGCGAACTAATTTAATAAAAGAAAAAGAAGAGAAAGCATCTAGTATTGTAGGTTCGTATGGAGAGGAGGAAGAAGAAGAAGAATTGGAAGAGGTTGTAGAGAAACAAAAAGAAAAAGGAGGTATACAATATATTGGAAATATGCTAGAAACTATACAAAAATGGACATACATATCTGTTGCTGCTATGGCTGTATGGAATGTTGCGAAAGTTGTAGTCTGTCTGGGTCACAATGATACCGATGAATCACAATCTAACTCCAAATCGGTTCATGATCAAACATCCATTTCAATGCAGAATGTAATGAAAACATCAGACCAACTCTGAAAAAAAGTTTCATGTTTGTCTCCAAAATAAAAAAGTTACTTAACAAACTATCATCTTGTTTTAAATTTCCGCGTGAAGTTTAAAGTATCGGTAGTACTATTGCAGGAACAGCCTCAAGGGCGGGAAGCACGTGCAGCTTAGGATGTCAACGTTTAGGGTTGTATCAAAACTCTTCCGGACTGGAATCTGAGGAAATTTTCACTTTCACTTCTCTCAGATTATATACTTATGGTGACTGGTTGAATGGCGGCATAATCTAAAAACTTTTCATCCAGTGCTGAATTCATTTTCAACTTTCAGAGTTTTGCCAGACTGGTGGTGTTATTTTACTGACGGCTTTGTGTACTGTTCAGATTGAAAATACGATGAGATGTGAAGATTAACATCCAATGAGGAGGGAAGAACAAAGTGCCTTTGAGCAGCTGAGCTGGATATTGGTGCTATACAATTATTAGTGTGTGTGTGTGTGTGTGTGTGTGTGTGTGTGTGTGTGTTGGGAAATGTTTGAAATGTTAAAATTGATGATTGTTACATTACCAACCAGCAATCATCTAAAAAACCCTGGTTAGCATCATTTTTCAGATTTCCTGTTCAGGTTGTTAATGCATATAAGTATAAAGAATTAACATGCGAGTTTCTGTTGTTTTTTTATTGCTTATTTAGAAACTATCCAAATTTCACATCCAAAGTAAAATGATGCAACTTGATCCTTTAAAGTGATGACTAATATATCATGAACATAAACTTCCCAGAGTGACTTTTCAGCAAGAAGTGAGTTTTCTAAGAATTAAACAAGTTTTCCGGCCCTGACAACATCTAATATATGTTCCATCATCAAGTGTTTCAAACACTAAAACTGTAGTTCCAAAATCGTTTGTGTTCGATTATGAGCAAATGTGATGGATTGCTTGGACGTTTGGTCACAGCGACCAATGTTCGATTATTTCAATTAATTGGACCACCACTAGTGTGCGTGCGTGCGTGTTTGTTTTAAAGCTAACACTGTGTAATGGAATGGGGCTCAGTCTACGTAAGTTGAGCCCATGTGTTATATGTGAACCCACCTGCATCAAGCTCCTGACAGTGAAAGCTCATTCGTGGAGCTCTCCATTCTACTGCTGCCATGGCCACAGCTCACCTGGAACTGAGCCCCACAACTGGTCTGCCCAATGATCAGGGGTGTGTAAACCAGAGACACAACGCAAGGTTTATAAAGGATCTTTATTTATGAACCCTTCTTGGATGAGGTAGTCATACAGTTTTCTCGTCTTGTTGACATCAATCTTGATGAGTGTCCGGGCCTGGGCTAACTTGAGACACCCGACTCTCTGACACTCGGACATTAGAACCCTCTTGAATCCAGAAAACGCTTCCGGCACTAGTCGGACAGATGCACACAACTGAAACACAAGAAATGGTTGAGTTTGAATCCATTTCAGTACACCCATCAGGATGCACCTCCTCCAGGGTATTATATCCCAAAGTTATACAAGCTGGGGATGACTTTTACTGAGTGAGTGAGACAGACAGACATCACTTTATTTTTTGTGACAGCTCCTCTTGCCTATGTGAGTGAGTGAGTTAATGAGTGAGTGAGTGAGTTAATGAGTGAGTGTGTGTGAGAGAGAGAGAGAGAGACAGACAGACAGACAGACGTCCCAAACTTTACCTCTCTTTCTTTCTGTGACAGCTTCTCCTGGCCTGGAAGTCCAGATATATCAAGGGGAGGGGCTGATTTTCGAGCTAGAATGAAAATCAAAGCTGCCACCTTGAATTTCTAAACTTAAAACTACAAAATACACTGATACAAAATAATGACTGGCTAAAGTTTGAGTGAGTGAGTGAGTTGGGTTTTACACTGCTTTTAGCAACATCCCAGCAATATTACGGCAGGGGACACCAGAAATGGGGGCTATAGTTTGAGCTTTCCTTTTCTCTGTAGTGGTTTTCCCTACATGAAGCATGAAGGATTGTGCTGCATATCAGTGAAGTTTGTTGTTTTTTGTTGATGCTCCTCTCAGTAGTATTCCAGCCATAGAGTATCAGCCTGTGAACTGATAGAGGCTACATCAGGTAATCCAGCCATAGAGTATCAGCCTGTAAACTGATAGAGGCTACATCAGGTATTCCAGCCATAGAGTATCAGCCTGTGAACTGATAGAGGCTACATCAGGTAATCCAGCCATAGAGTATCAGCCTGTGAACTGATAGAGGCTACATCAGGTAATCCAGCCATAGAGTATCAGCCTGTAAACTGATAGAGGCTACATCAGGTAATCCAGCCATAGAGTATCAGCCTGTGAACTGATAGAGGCTACATCAGGTATTCCAGCCATAGAGTATCAGCCTGTGAACTGATAGAGGCTACATCAGGTAATCCAGCCATAGAGTATCAGCCTGTAAACTGATAGAGGCTACATCAGGTAATCCAGCCATAGAGTATCAGCCTGTGAACTGATAGAGGCTACATCAGGTAATCCAGCCATAGAGTATCAGCCTGTAAACTGATAGAGGCTACATCAGGTAATCCAGCCATAGAGTATCAGCCTGTGAACTGATAGAGGCTACATCAGGTAATCCAGCCATAGAGTATCAGCCTGTAAACTGATAGAGGCTACATCAGGCAATCCAGCCATAGAGTATCAGCCTGTAAACTGATAGAGGCTACATCAGGTAATCCAGCCATAGAGTATCAGCCTGTGAACTGATAGAGGCTACATCAGGTAATCCAGCCATAGAGTATCAGCCTGTGAACTGATAGAGGCTACATCAGGTAATCCAGTGATTGACATCATGAGCACTGATCTAAGCAGCTGGAATACTGATGACATACATCAATTGCTTCAGCAAGCCTGACTGGCCACTTTAGTAGCCTCTTAGGATAAGCAGAGGTTGCAGAAGACAAATTGGCGGGTGCAAATTTCCAAATAAGGTATTGTTTGTTTCTTGTTTAACACCCCATTCAGCAATATTCCAGCTATATGGCAGCAGTCTGTAAAAAATCGAGTCTGGTCCAGACATCCAGTGATCAACAGCATGAGCATCTATCTACGTAATTGGGATACGATGACATGTGTCAACCAAGTCAGTGAGTCTGACCACCTGATCATGTTAGTCGACTCTTACACTGACTGACTGACTGAGTTTGGTTTTACGCCACTTTTAGCAATATTCCAGCAACATCACGGCGGGGGACACCAGAAATGGGTTTCACACATTGTACCCATGTGGGGATTCGAACCCGGGCCTTCGGCTTGACAAGCCAACGCTTTAACCACTAGGCTACCCCACCGCCCCTCGACTCTTACAACAAGCATGGGTTGCTGAAGACCAATTCAGCATTGTGTTCCCCCAATAGAGATCTGGTGAAACTTACGAGCAGCCGGGAGAGATAGGGGTATGCCTTTAGACACATTATCCAGAGCAACTTGACGATTCAGCCAGGACTGACAAGCAGACTCATCCTAGGAAAAACAAAACCATTTAATAAAGAAGAAAGAAACAAATGGCAACTCTCAAAACATGGAGGGATTCACACCTTTGCCTCGGATTTTAATCATTAGCTGACAGGTACATGTATGGTTCTCTCTGGTGCCTTAGCTTGAGTGAATGAGTGAGTTTTAATTTTATGCAGCTTTTAGCAATATTCCAGCAATATCACGGCATGGGACACCAGAAATGGGCTTCACACATTGTACCCATGTGGGGAATTGAACCCTGATTTTAGGCGGGACAAGCCAACACTTTAACCACTAGGCTACCCTACCGCCCCCAGAAATCTGTAGTATGATGGACAAACACATCCTAGATAATCTCCAGGGTATAGGCTCTGATAAATCTCTACTAGTGTCCGGGATGCATCTACAACTCGGCCCGATAATTGTATTACCTCCTTTTTCATAACAGCCAATCAGATATGCCGTTACAACCGAGCCTGACAGTGTCAACAAAGATGATGCTGTAGTCGCGAAGGTTTGCATGCTGTGCGACTCAGATTTAGGGAAAATATCATACAGACAAATTGACAGGTCTGAAACCAGGTCTGAAACCTGAAATATATGCAAAAACTCCTTCTACCTCTTATAGAGTACCTCTGCAACAATTGGGTTGCCAAGTTTAATCCGTTAGACTAAAGAAGCGGAAGTGAGTTATGATAGAAGCCTTGTGATTGGTACAATCATCTTCCCAGCGTAGACACCTGGGCCCACTTGCACAGAGCAATCTTAGGTACAATAAATCTTAGGCCCCTACAATCAACTTTATGATCACCATACAATTGCCCTAATTCACTTGCACAAAGCCGATCTTAGTGTGATTGTAAGATTGTATTTAAGATCGCGATCTTAGCTAAGATCGAACTCTTCAATGGTGGAGGTACGAATTTCTAAAACTCGACTCCTGTCTACTGTTGTCTGCATGTGAAAAAAGTGATACTGGTCCCTGCACACAATACATACCTCCCTCAATCGCACCTTGCAGAATTTTCATGAAAAATTCCCAGAAATCTTTGAAGGAAACGATTACGTGGACGATACCATATATTTCTACATTCTAACTGTCTTGATTTATGAAATGAAAATGTGATATTGCAACCACAGAAATACCTACCCATGTTTTATGAAAATATTGAACTACGAAATTTAGTTTTTCTAAAAATCTAGATTTAGTGACTTAATAATTATGGAAATTAAAATATCAAACATAAACAATATTTCCTTATGATATAACACCTAAATGTATGATTTGACAGTGGTTGTCAGTGAGACATTGTTAAATACGCAGCTGTTCAAGGAATTTTGGGGGTAAAATCCTAAATATATCCTACAAGTATTGGTTTTCTTACAATAAGAAAATGTGATATGGCTTCAGAAGTGTTGTAAAGAATGCATGACAGGGAAATATGAATATTAAATAATATTTCGAGAGAGCAGTTGTTAAATACTTATTCACAGTATATTATTAATGTAACCCTATTGCGTTGATAAATATTTTTCTAAAAGTGAAATTCTTTTGAAACAAATTTTTAATGCCTCATCATGTGTATATCCCTATTTGATGAATACTTGTATATATTTAAAATGCTTACTCAATGTTAGATTTACGGAGGAGAAAGAAACTTGAGTTTGCATGTTAACTTGTATCTAATAGTAGATTACTTTAATGATAAACAGACAAAATCACTCCATGACCGAAAACAAACATAAGTATGTTGAACTCTGCGATTGGGCATGACAGAATCTACGGCAACGGCATATGCCAAGGGAATCCACTCCCATCTTGTGTATACACTAAAATTATCTGCTTTTGAGTTAATGAAAAGGTAAGGCCATTGTTAATCGCATGCGGACACCATTCGCTATTATCCTTTAATTGATTAACAAAAAGGTATGGTGTTTCACATCTATTCCAAGATTAAATCAGGGGGGAATAGTACTTTGTGATATTGACTCAATAGTTCTGTAGTTCACTAGAGCAAATAACAATGTATCCGATGGTAAATCGGCTGTGCATTCTCCGTGTTGTTGAAGTGTCGAGGCAAATCAGACAGTTTTATGCAATATTTTTGCGTGAAACAGACACTAACTTGAACGCCATTTTGTCAGAGACTACAATGATCTTAGCTCCTTACAATTGGAGCATTGAACACGTTACGTCCTCTACTGAAGTAAACACAGTAACCTTGCACCCCATTAAACCCATCATCTCATCACTGTATTCAGGGACAGTGAAGAGGACACACCTGGATATGTGAGAGGATGTCTTTCAGCAGGTGGCGTTTGTTCTGTGTGACAGTCCGCCTCGACTTCAGCATACTGTACACCTTCATGTGTCGGAATCGCGTGAGTCCATTGTCTCTGTACTCCTGGAGCTTGCGGATGTCGTTCTTCAGTTCCTGCTCATCTGTAATAAACGTGATGAAGGAGGGATTATCACAACAACCTGAAAACGTGAACAAGCCTGAAATATTTTGCAATGACTGACTGACTGACTGAGTTTGGTTTTACGCTGCTTTTAGCAATATTCCAGCAACATCACGGCGGGGGACACCAGAAATGGGCTTCACACATTGCACCCATGTGGGGATTCGAACCCGGGTCTTCGGCGTGATGAGCCAACGCTTTAACCATTAGGCTACCCCACCGCCACATTTTGCAATGAAGGCAATATTGCAGATATATCACTACCTCCTCAAAATGTAAACAAACCTGATCTACTGAAGCAGATTGTGAAACAAACTTGATGTGCTATACCAGAGTAGGCAATACTAAATCAACAACCTCCTGAAAAATGTGAAACAAGCTTGATATGTTATAACACAGCAGGCAATATTCCAGATATATCACAACCTCCAGCAATATGATAGCAGTCAAGTCAAGACAATCAGCTAAGGGTATGATGTATCAGATAATGTAATTACCTACCAATGAATTATAGCAAGTATAAACTAAATCCTGAATTAAAGGGTGTGTAAACCTATTCTGACTTTAGTACTTATCAAGTGAGTAAGATAAGTCCTGATTTAATGGATTTGTAAGAAGAGCACTAGCTTATTGAGTCTGCAAGTTAAATCTTGACACTTGCACAAGGGCTCGGTTGTCATGTTAGAGTTGCTTCCCTTTAACATCACAGCAAGAGAAGGTAACTGTTGGCATGATAAGGGAGCGGGGTGGTTGGATCAGATACAATCAGAGGAGGATCATAACCTATATGCCATTCTCTATTGGAGGGTAAAGAAAATAAGGCACATATTTAGCTACAGTCATGAAAAACGGACATTTAATATAAATATTAAAGGTCACATGCAAACCAAAAAATCAAACCTTATTAAAACACAATTATCACTTATTCGCAGATGCCCCCACGGCTTATTGTGTGTGTATATGTAGAGATGTTGGGTTTTGTAAATACAAGCTCATTTTTTGTGTATAACATTTTGCAATCAACAGACATCATAACATGTCATGTGTTCAACTATCACACCTGCCTGTCTGTGTAATTACATAATGTGACAGAGACCGAACTCGGGCCATAAATCAATGCATTTTGTTTATGGTGTATAGCCTGATTGGTGTTAAGTTCAAATTGCATGTGGTCAGTGATAGCAGCTGTGTATTGAATATTGTCATTAGCAGACAAGCAGGCAGACACACAGATGTCAATAAAACAAGACATTGAGTTTTGTCTGTGACAACGACATATCTATATCACAGTTAGAAATTCTGTCAACGCAAATAATGACATTGCTTTTAAGTATCGAACTGAGAAAGTGACTCGGTAAGAAGAACGTGTGGTGAAATTATATAAACAGTTAATTTACTGTCATAACATATAAAAAGCTCGCGCCTGTGAGATATCAACAAAACATTAGAAAAATAGCTCACACCAAAGCCTTCACCGAGTATTCACCGGACAACCCGCTTCCAAGTTGCGCGAACCTATTTCACTGCGCACGTGCTATGAGCGCAGCCCAGCTGTTGAAACTCCGATTTCGCGCGTTTTTTTTCATCGCGTTATTTTTCAACTTTATAAGTTGAATTTGCATTTTTGACGATTTGTTTCGGTAAGTCCATACCGAAAGGTATCAGAATCTGCAAAGATGTGTTGACCTTTAACTGCTTTTGCATTTTGACTTTTGGGTAAAAAAGACTGACCACTTGAAATTCTGGGGTGGGGCCTGATATTTATGTCAAAAAGCCCTATCTTGTCCCAGGAAATGTATGAAAAAGCATAAGTATGCTTCAGACAGAGACTGTCTGCCACAAGTACACTGTTCCAAGAATATTCATAAAAAGTAATATTCATAGTTTTAATTAAAAACAATATCTAGTTGTAGTACAAAATACCTAGCGCCGCCTCCCACATTAGGGGAGGGGTTACTAGTTTCAGTACATTAACATGATCCACCTTCTGTAACAGAGAATCATGCAAAACTGATAAACTGATGCCAAGGGAAAAGTTAAGTAGAACATAATAAACATTGATAAGATTTCTACATACGATTCAGTGATTCCAAGTACATGTCTGACTGCATTGGAGACTGTAGACGCATGAATGCTCGCAAACCCTCCACAATATGTCGGATTGAACGCTCATAGCTATGACTTGACTCTGGAAATAAAACATACACAATCTCATCATTCTTCAGACAAATGTGTGTTGCTGAACACCACACGAATCATTTTTTTGTATTATGACAGCTGCCCTTAAATAACTGAATCTGGAGAAGATAGTGAAGTGTTTTACATAATCTCATTACAGACACTCTCCAATTACAGACCCATACTGTTTACTATGGGCCATTACAGACACTCTCCAATTGCCGACCCATACTGTTTACTATAGGCCGTTACAGACACTCTCCAATTACAGATCTATACTGTTTACTATAGGCCATTACAGACTCTCGCCATACAGATCCATACTGTTTACTATGGGCCATTACAATTCCACTGACCCATACTGTTTACTATGGGCCATTACAGACACTTTCCAATTACAGACCCATACTGTTTACTATAGTCCGTTACAGACACTCTTCAATTACAGATCCATACTGTTTACTATAGGCCATTACAGACTCTCTCCAATTACAGACCCATACTGTTTACTATAGGCCGTTACAGACACTCTCCAATTACAGATCCATACTGTTTACTATGGGCCATTACAGACTCTCTCCAATTACAGACCCATACTGTTTACTATGGGCCATTACAGACACTCTCCAATTACAGATCCATACTGATAACTATGAGCGATTGTAGACACTCTCCAATTACAGATCCATACTGTTTACTATAGGCGGTTACAGACTCTCTCCAATTACAGACACATACTGATTACTATGGGCCGTTACAGACACTCTCCAATTAAAGATCCATACTGTTTACTATGGGCCATTACGGACACTCTCCTATTACAGATCCATACTGTTTACTATGGGCCATTACAGACACTCTCCAATTACAGATCCATACTGTTTACTATGGGCCATTACAGACGCTCTTCAATTACAGACCCATACTGTTTACTATGGGCCATTACAGACGCTCTCCAATTACAGATCCATACTGTTTACTATAGGCCATTACAGACACTCTCTAATTACAGATCCATACTGTTTACTATGGGCCATTACAGACACTCTCCAATTACAGATCCATACTGTTTACTATGGGCCATTACAGACTCTCTCCAATTACAGACCCATACTGTTTACTATGGGCCATTGCAGACACTCTCCAATTACAGACCCATACTGTTTACTATGGGGCCTCTCCATTACAGACCCATACTGTTTACTATGGGCCATTACAGACACCTCAATTACTGTTTACTGTTTACTATGGTCCATTACAGACTCTCTCCAATTACAGACCCATACTGTTTACTATGGGCCATTACAGATCCACTGTTTACTATGGGCCAATTACAGACCCATACTGTTTACTATGGGCCATTACAGACACTCTCCAATTACAGATCCATACTGTTTACTATAGGCCATTACAGACACTCTCCAATTACAGATCCATACTGTTTACTATGGGCCATTACAGACACTCTCCAATTACAGATCCATACTGTTTACTATAGGCCATTACAGACACTCTCTAATTACAGATCCATACTGTTTACTATGGGCCATTACAGACACTCTCCAATTACAGACCCATACTGTTTTACTATGAGGCCATTACAGACACTCTCCAATTACAGACCCATACTGTTTACTATAGGCCATTACAGACACTCTCCAATTACAGACCCATACTGTTTACTATAGGCCATTACAGACACTCTCCAATTACAGACCCATACTGTTTACTATGGGCCATTACAGACACTCTCCAATTACAGACCCATACTGTTTACTATAGGCCATTACAGACACTCTCCAATTACAGATCCATACTGTTTACTATGGGCCATTACAGACACTCTCAATTACAGACCCATACTGTTTACTATGGGCCATTACAGACACTCTCCAATTACAGACCCATACTGTTTACTATGGGCCATTACAGACACTCTCCACCATTACACCCATACTGTTTACTATAGGCCATTACAGACACTCTCCATTACACCCATACTGTTTACTATGGGCCATTACAGACATCCAGACCCATACTGTTTACTATGGGCCATTACAGACACTCTCCATTACAGACCCATACTGTTTACTATAGGCCATTACAGACACTCTCCCATTACAGACCCATACTGTTTACTATAGGCCATTACAGACACTCTCCAATTACAGACCCATACTGTTTACTATGGGCCATTACAGACACTCCAATTACAGACCCATACTGTTTACTATGGGCCATTACAGACACTTACAGACCCATACTGTTTACTATAGGCCATTACAGACACTCTCCATTACCGACCCATACTGTTTACTATGGGCCATTACAGACACTCTCCAATTACAGATCCATACTGTTTACTATGGGCCATTACAGACACTCTCTATTAGACCCATACTGTTTACTATGGGCCATTACAGATACTCTCCATTACAGACTCCATACTGTTTACTATAGGCCATTACAGACAGACCCATACTGTTTACTATAGGCCATTACAGACACATACTCTCCACATACAGACACCTCCCTACTGTTTACTATGGGCCATTACAGACACTCTCCAATTACAGACCCATACTGTTTACTATGGGCCATTACAGACACTCTCCAATTACAGACCCATACTGTTTACTATGGGCCATTACAGACACTCTCCAATTACCCATACTGTTTACTATGGGCCATTACAGACTCCAATTACAGATCCATACTATAGGCCATTACAGACACTCTCCAATTACAGATCCATACTGTTTACTATGGGCCATTACAGACGCTCTCCCATTACAGACCCATACTGTTTACTATAGGCCATTACAGACACTCTCCAATTACCGACCCATACTGTTTACTATAGGCGGTTACAGACTCTCTCCAATTACAGACCCATACTGTTTACTATGGGCCATTACAGACACTCTCCAATTACAGACCCATACTGTTTACTATAGGCCGTTACAGACTCTCTCCAATTACAGATCCATACTGTTTACTATAGGCCGTTACAGACTCTCTCCAATTACAGACCCATACTGTTTACTATGGGCCATTACAGACACTCTCCAATTACAGATCCATACTGTTTACTATAGGCCGTTACTGACACCATAATGGTACTGACCCATCAGTTTCCTGTAGTTGATCAACCCATAGTCACGTATTATTCTGCAACAGAAGACAAAAATGATAAGCAAACATACATACACTTTGTGTGCTGGCGATTTGGAGCCTGACTCTGAGGGTGTGGGTTCAAATCCTGGATGGACAAGTGTCATACCTTTTACTGATACAGTTGTAAATATCAACACCTCTATAAAAGCATGCTTTAAGGGACAACTGTGCACTGAGATCAATGTAAGACAATCTCTTCCAGGGGAATAGATGCAAGTCACTCAGTCAAGGTAAATGGACTAATAGAAAAAAATATGAAACTAATTGTACTATCACCTGAACAATGCTAATACCTTACCTTTTTCTCCTTTGCCTTTCTTTGAGACAGCTGTTGTATATTTCAATTACGGCAGTTTTTAAATCTGCAATAAAAGAACTCATGTTCATTCATTCATTCATTCATTCATTCATTCATTCATTCATTCATTCATTCATTCATGAGTGGTACATACTCATTCATAGTAACACTAAACCTCAAACTACAGTAGGCTTAACTTTTGTCATTTAAAACTTTGAATTAACCACGGACATTCAGAAACATAGCTGCATAAGGAAAGCAGATGTCACATAATCATAATACAGTGGAAGCTGTCTAAACCGGCTCACGTCGGGACTGAAAACATAATCCGTTTTTGACAGCGTGCCGGATTGTACAGCTGACATGGTTACCTACGACTAGAACTAAACCAGTTTTATCACTCTCATATACATTGTTGTATAAGGTGGTTCTCTCAACTCACTAATTACATGTACAAGTACACCCATACTGAACTAAGATTAAATATCTTTGTCAGCATCCTTGTAGTTTCAACACAGGATTACTGACTCCTCGCTACGCGCCGGATTAGACAGCGCTGATTACTGTATAAACACATATTCGGGCGGCTCATTTCATGCCGAGACCCGGAATTGACAGCCGCCGGGTGGCAGAGCTTTTAAATGATGATAAATGTACTAGCCATGGATGGGACTGACATTTTATACCGATGTTGACAACTTGCCGGATTGGACAGCTGCTGGTTTTGGCAGCTTCCACTGTAATACCACTTCTTCAATCATTCCATGAAGACACAAATAAATCCCGAACATAGACTGTTTACCAACCATTGTCATGGCAGCCTTGAACTTCCACCAAAGGAGTGAATACATTTATATAATTGTTAGGCATTTCAAACACAGCCAGTGGGAGGTGAGCCCCACCTGACACCTGTGAAGTTTACCACTTGTTGAAACCTATGGGTCAGGTCCAGGCAAATCAAGGATCATAACCAGACATCTGAATTACTCACCTAGGGCTATGGCATAATATTGGGGACAAATCTCTTAAAAATATTGTAATGCAGTGTTTCCGTTCTCTGGAATATACCAGATTTTGGCCAGTAAAAATTGCCCAGGACAAAGAAATTGGCTATCGGTCACCGTATCTGGTAAAGAACCAGAACTATTTTTTGTCCTGCTTAAAATGTTACCGAAATTGGAATACAATCGTAATCCTCTAATAATAGAATCGACCACTTACGAATTTTGTGTGAGATGAGGTTTCCTTCTAAATCCATTATGCTACGTGCAATGTGATTGGTCAGTTTGGCAGTTATTCAGAAATGACTGGTGTATTTTGTGCCTCGAAATGTCACTAAAATCACTGCTGTCACAGGAAATCATGGAAAACAATGACGTTATCCTATTGTTTATACACCACGTGCTTGTCGAAATGGCAAATGGAAAGCAGACAATGCTCTCCAATTGTTTGAAGGTAAACGCAAGGTTTCGGCTATTGAGCATGACAAAACAAACAACAGTAAGGGGCAAAATAATGATTCGAGTTCAAGTTGCAATTGGTCTTCAAACTGAAGCCTAGTAAATTACGGAAATTTAATAGAGACTGGATATCTGAATTTAAATGGCTCTGATAACAGGAGACAACGGAACTATCATATTTTGCAGGACCGGTAAATTAGGAGGTCGTCACGGTGACTGGCTGCTAAAAAAAACAGCGGAAACACTGTAATGCCTGTTGGGCTTCCTGATGAAGTATGGCAAGAACATTGCAAATTGTGTTGCTGTAACTGGTTCCATGACGAAATATATCCGTGCATTTACGTAATATGAAAATGCTATGAAGTGAGTATTATGTAGTAAATTGTTATCAACTGGAAGACGAGCATCAGAACAATGTATTTCTGTTCATATTCACCTTCTTCCAGCTGATTTTCTCCATCATTCTCAAACTCAATGTGCTGAAGTTCCAGTTCAGCGAAGTTGTCGTGTTCAATGCTGAAGTCTCCGCGAGCGGCCATATATCCAGCCATATCTATTGACAGAGCAGTGCCTTCACCTGGTCTTGGGGGGTCCTCTGAAACTGATATCACATGTCATCATTACACAATGATCAGAGGAATGTGATAACTACATTGCATCCAGATACTGACTGACTGACTGAGTTTAGTTTTACGCCGCTTTTAGCAATATTCCAGCAATATCACGGCGGGGGACACCAGAAATGGGCTTCACACATTGTGCCCATGTGGGGAATGGAACCCGTGTCTTCGGCGTGACAAGCCAACGCTTTAACCACTAGGCTGCCCCACCGCCTCTCATCCAGATACAAGATCCAGATACAGCTTTCAGGGGTATCTGATAACTACATTGGGGCTGCACGCACACACGCAGACACACACACACACGCATGATAATGACATTGCATCCTAACACAAACATCACAGCTATGCGATAACTAGTGTCTGATATACAATACTACCGTGTATTGGACTATGTCTCCTATGGCTCAAAGGAAGAAGAGATGGTATGATGACCCCCGACCTAGGTTCTAAAATCTGATCGACTTGTTAACAATGTTATGTCTGCACAAAAAATGAATATCATGTAAACTTTGTTCCATCACAGGGCTTAAGTACAGCTCCACGTAAGAATCATGCAAAATCAAGACTATTGTATAAGTCGAAATTTGGATGAAATTTTCAGAATTTGACCACATCACTATATTAAACAACTTTGTGAATTTATTTTAAAATATGTGGCCTAGTTTTCATGATACGTCCATATTTCCCCAAAACTAATGGGAAGTAGATGAAAAAAAATATATCTGCTGTCTCATCGTGTAAGCAATGCTACCAACAGTTGGACACATACTTTAATATAATCAGTACTTACGTTTAAACACAATAGGAGATGGAAAATATGTGATCTTGGATTCTGGAAATTCTGAAAACACAAAGAGTGTCAGTGTATATATATGGATGTGTTGTATAAATCTTAGCTTACTGTAAAAAGATTTTTCAGTTAAAATATCTTTGAGTGAGTGAGTTTAGTTTTACGCCGCACTCAGCAATATTCCAGCTATATGGCGGCAGTCTGTAAATAATCGAGTCTGGACCAGACAATCCAGTGACCAACAGCATGAGCATCGATCTGCGCAAATTGGGAACCGATGACAGGTGTCAACCAAGTCAGCGAGCCTGACCACCTGATCCAGTTAGTCGCCTCTTACGACAAGCATGGGTTCTGAAGGTTCATTCTAACCCGGACTTTCACGGGGTAAAATATCTTTGAACCTCTTGAACAAATCCTGGTAATGAGCGCAGTTTCATTGGTCCCATGAGTTTAGTTTTACGTTGCACTTAGCAATATTCCAGCTAAATGGTGGTGTTCATCCTACACTGAACTTTTGAACTGGTCTCTAATGCCTGGTCCAGACAATCCAGTGATCAACAGTATGAACATCGATCTACACAATTGGGATATGATGACGTGTCAACCAAGTCAGCAAGCCTAACCAACCGATCCCGTTAGTCGCCTCTTACGACAAGCATGGGTTACAGAAGATCAATTCTAACTTGGATCTTCACAGGTCTGGTAAAAAGTAGGAGTCTCTTCAAACTTTGTTTCAGATGAACACACAGCTGAACTCATACCTTGATCATTTCTGAACAGTACATCTCACAACTTTGATTATAACCCAGTTGCTGGCATGCGGCAATATTGGAGTCAGTAACTTACTGGGCAGTGCCTGGTGGGGACTGTCAATGTACCACTGGTTGTAATGCCTCTCACACTCTGAGCTACTCTTGTTTTTCATCTGCTGTGAAACCTCCCGCCTGAAGGGTAAATTAGGGAGAAAGTGAGTTCATTTTAATTTCAAAGAAGACAGAGACTGTTGTTTCATTCATGAAAGGATATACGACAGCATTCAAGATAACTTCAGGGCGGTGGGGTAGCCTAGCGGTTAAAGCGTACCTAGTCATGCCAAAGACCCGGGTACAATTCCCCACATGGGTACAACGTGTGAAGCCCATTTCTGGCGTCCCTTGCCGTGATATTGCTGGAATATAGCTAAAAGCGGCGTAAAACCATAATCACTCACTCAATTCAATATTACTTCACCAAAGATACTTCTATAGTTAAACACAATATACCTCTGACTGAACTTCCAAATGTTGTATTTCATTAAAAAAAATCGAAGCGGTGGGCATACAAATCTGACTTTGCATAAGAAGATTAAACCAAATCACTACTTATTCTATGTCTTAACTGCATGATGTTTTCTACTGTCCCATGCATTCTCAATCATTTAACAAATACATATACCTCCAGTCGGAACAAACAATTCATTTTAGACTACTTCAAAAGACACAATGTTTAAAATAGCGGTTGGTACCAGCCTCTATGGTATTTATAATAAAAACGTGAAAATTGACTTGAGACACACTGTATAATAATGATAATTGAGGGTGCTATATTTGAAGGCACATTGAGTTTGTGAAAAGCGTACCAGTTCCCATATCCATTTTCCTGGATAAGACTCAACAGTCTCTCCTCATCTTGAGCAGACCACTGACTCTCAAACAAGGGAAAGTCCTTTTTCTGAAACATCAATGTTACAATAAGCGAATACCATTGGATACAATTTGGGGTGGTGAGGTAGTCTAGTGGTTAAGGCGTTCGCTCGTCATGCCAAAGACCCGTGTTCGATTCCCCACATGGGTACATTGTGTGAAGCCCATTTCTGGTGTCCCCCGTCGTGATATTGCTGGAATATTGCTAAAAGCGGCATAAAACCAAACTCACTCACACACTCATTGTACAATTTGGCAAAAAACTCACAACTATCCCTAAGGACTGAAAAAGGAATGGTCTATTTTGACTAGACATGCGGACAGCAATGACTAAATCAGAAACATGTAGTCTGCTTAGGCAATAGAAAATACTGCATTGTATCATAGAGTGAAATGTGAATCACTTCATTGTAACAGTAAATTCCACTCTTACAATGGCCACAATAAGCAGGGTAGGGTGGCAACAACATGTTAAAAAAACAATGCATCTCCTTACACAAATGGCATATGCGTGATTGCTTTCGTGACCCCCCAAACTCTACACCCCGGGCGAAGCAGTGGAGACACAGGTGGATGTTGGGCTGACACTGTGTGCACAGGATAAAGGGTTCTGCCAAAGATGTGGTGCACGTGGGGCAGCAGGCGGTGTCTTCCTCCTCCATCACTGTGGCCGATCTACCAACATAAACAGATACATCCAGATACGAGTCCTAATGACAAATTTACAGAAAAGTTTACAAATAAAGTTAATTAAAAAAGAGAGAGATTCAGTAAGCATGAAAATGATCCTGACAATGTTTGCCCACAGCTTTTATGTACCCCTTTTTGATCCTAAGGGAGTGGTCAATGTCTATAAATGGGAGCGAGATTAATGAGAAGGTCATAAAAAAAGGGACCCCAAAAGATTCATAATTAATATTATGTGAAAAATGACATAATTATATTCTTTCAATCATAATATTATACATTTGAACATAATTCATGAATAAATGGGAGGTGTCTCAGCAAAATATGACATGATGTAATCCTAGGTCCATAATATACGATCTTAGCCCTAGTCCCTTGGTGCTAGTTATAAGTTACGGTATTTTGTTTGGATTTTCAATGTGTTCATCCATTTGATAAAATGTGACATTGTAAAACCGTAAATGTTAACCAAGTTCCATGGGACAAAAAATCGCTACCAGCTGCTAAAACCCCAGGTGGTGATCAGTATAGACATACTTGATAGAGGCCATAGTCCTGTGATATTAAATGTTTTGGCTAATGTGAATGTCTCATTAGTCATTAGCATAACTTCTTGCTTGCAAGGCCTGTTCTATAACTGAAATCAGAAAAGTCGGTGCGCGAAAACCGATGACATGTGACACTTTCACCAAAACATAATGGGGCACACATTTGTTATGTCGTTGTCATGTATTGAAGTAACTGAATATGTATAACTGACACTCATGTCATAATAAATGCTTAAACAGGGTACCTTTGAATTGCCAAATCTAAAATGTTCCTGAAAATTCAACGAGATGACAGAAAACGTTTATAAGACAGATCTCTACTTCCTGTTTAATATTGTTATCTCATCCTCAGAAGAGTTCACTAATTCGAATCGATAAATATTGCTAACTTGATCCTATTAATGTCAAGTAAATACAAGAAATAGCTATAATCGTATATACCGTATATATTTGATTGAATTCTATTCAAATAAAAATACTCCGCAATATTTTACCTATTTAAGAATACTACGATAAAAGTTGTTTTTATCGTGTATTAGTCAACGACGAAGGTGAAGGTCATTACTTGAGAGGCGTGGATTCTAACAACATGGTGAAAGAAGTTGATGTGAAGGGGTACGAAGAGTACCAGAAAGCTGCCGATGAGAACAAAGACAAGGTCGTCTTTGCTTTGTTCTGTGGCGATGTAGATGATCAAGGGAAGAGCTGGTGTCCCGACTGCGTGGTTGGTAAGGAAATATTATTTGTCCGAACCCAGGCTGAAAGTTGTGAAACATCAACAGTTTCTGAACCCCCGTCCAACGTTGCACCAGAGATATTATATGGTCTCTGGTTGCACCGAGTGTTTGTTGCTGTCGAGATGTTTCACTTGGCATTTGTTCACCGTTCAGACACCGAAAATGTCCCGTCCGATTCGCACTTGATTAGCAGCATTCGTAGTTTATTCGATTTGGAGAACCGACACACACAGGTCATGGACCGTGAAAACGACAAATTATATATGTTCATAATATTCTTTTCACATCACTAAATTCACACACGCTTTTATGAATTTTGGCGCTTTAATATTAATATAGATTCATAGACACCCACTGTTAGCCGAGAGCTAACCTGCAGTCAAGACATAAATCTTCATTTTAATGCAGGGTCATGTCTTGCCTGTATGGCCCGGTCGTAGCTTATGCATGCCTTAGCTTTTATGTGTAGACTCCCAAGTTGAATCGATGAGTTACTGTCTGTGAAAGAACTTTATGTGAGACCAACAAACAGCAAAGAAGTGTGACGTAATTAACAATTGTGAATTACTAGGTTTACAAATCATTACAGTGGACATACTAAATATAGTATGAGTACAAATGAAATGGCAATATAACATGATATTAATACAAACATTAAAACATCCTGAGTACGTTTAGGTAATTTCAATACATTTACAATCTTTCATTTGATCTTTCAGACATTCAATTCACTGAATATATTGGATGGCATAATTTGTGATTATCCCTCAGACTGAGTTAACACATTCAGTTCATTGAGGTATATGATCTCATTCTTCTTGTACTGGCCTGGTTATAACAGAATAATAGAAAGAACAGTAGATATGTTGCTAAGACAGGGTTCCTGTTATTTGCAGCTGAACCGGTTGTGACAAGAAATTTGAAGAGTGCCCCAGATGATGCTATTTTTATCCACTGTAGCGTTGGACCTCGTGATTTGTAAGTATGACCATTTATAATATTACTGGGCCTAGATTTTCGAAGCTCTCTTAGCACTAAGATAGTCTTGAGTTAATGTAATTTATGGCACTTACAACAATCATAGGGCTAAGAGAGCTTTGAAAACCTAGGCCCTGGATGTTTATGACTATTACTTAGGGGGTTTCGTCCACAGATATTTCATATACAAGTACTGGATATTGCTAATTTACTAAGTCTAATCAACCACATGTTCAGTGGGGTAGAGAAGAGCTCAGTTGACTTCTGTGTCACAAGTGTCATCAGGGCTTGATTAAGTGCTTTGTTTCTTGCACTGGTGCAACCCAATATTACAAATGCAACCTAGTTATTTGTTTAACTTGCACCAGGTGCAAGTCAATTTTTGAGAAATATATCAACAATAAATGTAACATTACAAGCATAATTATGTCAGCTCATTTTCTTCTAAACTTTGAATAATTCAATAGCACATTTCTTTCATTACATATTGCAATAAAAGCAGTGCAGTTGGAATTTGGCTGGTGCAACTAGGTTTTTATCTTAGGTTGCACCTGGTGCAAGTATGTTAATGTCTCTTAAATCGAGCCCTGGTCATGTTTTTATTCAAGTCGTGGTAACTTACAGACCAGTCAGCTTTGACCAATGTTCAGTTGTTGCCGTCCACGATGACAATGTTCTCAGGGATATACCTTGAGTCCTGTATTTGAGGGTCCCTTGGAGTCTTACTCTTAATTTTCAGGGGTCCTTGATTACAAAATTGGGGTCCCAGACACTTAAATATTATTATTGATACTGTTAATGTATTGTACATTAACAGTATCAATATACAGTATACTAGTAGACCATAGCATTGAAACGTTTCACTTGGAGTAGATCGTAATTGTGGAATAATTATTGCGCAGTTTTTTAATCAGTTTGAAGATGTTTCATTTTTCGAATGTGTTTCAGCTGGAAAGACAAAAGCAACATCTTCCGCACAGATCCAAAACTTGTGTTGAAGAGTGTTCCCACACTACTGAGACTAGGAAAAGTAAGTATCACTATCAGTTCATATGTTCCTCAAATCTACACTAGGAATCCTTCTTCTTGTTGCTTGGAAACGACATTCACCTATTCCTATTTATTAAGATTGGAAAACTAAATTTTAGTTCTTCTTTCTGATCATTTCATGAGCAGATACTGAAGGGGATGGAGACTGTTAGCTTCATGTGTCAGAAACAATACAAAATTGGCAACTCATTGGTAATTAGTGTTTTGTCTGCATGAATGTTGTTTGTACTTTTTGTCAGTTGTCTCATCAGTATAAGTCAGCTTTGGTTCTTTCGAACATGGGACGGTGGGGTAGCATAGTGGTTAAAGCGTTCACTCGTCACGCCGAAGACCCGGGTTTGATTCCCGACATGGGTACACAGTGTGAAGCCCATTTCTAGTGTCCCCCCACCATGATATTGCTGGAATATTGCTAAAAGCAGCATAAAACTAAACTCACTCACTTACATGTGAGTGAGTGAGTTTAGTTTTACTCCACACTCAGCAATATTCCAGCAATATGGCAGCGGTCTGTAAATAATCGAGTCTGGACCAGCCAATCCAGTGATCAACAGCATGAGCATTGATCTGCGCAATTGGTAACCGATGACATGTGTCAACCAAATCAGCTAGCTTGACCACCTGATACCGTTAGTCGGGTTACTGAAGATCAATATTCTAACCTGGTTCTTCACGGGTCACTTACATTTGAACAAATTATTTCCAGCTAATGGTGTCCTGAGCATGGTCAGTCTGAAAGGTTCTGGGACCCGTTGAAAAAAAGAATGATCCAGATCCTGAATCTTCTTATCCTGATTGGGGGCGGTGGGGTAGCCTAGTGGTTAAAGCGTTGGTTCGTCACGCCGAAGACCCGGGTTCGAATCCCCACATGGGTACAATGAGTGAAGCCCATTTCTGGTGTCCCCCGCCGTGATATTGCTGGAATATTGCTAAAAGCGGCGTAAAACCAAACTCAGTCACTCAGTCAGTCTTATCCTGATTATTTAAAAGATATTGTTTATCTTAAAGTCAATCCACATGAAAAATTTAATCACAACTTGCAAAGTCACAACTAGTCCTGTCTTTAACCTGTCTTGTTTATCGTCCCATAGCTACATAATATCCAGAACATTATACTTCTAAACTATCATATAATACCAAACACTGCTAACATGGCTGAACTAGAACATGAATATGAAAATAGGTTGTGATCAGCTTATTATGAAGTGATTGTATTGTCCGGTAACAATATAACCATAAATTCCCATTTTGACTGTTGTATGTCAAGTGGGTATGATAAACAGGTTCGGTGTAAGTTACATGATTTAGGGCTTCCAAGTATCAGTGAAAATGGACAAGATCAACAGTGATCAGAGATTGGTAGATCGGCATTCTAGAAGTTGTTGAGTCAAACATGAAATATTGCTCTATGCAATAAACAAGAAGTTGTCATCCATTAAGTTGCATACTGTCCTTAGTGATAAGAGAACCGTTAGCTTTATATCTTGATGGGCTTTGTTGGTAAGTTTACAGATATTTTGTACTAGATGCCTGGCAGGCCTCATTTATGATGTCCATTTTGTTGTCAAAGTTTTGTTATGGACAATGTCATCTCCATCAGAAACATATTCCAACTAATGAGCTTTTTGTGAACCAACATTTACAATGCCTCTTCTGATAAAGGCAGTTCATTGTAGGTGGTTGAAGAAAGTAATGATCATTTATAACTTTTACTACTGCTACTAATCAACATGATGAATGAAAAACAAACTCATATGTCAGATGCTTGATTGGCATTTTAGGAGATGCTATTTGATGAACATAGAGATTTTTCTGGGTTACATCTTCTTTTTATTCTTGAGTACAACGTTTTAGGGCTTGTTCTGGCCCCATCATCAGGTAAAACTGTTTTACCTGATGATGGGGCCAGAACAAGCCCTGAAGCATTGTACTCAAGAATAAAAAGATGTAACCCAGAGAAATCTCTATGTACAAACTCATATGTCACATTGCAAAACGGTACTAAAAGATAAGTGTATTTTTTGTGAGAATAAAGATTGATGTACATATTATTCACCATTTATTATGAACAGCAGTGATAAATCTTTTTTTCTTTTGCTTAATTGTAAAACACATTCTGCACCCCACCCCCACAAATTTTTGACAAAGCATTTTTTTCTTCTTTCTAATTTCAAGCGTTTTTGTTAAAATAAACCAATGTGGCAAACATCTTAGCTAACTTTGGTCTTTCAACCCACAGAAAGTTGACACAATGTTACATAACAGATGTATTCTTCAAGTCAGCACTAACATCACACTTGTGTCAGGTATATTTTTCGGTATCTAATACAAATTGGGCCTGGCATCGGCGAAATACAAGTCACCACACCAAACCCATAACTGTTAACTAAAACCTATTGACCAAATTGGGGTAACTCTTATTTTTGAACTTTTACTGCAGACTTGAGGCCAAATAGTGGCGTAGCTTTAAGTAGCTCTAAGTATTTGTTTCTTTATATACATCGAACCATGGGGTAGCCTAGTGGTTAAAGTGTTTGCTTGTCACGCTGAAGACCTGGGTTCGATTCCCCACATGGGCACAATGCCTGAAGCCCATATCTGGTGTCCCATACCATGATATTACTGGAATATTGCTAAAAGCAGTGTAAAACTAAACTCACACTATGTATTTGTTTCTTTATATATATCGAGCAGTGGGGTAGCCTAGTGGTTAAAGTGTTTGCTTGTCACACTGAAGACCTGGGTTCGATTCCCCACATGGGTACAAAGTTTGAAGCCCATTTCTGGTGTTCCCTGACGTAATATTGCTGGAATATGGCTAAAAGCAGCGTAAAACTAAACTCACTATCTCACTCTATATACATTTTGTATTTGTCTGCTTCAGCCCCGGAGACTGGAGGAGGAACAGTGTGCGAAGGATGACTTGGTCCAGATGCTGTTAGAGGAGGACTGATTCTGATTTAACCAGACTCTGATATGATATGATATGTTTGTGGATCAAAGACTCTGATGTATTACATTGTCCAGCTTGATATTCAGAAGAAATGGGTGCTATCTGACATGGAACTTCAGAAAAGTTTGTTCTCCTAATGGTGTGAAATGTGGAACAGACATAAGATGATTGAAATTGTTGTGTTTTCTCTTAATAATGTTATAAGACAACTTCCAATGTAACATCAATAAACATCATCCTTTAAATTTTATTGTATCATTTTTGCTCATAAATATACTAAGCTGTCACCATGGTTACACACTCTTTTCCCTAATTGTTCTACAAGATGCTTTGAGATATATCCCTTTCCAAAAATTCTCAGCCTAACTTAAAAGGATATACAGTGAATCTGTCGCTGTTTGCAGATATGAGTACAATAACTTCTTTGAAGTTGTTGTTTTGAAAAAAGAGGAAAGTTCTACGGATATACAACTCCTTCATTATTATTATGAGTGACGTCTCGGTCTATAGTCCGTTTGGCTCAAAAGCAAACCGATGAATTGCAATCTAACTAGAAAACTTATAAACATAAAATACTCAATGAAACACTGATCATAATCAAAACGTCAGACCAACTCTGTGAGGTTTTTGCAGAATTTATGTCCTAAAAATTAAAAAGTTGTTTAACAAACTATCATTAAAATATTGACACAGTTCACTATTTGTTACGGGGGAGGAGTGCAGAGAAAGGGACAGCCAGGTGTGCGAGAAAGGATGGAGATGGCACAGCACAGGTTAATGAATCAATAACTTTGTCGGCACGTGCTTCTCTAACACCTGGCTGTCCCTTTCTCTGCACTCCTCCCTCGTAAAGTTGGGTCGACAAAATACTAACTGTTCACCTGTCTTTGAATCTGGAGTTATGTTCTGTTACATTCACATTTAATACGTGAGTAATGAGTGAATTTTTTTTTTAAAAATACAATCTTTAAATTCTCAATAATTTCTGGTTGTACTGTAGTTGGTTTGGTTGTTGTTTAACATCACACTCAGCAATATTCCATCAATATGGTGGCAGCCTGTAAATAATTGAGTCTGGACCAGACAATCCAGTGATCAACACCACAAGCATCGTTCTACCTGTTGGAATAGGATGAGGTATCAATCTAGCCTTACGATCCGTTAGTGATCTCTTAGAGGGGCGGTGGGGTAGCCTAATGGTTAAAGCGTTGACTCGTCACGCCGATGACCCGGGTTCGAATCTCCACATTGGCACAATGTGTGAAGCCCATTTCTGGTGTCCCCCACTGTGATGTTGCTGGAATATTGCTAAAAGCGGCGTAAAAACCAAACTCAGTCAGTCAGTCATCTCTTAGAACATGCATCGGTTGCTGAAGACCAATTCTAATGCGGATCTTCGCGGATCTCATATAGCTAATACAAGATTGGAAGAGAAAGCCTTGAGGATTAAGATGGTTCAGGAAGGTCTTCAACCTGTCACCTCCCAGGAAAATGTTGATAAGATATGATTAAGGATGATCACATTAACATACCACCCATTGTATAGCTAATAAGCTCGCAGAAGAGAGTTGAGAACATTTTCAGGATGGAGATGAGGTGAGGTGAAATTGGGTTTTACGTCGTTCTTGAGAATATTTCGTTCATATTATGACGTGCATGCATGTGTATGTGTATGTGTGCGGCTGCTTGTACTAGCCCAGACTGAAGCTGGTTTTATAGTGCTAGTTCACTGAGATACCATGCCGCAGTGAAGCATGAATACCCCACTCAGACACATTATACTGACTCCGAGCCGACCAGACCTTGTTGTACCCATTAATGCCAAGCGCCAGGCAGGGACCAACAAGTACCATATTTTAACGTCTTTTGGTATGACGCAGTCGGGGATCGAACCCGCGACCTTCCGCTCTTCGGGTGGACGTTCTACCCACTACACCACGGAGGTGGTCCTTTCAGGATGGAACTTATACATAACAAAAGTGTCACAACTCAGGGTCCCAAAGGGTGAACACACAATTAAAGCAATGGAAACATCATGAACCATCTACAGAAGGGGAAGACAATGTCTTCAATCAAGTGGCAAGGTCATGGCCAAATGGTCGATATTTATTGCGAAACCTTGTCCAAGTTTTGCTGGCATGTACTTTTAAAGGGCTTATCAATGAATGTTCATGCCAAAGTACTGCCCAAGGCATAGGAAATTGAATGTTTATAAAAGAATTACAAACTGCTGGGTTGAACATGACATTGTGCTTTCTCAGTTGAATAGTTGACAATGAAACATGTTATCATTGTAATTCCTGAATCCACAAAACACGCTAAAGTATATTGCTGACAGAGTGTTTATTCACAAAAGCAAAGGTCGCCCTTCAATACAGGTATTTACTGTTTGTTGTTTAACACCGCAGTCAGCAATATGCCAGCTATTCCGTGTTAGCATGTAAATAGTTGAACAGACAATCCAGTGATCAACATCAGTAGCATCGATCTATGCAATTGTGATATGGTTTCACCGTGTAAATGTTTCCCCAAAGGTTCAATGCCACTGTGTCAAACCTAATCGGCATCATGAAGTTACCAGAAATGTTTTCCCACACTGACACCACTGTGATGCTTCATGTCTGAGTGAGTGAGTGAGTGAGTGAGGTTTTACGCCAAACTCAGCAATATTCAAGCTATATGGCGGTGGTCTGTTAAATAAATGAGCCAACAGCATGAGCATCAATGTTGATCACTGGATTGTCTGGTCCAGACAATATTATTTCCGAAGACTATATGGCTATGTAAATGTCACTACACTTGTAAGCTTTGGCGTTAGTGCTAACAACTGAAGATTTCTGAAGGTTGCTTGATTGCGCAAGTGCCTTTGCACACTCACCATACTGATCGGACTTAATGCCATTTAAACATTTCATGTGCATCTTGCGGTTGCTCGATTGTGTAGGTGTCTTTCCATAGTCACCCAAAAAATTACATTTGACACCACTGTGGCATTTCATGTGTGTCTTGAGGTTGCTCGACTGTGCAAACGCCTTCCCACACTCACAGCACTGGAATGGTTTAACGCCATTGTGACACCTCATGTGCGTCTTCAGGTTGCCGAACTGTGCAAACGCCTTCCCCCGCAGTCTATACACTTAAAAGGTTTGTCCCCACTGTGACACCTCATGTGTTGCTCCAGGTCAGACAGTTCTGTAAACGATCTCCTACACTCAGTACATTTATATAATATGATGCCACTATGATGTTTCAAGTGCATCTTGAGGGTGTATGGTCGTGTAAATTCTTTCCCACACGTATCACATTTGTGAAGCTTTGCCACAATGTGACATCTCGAGTGAAAAATGAGGCTGTCCGATTCTTCAAATTCTTGCCCGCACTTGTCACACCTATAAGGAGGAGCATCGATGTGACACTGCCGATTATGCTTCTGGTCACATGACTCCTTAGATTCTTGCCTGCTCTCATCACTCCGTATTACTCTTGGCATCAATGTGACTCTGCCGATAATGCTTCAGGTCACATGACTCTTTAGATTCTTGCCTGCTCTCATCACACGTATTACTCTTGGCATCAATGTGACTCTGCCGATGATGCTTCTGGTCACATGACTCTTTAAATTCTTTTCCACACTCGTCATACTTATAAGGCTTGGCATCGCTGTGAAACTGCTCATGTGTTTTCAGGTCACATGACTCAAGAAATTCTTGCCCACACCTATCAGACTTGGCATCATTGTGACAATGAATATGCTGCTTCAGGTCACATGACTCTGAAAATTCTTTCCCATACTCATCGCATTTATAAGGCTTGGCTTCACATGGACCGTCACTCTCACCACATGTATTGCTCTTGGCGTCCATGTGACACAGCATGTGTTTCTGTAAACTACGTGATGCCACGAACACCTTCCCACACTCACCACACTCGAACGGCCTGACAACACTATGGCTCCTCATGTGTGTCTGAACATTTCCTGATTTTGCAAATGTCTTCCCGCACTCACCACACTCGTACGGTTTGATTCCCGTGTGACCCATCATGTGCTGTTTCAAACTACCCGATATCACAAACGCCATCGCACATTCAGAACATTTGTAAGGTTTAATACCACTGTGGCTCCTCATGTGTATCCGAAGGGCTCCTGATTGTGCAAATGCCTTTCCACACTCGCCACACTGATAAGGTCGGACTCCATTGTGATACCTCATGTGCATTTTAAGCTCAGAAGCTATCACAAAGCTTTTCCCACACTCATTACACTTATGTGATCTGATGTCACTGTGATATCTCATGTGTTTCCGCAAATAAGCTTCTTGTACAAATGTTTTCTCACACTCAGTGCACTCAAAAGGTTTTACCCCGTGAAGTCTGACATGTTGTTCAAGGTCACGTGTCTTTGTAAATGTTTTCTTACATTCCTTACAAGGAATAGGCTCAACTCCACTGTGATGGTTCATGTGTTTCTGGAGGTGTCCTAGCTGTGTGTATGTTTTCCCACACTCTGTACAAGAATAAGGTCTTTCGCCAGTGTGATGTCTCATATGAGTCTTCAGGTGGCCTAATTGTGTAAATGTTTTCTCACATTCCGTACAAGGATAAGGTCTTACTCCACTGTGAAGCCTCATGTGTGTCTTTAGGTGACCAAGTTCAGTGAAAGTTTTCTCACATTCTGTACATGAATGCGGTCTTTCTCCGCTGTGAAGCATCATGTGTGACTTCAGGGTTCCTAATCGCGTAAATGTTTTCTTGCATTCTCTGCAAGAAAACGGTCTTACTCCATTGTGATGCCTCATGTGTGTCTTCAAGTGGGCTGATTGTGTAAATGTTATCCCGCACTCTTTACATGGAAAAGCCTGGGTTTCTTTGTGAAGCGTCATGTGTGATTTCAGTTTACTTTGAGCATTGAATTCTTCCCCACATTTGTCACATTGAAAAATTTGCTCATCGTTCTGCTGTTTGTTAATGCCCTTTCCATCACTCTTCTGTTTCTTGGGACTATTTGTTTCTGTTGACGCTTCTTCACATCCAGTGTTTCTGTCCTCATTCATGTCACTGTTGTTGTCCTCCTCTTCACGCTCTGTCTTCACCACAATGTCAGGGCTGTTAATGCCCTCTGCGTCACTCTTCTGTTTCTTGGGACTATTTGTTTCTGTTGACTCTTCTTCACATCCAGTGTTTCTGTCCTCATTCATGTCACTGTTGTTGTCCTCTTCTTCAGGCTCTGTCTTCACCATAACGTCAGAACTGTTAATGCCCTTTGCGTCACTCTTCTGTTTCTCTATCTCCTCAAAAAACTCATGGATGTTAACGCCCTGAGTGTTTACTATGAACCTCAACTTAGCTGTCAGTCTCCCTCCATGCATCTTCTCCAGATGTTTCCACAACAACACCACAGATGAGAAACCAAGGTCACAGGTATCACATGGGTACATATCTGGAAGTAGAAAGTCAAGATGAAACACATAGAAATATTTGTTAGTAGTTGCGGGAAGGTTTTTACTCATACAACTACTGGCAAAGTCCCTCTGGATGAGTGTTGATGGACAAGTTCTGCGCCTCCCTTACGAGGAACTGCAAACCGAGGAAGGCTGTGTGTGTGTGTTTGTGTGTGTGTTTTGTTTTGTGTGTGTGTGTTTTGTGTTTGTGTGTATGTGTGTGTAGAAGCATGTACAACGTGAATGAATCAAACTCCCCTCAAGATAAAAGGTACAAAGTAAGTGACAAGCAGCTTGTAATGTTTACGATAAATTCCTCCAGAATTACTTCACCAGTCCTTGAGTAAAAAGGTGCATTTCCATTGAATTAACCTTAGTTATGGTTTTAAGCACGTAAACAACGAGGAATTGTAGACAGGATGGAGCTGATGGCCTGAGGGTAAAATCACACCCCTTGTTTTTCGGGTTGTCTACCAAAGTTGAAATTGCCATTTTGCATCGGACCCTTGAAGAACCTTGTTAGAATTGGTCTTAAGCAACCCATGTATGTTGTAAGTGGCAACTAATGGCATCATGCCAAAACCTGATTAAGGCATCTATTGCTGTACAACTAGTGCCCTCAGTGAAAGCTGAACTTGTTTCTTTTCTAATACTGTTTACCTTCTGTGTGGCCCTCCGTAAGTTTAAGTTGCCTCTTGATACCAAGGTTCTTAGCATACTTGTGTCCATACCATACAAGCAGCTCGGAACCCACACCAATCTCCTTGTACACTCTGTAGTAGATATGACCTTTGTATTGAAATGCTGTCAGATTCTGTTCCTCCTCTGTACGAGCACAGTTGACATATCTCATCCAGTTGGCCGTGCTGCAGTTGTGGCCATCCACAAAGTGGGAAGGTTGTCCATCTGTGTGTATCTGGATGAAAGAACGTAGGACATAACAAGGGGTGCTGTGGTGCAGACTTTGTATTTCCGTGCGTGCGTGCGTGCGTGTGGATTGCATGCATGAGTCTTGGGAAGTGGGACGGTTGTCCATGTGCGTATCTTCCCAAAAGACAGACCTCCTAAAAGATAGACCGCTTGAAACAACACATTTTATGGTTGGTTGCATAAGGCTTAATGAAGCTGTACCCCCTTGATAATAATGGTATGTGACCAGATAAAGACAACATTAGGTATTAACTATAGTTTTATCAAGTCATGTAATGAATTATGATTTTTATCCATGTGTGTGTATCTAGAAAAAAGGGAATATAAATGAAAATGAATGATAAAACCCCTTTTAGCCTACAATGTTTTCTTGTACATTTGTGATAATCCTGTGACATGCGTGAACTCTTCCCACTGAATAATATTCAATTATTCTACAAAATCTGGAATACTGTATCACTGTTCCAGAATTGGAAGTGCCATCTTGATTTATAATACACATGTTACATGGATGTGTTAGATCTTCGTGGAGAAAGTTTGAGTAGCATCACAATGTCATCCATTACGACACAATACAAAGTAGGATACAATTATTACAGGACAAAGGCACAATGCAGTTGGTCAGCAAGCATGGGCATCGGATGACCAACCTCCAGCGAAGAAAACCTACACCGATCAGCTGATCTATAAACTACATTAAACCTCAGGTAGGTGGGCTGGCAGTGACTTCATATTTCAAAAGTTAAAATCTGTGTTAAATGCAATGATTATTGACATTAATAGCATATTTCTATCGTTTCTCACAGTACTTTAGAACCAAACATACTTGCCAGCTGTATCCTGATCTTTGAGCAGTGGCCTCATCTTTGATTGTGTCTCCCTCATACGGCCCAAAGCAGGTGCGTGGAACCAAGTCCTGAGATGCCCAAACTCCAAGTCCAGCTCCTGGGATTCCAGACTCCTCAATCTCTAGACCAATGGGCATTGTTTTCCATGCCCTGTCCAAGCGTCCTGGTGTTTCCTGAAAACATGCCCCATTTAAAAAATTGTAAACATGTCTGCCTCCAAAATAAGCTTGTCACCATGTCACTGTCTGACATTCACGTCAGTCCATTTTGTATCAGCATTATAGGCATTTGTTGTTCGTATTCTGTCATAATTGCTTGCACTTCTGGAAAATCTTTCCAAACAAATTTTGATGTTTTTAACATGTTTATACAGCTATACACTCCAATAGTTTCACTGAAAGTATCTCAATTGAAAATAGAGTCAGTGGGGTAGCCAAGTGGTTAAAACATTACCTCGTCGCGACGAAAACCCAGGTTTCGAATCCCCACATTGGTACAACGTGTGAAGCCCATTTCTGGTGTTCCTTGCCGTGATATTGCTGGAATATTGCTAAAAGAGGCGTAAAACTAAACTCACTCACTCACTTCACTGAAAATGTAGTAATTTCAAAATGTGTCATATCCTGTCAAATGTTGATCCCATTCTAGAGGCTATGAGAGTTTTATTAGCAGCAATGCTATAGGGTTTTACCATTTCTAAATGACCATTATTATCAAACATCATCATGATAAATACCTGTGTGTCTGCAACTATGAGGAGAGGTCCATGTACTGTACAGTCCCCTTCATAGTCCTTGCTGCAAAACAAGAAGACATGGTCATCAATATCCCCGCCACTGTGTTCTGTTCCTATTTGGTTCCTGTTTTTTAACTCCACCATGACATTCATGTCCTGAAAACATACCACATTTGGTTTCCCTATCTACAGCAGTTTCTGAGAAAATCTGTCCCCATTGGGGATACTGTGATAAGTCAAGAAATGCATGACAAGGGCTAACTCTGTAACAAATTGTAACACGGTTTCCATTTTCGAACTCCATCAAGGCATTCATGTGCTGAAAACACATGCCAAATTTGGTTTCCCTATCTATAATGTTTTTGAGAAAATCTGTCCCCATCATCTTGGACAGATGGATGGATGGAGCTCAAACCAATATCTCCCTATCCCCTGGCCCATTTGTCTGAAGAAAGGAATGTGCTTCCTTCAATACCGGGTGATAATATCTTCACATGGCTCCTGTTTCACCTGAAATTTGCACATCAGTAATACTGATATATAGGGACATATAAACTATCTTTACCTGAAAGTAAGGTGAGGTGAAATTGGGTTTTACGTCGTGCTTGAGAATATTTCGCTCACATGACGACGTGCATGCGTGTGTATGTGTTCGTGCGGCTGCTTGTACTAGCCCAGACTGCTGGTTTTATAGTGCTAGCCCACTGAGATACCATGCGGCAGTGAAGCATGAATACCCCACTCAGACACATTATACTGACTCCGAGCCGACCAGTCCTTGTTATACCCATTATTGCCGAGCGCCAGGCAGGGACCAACAAGTACCATATTTTAACGTCTTTTGGTATGTTGCGGTCGGGGATCGAACCCGCGACCTTCCGCTCTCCGGGCACATTATACTGACTCCGAGCCGACCAGTCCTTGTTGTACCCATTATTGCCGAGAGCCAGACAGGGACCAACAAGTACCATATTTTAACGTCTTTTGGTATGTTGCGGTCGGGGATCGAACCCGTGACCTTCCGCTCTCCGGGCGGACGCTCTAACCACTACATCACGGAGACGGTCTTACCTGAAAGTAACTGAATCTTAACAAGATAACCTGTACCTGATTCAAATAAATAGCAGTGTGCGAAATTTATGCCGGTCCTATGGTCCCTGGATAGTAAAAATTCATCAGGACCACTAAATGATACGTTTGCAATGGTCCTGGTAGTCAGTGAATTTTGTATTGATAGTTTAAGTAAATCTATGAATGTTATTTTGGACCAGTGAAGTGAGTGAGTATGGTTTTACGCCGCTTTTAGCAATATTCAAGGTTTATCATGGCGGGGAACATCAGAAATGGGCTTCACACATTGTACCCATGTGGGGAATCAAACCCGTGTCTTCAGTGTGATGAGTGAATGCTTTAACCACTTGGCTACCCAACCGCCCAGACCAGTGAAGTGCAGACTGGACTACTAATTATTGTCCACTCACTGGTCCTGTGGTCTAGTGGGAGATTATAAAAGGTTTCTTTTCCTGAAATAGCGCAGTCAGCAATATTCAAGGTATAGAATGACACCTAGTAAATTAACATGGACCAGACAATCCAGTGATCAACATTGTGAACAACAGGCCTTGCTGCCAGACCACAATGACCAACTATCAACCAAGTCAATGGTCCTGGGCCCTTATTCTCGTAACGTTCGTAGCCCTTAGAATTCTTAACTTTGATCGTAGCCAATGTGTTAAGAATGGGCTTAAGAAGTTCGTAGGGCTACGAACGTTTCGAGAATAGCTAGCCTGAACACCTTTAGTTGCCACTCATGCCCAGCATAATTTGCTGGGCTCCAGTGCTAACGCGCAGTCGTTATGGGGAGACTATTGGAGTACAATGACATGCCATTATTATAGGATATAGCGCACATATCCACACACTACTACATGCTCAAGGTGCTAGAGTGTTCCCTTGATCAACAGATTCGTTTTTCTGGCATTCTTTTAACCGACTCAACTCCCTGGGGAGTATTCAACTCATTCAGCCTGTTAGGCGCAGCGAGTTATCACACAACCTCCTCCTCACAAGCTACCCTTTGCATCTGACTGAACTGGGACACATAGTGACAGTATTTTGTCGAATGATACTGCACGTTACTATACCCGCAACTATAGTCTGTTTGCAGTGAAAATGTTCCGATGAATTTCACTCTAAACTAAAAAGTAAATCGATTAAAGGGAAATTAAGATTGCGAATCCTCATAATTTTACTTTGCCAATTGAACATTCAAATCTCAGAATTTTATTCAACTTAGGATAAAAGTTGTTCAACAAATGATCATAGTTTCAAATCGCTATTATTGGTTTGTATTACAAGGGGGTATGCACATTAAATGAAACACCGAGAACAAGTAGGGCTGGTCTAAGTTAACGCTCATCACGTACCGTATGTGCATTTTTTTCACTATTCCATCTACTGCGCTTACCCCCTTGTAATACAAACCAATAGTAGTGATTTGAATCTATGATCGTTTGTCGAACAACTTTTATCCTAAGTTGAATAAAATTCTGAGATTTAAATGTTCATTTGGCAAGGTAAAATTATGAGGATTCACAATCTTAATTTCACTTAATTTGATTTACTTTTTTGTTTAAAGTGAAATTCATCGGTACGTTTTCACTGCAAACAGACTATAGGTGTCTGCACGTGTTCGTGTGTCCACCATCTGGCCATCTACCATCGGATGAGCAGTTTCTTTGAAGTGCACAGGGTTGTCATGTCACAGAGCATCACGCTCACTGCCTAGACAATACCCATGAATTCCTGACTGCAATAATTTTTCATGGAAAAATGACAAATGTAGGGTCCATACTTTTGGTGATCACATATAATTTGTGTTTTTGTTATATATTTTTTAACAGAAAGGGGGTTGATGGATATTATAAATAAAACATAACATCACACAAGAGAGTGGATTCTTATGATACTTACAGCAAAGTCCATGTTTAAAGTGCTTTATCCACAGAGAAAGTACATCACCATTTTCTGTAACCTGAAGATCATAAAGTATCAGTTTCAGCCATCATTGTCAGTGCTTGAAAAATACAATTGAAGACAGATAGCTAATTAAACACTGAAACTAAATGGAGTCAAGGTATGTATGGCCAAATAAAAAAAATAGGTAGGTAGGAATATTTTCTTCTTTGTTTTCACATTTTTTTAAGAAGTAAAGTACAAACTAATAACACATTTATCAATGTGTAATTGTTTATTCAACCAAGCTTGCGGCCATCATGTCAACTTTCTCTATCAGAATGACCGATGTCCGTTGATGCCGGGAAAAAACAATGGTATCTGAAAGCTTATTTTATTCATACCTCTTAAAGAAACATAGGGTCGGCACCAGAATTAAAGGGTCGGTCGGGTAATCGGAACTACAACATTATTTTTTTTAGACCTATGTGTTTATATACAGGTAGCATAAAACATTAAATGTACATAGTGAGGTGAGGTGAGTGTTAAGTTATATGTCATGTCTGGAGATGTCCTAGGAAGACTCAGATAACATGAAACTGTGGTGGGAGACGAACACTTTATTCCATGTTGGTTTTGCCTTGGCCTACACAGACGCACGCTGCCCATGGACCAGTCGTTGTGTACAGACTCTTAGGGAGTAATCATTATGCAACATCTCCCTTTCTTTAGAAAAGTAAAGATAGCAATTAACACACTATCCCAGCAAACAGTTTAAACAAATGCTAAACAAGTTAAAATGAACAAATTAAAGTCTATATCTCTTTCTTGAGAAATTAAAAGTCTTTGCTAATAAGCAGGACCACACGTCATATCTTCCTCCCTTTTTTTCTTTTTAAGGCACAAAGTCCCTGTATCGGGGTGGTGGTCTGACCACCCTGCCTCTCCTCGTTCTGATCTCATGACCAGGTGCTGTGCCATGAACAGAACTGTCCATGATCCTAGGAGTGTTCACAGGAGTGTTCACATCAAAGTCTACAGGAGTTTTCAAAAATTTCACAGGAGTTTTCACAGGGGTTTTCACAGGAGTGTTACCAGGGGAGTTCACAGTTGACTGAAACTCTTTCATTGACCTTTCATCCATTCTCTGCTCTTCCAAATCCAGTTCGACATCTTTAGTCTCAGGGGCAGCCTCTTGAGATTTTCTTAGATGGCATCTATTTCTCCAAGAGATCTTCCATCTTCTGTAACGCATGTCATAATGATCGTTACATCCACTTGTTGTTCTACAACAGCTTTCTTCCATTTCTTTTGTCACGACTGAATGGCTTCACCCGAACTACATCTCCATCTCTCAGTTCTGAAAGTTCAGCTGCACCGCGATTGTAGTAGTAAGCTTTGTTTGGACCTCTTGCTTGAAAAGCGGCAGGGACGCTTTCAATAGTTTTCGCTGCAGCAATCGACTTGACGCTGGTAGCTTCGCTCTCGCTCTGCTTCAAACAACCTTTGAACTGGCGAAGCTGCCTACACCGCCAGTCGGCACATTTCTTAAGTCCAATAGGGCTGTGAAAGGGGTCTGACTGTGCATGCTGAGACTTACTCATGAGTCTCTTGACGATCTTCACAGCACTCTCCACTTTCCCATTCGACTGTGGGTACCTGGGTGATGAAGTGATATGATCAAACTCGTACTCTGTTGCAAATGTATGGAAAGCTTCAGAATTAAAGGGAGGTCCATTGTCTGACACAATCTGATTGGGAAGTCCATGCCTCGCCAAATGGGATTTCAACTTTTTAATGATTTCAGGTGCCCTTTTATCATGCAGTCTGTCAACCTCAAAATAGTCCGAGTAGTAGTCAACAGTGATCAAAAAATCTTTTTGATCAAACTCAAAAAGATCACACCCTAGTTTCTCCCATGGACGACTAGGTATTTCATGACTGACCAATGGCTCTCCTTTGATCCTGTTGCAGCGTATTGCAAGTATCACACTTGCTGATGAAATCTGTGAGGTCAGCGCCATATTGGGCCAATACACAGACTCTCTGGCTCTTCTGATACAACCTTGTATCCCCAAGTGACTGTAGTGAATTCTTTCCATGATGCCAGGGCGGATACTGACTGGCACAACAACACGCTCACCCTGGAACACTATGCCGCTTTTGAACAGAGAGCTCATCGCGAAAAGGGGAAAAAACCTGGCACACCATGGCACATCATCTGACGACGCTGGCCAGCCATTCCTGAACTCAGATCCTTCAGTATCGCCATTGATTTGTCTTCCACAGTTGCTTTTGTAACTGGTCAATTCGCTCCTCAGATATTGGCACATACTCAACCATGTTGATGGATTCAACGCCAAGCTGTCTGACATCGCGACATCAACAGCAAACACATCTCCGCATCATCAGTCTCAGTATGTTTCACATGTGGAAGATATGCTCTACTCAGAGTGTCAGCAAAGAACATTTGAGATCCCTCTTGTAGATGACCTCAAAATCGCATTTCTGAAGTCGTAACATCATGCGTTGGAGACGCTTCGAGCACACAACAGACTTTTGCGCAGTATTGACTCCAATGGCTTGTGGTCCGATTCTTAACGACCACCTTCCGTCCAGACAGACATACTGTTCAAATCGCTCCATGCCAAAGACAATCGCCAACATTTCTTTCTCTATCTGAGCATATTGTTTCTCAGTGTTGGTCAAAGATCGAGATGCATATGCTACAGGCTGACCATTTTGGATCAGACAAACACCCAGTCCATTTTGTGATGCATCACACTGAAGGCTTGTCTCAAGGCCATTGTCAAAGTACTTCAGTACAGGTGGTTCAGACAGAATATGTTTGATTTTTCCAAACACTTGCCATGAACTTGCTCATCCCACCTGAAGTTCACATCACTTTTCAACAGATCCCTCAGAGGTGCAGTCACTTCAGACAAGTTGGGTACAAATTTCTGAACAAAGTTCACCATCCCTAAAATGTAAAACTGAATACCCTGCTTATCCAAGCTGGTGTGGGCATGTTTGTGATTGCTTCAACTTTCATGTGATCAATCTTTAATCCATCCGAGGTTACTTACATGTCCCAGATAAGGCACCTCGGGTCAGTTTCAGTTTCAGTTTGGATCTGTTCAGTTTGATATTTCTGTTCCTGCATCGATCAAGGAACTTGGACAACTTCTCATCATGATCTGGGCTTCAGCCACTTCATAAGTGTCTCCAACACCATAGATCAGAACATCATCATGTACAGCACGTGACTCTATCCAAACCACATATTGCCTCATTCAAACGGGCGCTGAAACTCCTCAGGTGCTGGTGACAACCCGAATGGCATTCGTGAGCCAACGGTAACGGCCCCCCAAGGTGTTTCAAATGTTGTCAAGAAACTGCTTTCCTCCTCAAGCTGGATATGCAAAATCCATTTTAGCATCTGCTAAAGTAAAGCACTTAGCGTTTGATAATTCCGCAGAATGTCATCAATTGTCTTTATTGGATAATGATTCCTCTTGAGAGCTTGATTCAGTGGTTTAGGATCTATGCAAATCCTTATCTTGTCAGTACCCTGTTTCTTGACCACAACAAGGGCAGAGATCCAGTCAGTAGGAACATTCACAGGGGTGATGATCTTCAGATCAGCCAGTCTTTCAAGTTCAGCCTTGAGTTTCTGTTGTAAGGCAAGTGGAAACTTACGACATGGTAGCTGGACTGGTGTCACAGTCTCATCTACTTCAAAACGCCAACAAGCCATCAAGTGTGCTCCTCTCCTCAAATACATCCTTGTAACGACATGGATTATGTCCGTGAAGGTCCAATCTTTGCTAACTCTGTAGAAACATCCCCACTACCTGAGATCTGGAAAATGTTCTCAAAGTTCACAGTGATTAGCTGCATTTGTTGAACAGCTATTGCACCAAGTATTGGTGGTGAGCCTCTGTCCCTCGCTATCAAGAATTCAATGGTGTATTCACCCTGATTCCTGGGATTTTTGACAGTCACTCACACTTGCCAACAGTTTGAGATTTCACCCATTGTACATTCAAGAGTAGTATTGACCTGTGTTTCCAACTTTCCAGGTGGGGATCCTGAAACACATTAGCGTAGATAGTCTCTGGCAACACATTGACAGTAGATCCACAATCTAGCTGAAATTTGACCTCAGTTTCCTTGATGAGGAGGACAGCAAAATCTTCCGTAGAATACTGTTGACTTTCACCATGTAATTGAACACTGTTCACATTTTCAACATCCACTGATAAAATATATTCATCCTCAGTATCCTCATCACTCAGTAGTTGAACATTGGCTTGACTCGACTGGCACACATAAGCAAAATGATTTGGTCGTTTACATTTGTTGCAAATTCTTCCCCATGCTGGACATTCCTTCCTGCCCGAACACATGACTAAGCGCCCACAAAATTTGCACTGTAGAGACTGATCACTTCTGGTAGTCAATCCAGGTTTAGTTTCCTTTCCTTTGGGTTTTTTGTAACCTCTAGTTTTACTGATAGCTTGCACATCCTCAGTGTTTGATAGAGATTTTAGTCTAGCAGCTGCTCTCTCATGGGACCTACAGATGTCAATACAATCTTTCAGTGATAGGTTCAAGACTGCAGCAGTCTCTTTGAAAGTGGAGTTATCACAAATGCCCATCACCATTCGATCCCTGATGAGACTATCTTCAAGCTTCCATAATTGCATGTTTTAGCTAGAGTCCTAAGTGTTGCTACATAAGTATCAACAGATTCAAAGTGTTCTTGATTCCGCTTGTTGAAATTGAACCGTTCCCATGTTTCATTGGTCTCGCCAATGCAGTAAGCTTCTAGTTTGTCCAATATTTTCTCGACTTTCCTCCTATCATTTTCACTGTCGAACTGCAACCCATCCAATATGTCTAGAGTCTCAGAACCAATACAAGTTAACAGCGTAGCTGATCTGCATTCATCAGAATCTGTCTTTGTTCGAGAAGCAAGCTCATAGTTTCCCCACATTCGCTTGAACTTTATGAAATTTCTCACAAATCGCCTTCAGATCAAGCTTAGGAGGCAAAGGAATGTTCATAGGTAACGTGTATCACTTGTGGTGAAGGAATATTTCCACTTTCATCAGCCATGATTGAGTAGTAGTAGCAGTAGTTTCGCTTTGTCCATATATTACTCAATCTTAACTAGCAATATAATCAGGATTCACAGAAACTCCGTTAGTCACAGATTCAATATTGTCACACAAAACACCGCATGCTCTCCACTATCGAAATTAGGTGACACTGAACCACGTGCGTCTCGGCTCTTTCAATCAAAAGATATTCAGTCAGTAATGCACAACAATTTGTAAAGTTTGTCAGGCGTACTCACTTCTGACACCATGTTAAGTTATATGTCATGTCTGGAGATGTCCTAGGAAGACTCAGATAACATGAAACTGTGGTGGGAGACGAACACTTTATTCCAGTGAGGTGAGGTTTAATGTTGCACTTAAGATTATCTCGCTCATATGATGATGTATGTGTGTGTGTGTGTGGCTGCTTGTACTAGCCCAGACTAAACCTGGTTGTATAGAGCTAGCTCACTGAGATACCGTGCCACAGTTAAGAATGAATACCCAACTCAGACTGACTGACTGAGTTTAATTTTACGCCGCTTTTAGCAATATTCCAGCAATATCACGGCCGGGGACACCAGAAATGGGCTTCACACATTGTACCCATGTGGGGAATCGAACCTGGGTCCTCGGCGTGACGAGCCAACGCTTTAACCACTAGGCAGTACTTATCTAAGGACATGACCCAGTTAGGCTGGCCGCCATGGGTTCTGTGTGATAGTGTAATTTGAATTTACTGGTTTGACAAAAGTAGTTGTTTTATAGAGAAAAATGGCATGAATGTTGAGGTAATTAGTCACCTGCAGAGTGAGTGAGTTTAGTTTTACACCGCTTTTAGCAATATTCCAGCAAAATCACAGCAGTGGACACCAGAAATGGGCTTCACACACTGTACCCATGTGGGGAATTGAACCAAAGTCTTTGGTGTGATGAGCGAATAACCGAAAGACTACTCCACCGGCCCAATCAACCCCAGAATCCTGTTAGTCGCCTCTAATGACAAGCATTGGTTGCTGAAGACCAATTCCAAATCAGATTTCACATTAAATATTTGGGTACCAATTGGGCGTTTTGATCAGTCTGGGATGGTTCCGACTTTGGCCGCTTTGGTATGTGACAATTGTGTAGTTCTTGTATTGAACTATTCACCGCTAGACGAAGTCGAGTTCAAAACCACAACTTTCATAAAAAAATGTACGAGGTCAACACCAACAACAGAAACATCAAATGTCGATCTGGTGTTCACCACAATGATTTATTCTACCGTAATGTTGGGTCATGTTTTAACGGTCGGAACCAGTCGCAGATAGGGACCATGGGCCTAATAAATATACACCATGCATGCATCTTTCTCGTTTGGACAACAAAAATGAAACCATGCATTACATGTATCGTCCATATTAGTAGGATTTTGTATCGTCCACGTAACTTACCACTTCTGTCTTATGAACACTCGGACGTAAACAGATAGGCTTTGGTTTCGGACGTTTGCGTTCGGGTTAAACCAAAACGGCTAAGCCACAAAAGGGCCGTTGACTGACCTCCCTCAAAACGGCCAAACTTGTTGAGCGATCAAAGGTTATAATTTAAAATGTAAAATATGTTTCTGATTCCTTTTAATTTCACTTTAAAATTCCCGAGCATATAACATACAGTATACTGCCAACACCCATTTTAGTACTCAGGATTCGGGGGTCTATTCTGAGTATTCAGATGCCACTTGCAACGGGAGAGGATGAATGAGTGAGTATTGTTTTACGCTGCTTTTATCAATATTCCAGCAGAATCACGGAATTATCCACATAGGCCGGAATTGTGTTTTCAGCGCAGAATGTATATCTTAATATCTTAACATTGAATCTGCGTACTAAATACGACTGTGTGTGCGTCCTGAGTATCATATCCTGCCCTGGGGCGGTGGGGTAGCCTTGTGGTTGAAGCATTCGCTGGTCGCACTGAAGACCCGGATTCGATTCCCCACTTGGGTACAATGTGTGAAGCCTATTTCTGGTGTCCTCGCCGTGATATTGCTGGAATATTGCTAAAAGCGGCGTAAAACCATATTCAGTCAGTCAGTCTTAGCGCTACAACATTCGTAGGCCTATGATGAACTATAGGAAACTGTGCTCTAATGACAGGACCTGTACTTGTCTTCGCTCTGAAAGCGTGTAAAAGCATGTAAAATACGTTTATCGTCCCAAACTGTGTTCCACAGGAGATATTGGCTTGTGTGAGAAATCGGGGCCAGGTATGCACTTTTTTTATTAATTTCATTATTCATCCTCTGCAAGCCTCGCATATTTTTACTTTCATCAACGAGTGATCGGGTGAGATTCTATTTATCATCACTAATGACTCTTCATTAATTTTAATGAAAAATGTACATATCTGGCCCCGATTTCCTTTGTAACTTTATCAACTCGTGATTATATATTTGATATCAAAAGACACGTGCGTGAGATTCTCTATAACTCATCACGATATTGGTCTCTTTCATGTTAAAGTCACTTCAGTTTGGGCGTCCAACGTCACCGCGAACACAGCTTTCGAGGCGTAGTTACGTCGAAGGCCTAGGCGTGATACGAAGCATGATACGAGAGAGCAGTTTACCGCACACGTTCCAAAATATTGGTCTCGTTTTGGTAAGTGATGTACAAGAACCTCTGCTTCAGTAACGGGTTGTAAGTTTATATAAGTTGTCAACTAAAGAGCATATTGCCATTGTCAGCAGTATTAGAGTAAGTAGTATCAGCATGCTTGCAAACAAAACAAACAAGCTTTAGCTAGCTCGCGCTATGGCGTAGTTTATGACTGTCATCACTGACCACTTGTACTGCAGCCATGTGTCTTCGTGGTTATGGGTCGGGGCGGTGGGGTAGCCTAGTAGTTAAAGCGTTCGCTCGTTACGACGAAGACCCCGGGTTCGATTCCCCATATGGGTACAATGTGTGAAGCTCATTTCTGGTGTGATATTGCTGGAATATTGGTGAAACCGGCAAATACCATAGTCACTTCCGGTTATGGGTCATTACGGAGATAGTCTTCAGTGTGAGATGATATGGCAAACATTAAACCCACAACATCGAGTAAACTGTCTTATACACGGAAAAGGACCTAGAGGTCTACAAACACAGTTATGGGAACGAATAGCCAGACCGTCCTCATATGTCTTTACCATTTCTAATCGCAATCTTACGCTCGGCAAGTGACTTTCGGTAAACGGGCCGTAGGGTAGCCCCATTGATTAAAGCGTTCACTCGTCACGCCGAAGCCCCGGGTTCGATTCCCGTTCTAACAGAACGGTCCGAACTCGCCTAAGATCGGTTGGGTATATAGCCTGACGACCTATTTGACATCCTTTGTTATCCACAGAGCGCAAAGAAGCACCACTACCTTGGTGTCAAGCTCGAATTTGAAGTCCTGACAAAGGCCATCATGGCCGCGTTCAGGATGGCGATACAGAAACACTGCATATACACAGGGCAGAGTAAGTGGGTGAGTGAGTTTAGTTTTACGCCGCTTTTAGCAATATTCCAGCAACACGACGGGAGACACCAGAAATGGGCTTCACACATTGTACCCACGTGGGGAATCGAACCCGGGTCTTCGGCGTGAGAAGTGAACGTTTAACCACAAGGTTACCCCACCGCCCTAATGCAGAGCAAGTACCGTTTGTGGGTACACTTGACACTTGACCTTGTGACGATCAGACAAAATCTGAACAAAAACACAAACCCAGTCTTCATCTCGGGACATTGCTAGGCCATTGTGCACGTGCATGATTTCTTACGCCATGAGTGAGTGAATTTAGTTTTACGTCGTTTTTAGCAATATTCCCGCCGGGGACACCAGACACGCATTGTACCCATGTCGAACCCGGGTCTTCGAACGAACGTTTTAACCACTTGGATACCACACTGCCCTTTACGCCAAGAGGCGGAGCAACACTACCTTGGCCATGAGTCCAGATCTCAATACCATAGAGCATATTTGGAACATCGTGGGTTGCAGAATACACCAGAGAGATCCTCCAGTACAAATATTGCTATATTGGAACAAACCCTCCATCAAGGATGTAATGCATTACCTCAACGTCAAATTCAACGACTAATACAGTCACTGAGCAGAAGGGCCAGAGGTTATTGCAGCTGGCGGATGTTACACCAGATATTGATATCGGTAGATAAAAGATGTGAAGCGGATGTCATCTTTAGGAGGGGGGCATCAATAAGATCGACCTGGCTGTATTGGAGCTATGACGAATACCTTGCAATTAAGGCACCATGTCTGCACCCAAGTTACAATACCCTACATGTTGTCTCAGGTTTTTAATTAAAACCCCAGACTTTGTAAGAATAAGTGTGCATTAACGTGAGAAATAACGACTGGACAAATGCATTAGTGGCATAGTTTTAATATGAAGTTAAGGGATCTAGTGTCACATGAAGTCAAGTGATCCTCACATAATGTCAGGGTATCTGTCACAGTGTTTGTGTGTACAGTATCCAATTTATAAAGATTGTGGTCACTGAAGCAGAAACTTCTCTTGTGGAATTGGCTACCTCAGAGGTTGTTGGCTGTTGTTTACCAGTAATGCTCAAGTACAATGTACTGTCCCCAAAGTAAATTATTTTACACAGTGATCGTCTTCATGAAAGCTTCTTCACACTCTTTGAAGCTACTTCACACACTCATGAAAGCTTCTTCACACTCATGAAAGATTCATGCACTCATGGAAGCTTCTTCACACTCATGAAAGCTTCTTCACACACATTCATGAAAGTTTCTTCACACACTCAGGGAAGCTTCTTCACACACTCATGAAAGCTTCTTCACACACTCAAGGAAGCTTCTTCACACACACACACTCATGGAAGCTTCTTCACACACAGACACACTCATGGAAGGTTCTTCACACACAGACACACACTCATGGAAGCTTCTTCACACACACACTCATGGAAGCTTCTTCACACACACACACTCAGGGAAGCTTCTTCACACTCATGAAAGCTTCACACACTCATGAAAGCTTCACACACACATGAAAGCACACACTCATGGAAGCTTCTTCACACACACACACTCATGGAAGCTTCTTCACACACTCAGGGAAGCTTCTTCACACACACACACTCATGGAAGCTTCTTCACACACACACACACACTCATGGAAGCTTCTTCACACACATACACACACACTCATGGAAGCTTCTTCACACTCATGGAAGCTTCTTCACACAGAGACACACACTCATGGAAGCTTCTCACACAAATGGAAGCTTCTTCACACACACACACACACACGCACACACACACACACACACACACGGAAGCTTTTTCAAACCTATGAAAACCAAAGGCTTCACCTTCACCCTTTCAACAAGGTACATGTTAAGGTGACCTGACTCTGTAGTCTTTTCAGTTGACCTGATGGTGTAACTGTTTCCTGCGGGGAAAGTGTGTCTCAGTGTCACGTGATCATGTAAACACCATCCATCACTAACAACACTGATCAGGTTTACTGCCACTGTGACATCTCAGGTGCTTCTTCAGGGTACCTGCTCGTGTAAATTCCTTGCCACACTCATTACACTTAAAAGGTTTGACACCAGAGTGACATCTCAAGTGGATCTTGAGGTTACTCGATTGCGTAAATTCTTTCCCACACTCATCACACTTGTAAGGTTTCACACCACTGTGACATCTCAAATGCATCTTGAGGTTACCCGATTGTGTAAACGCCTTTCCACACTCTTCACACTTATATGGCTTGTCCCCACTGTGACACCTCATATGTTGCTTCAGGTCACATGACCCTGTAAATGCCTTCCCACACTCCCCGCACTTATACGGCTTGTCATTGTGACACCTCATGTGTAGTTTCAGGTCCAAGGACTGTGTAAACGATTTCCCGCACTCAGGACACTTACAAAGCTTGACCCCCGTGTGACGAATCATATGTTGCTTTAGGCTACACGACTCTGTAAATGACTTTCCGCACTCGCCACACTTATAAGCCTTGACTCCCGTGTGCCGCCTCATGTGTTTATGCAAGTTACTTGACCCTACAAACGCCTTCCCACACTCACTACATTTATAAGCCTTGATATTGCTGTGGCTCCTCATGTGAGCCTGAAGGTTTCCAGATTTGGCAAATGCCTTCCCACACTGACCACACTGATATGGCTTGACTCCAGTGTGACACCTCATGTGCTGTTTCAAACTCCCTGATACAACAAACGCCATCCCACACTCACTACACTTGTAAGGCTTGATACCACTGTGGCTCCTCATGTGTATGTGAAGGCTTCCAGACTGTCTGAACGTCTTCCCGCACTCACTACACCGAAACTGTCGGACTCCGGTGTGACAGATCATGTGACGCTGAAGCTCTGATGCTTCTACAAAAGCCTTCCCACACTCACTACACATATGTGACCGGACACCAGTGTGATACTTCATGTGTTTCTGCAAATATTTTGCTTGCGCAAACGTTTTCTCACACTCGGTGCACTTATAAGGCTTTACTCCATGAAGTTTCATGTGTGTTTCCAGGTCATGTGACTTCATAAATGTTTTCCTACACTCATTACATGGAAAGGGTTTGGATCTTCTTTGACAAGTCATGTGTGTCTTCGGTTTACTTCCTGAATTCAGCTCCCCCTGACACTGAAAGTCGGAAATTTCCTGTGGCTGTTTATGTTTCTGGGCATTATTTGTTCCTCCTGGAGCCGCTTCACATCCAGTGTTTCTGTCACCATTAAGGACACTGTTACTGCCCTCTTTCGGAATCTCTGTCTGCACCACAATGTCAGGGCTGTTAATGCCCTTTGCGTAACTCTTCTGTTTGTTTTTCTTGGGACTATTTGTTTCTGTTAACGCTTCTTCACATCCAGTGTTTCTGTCCTCATTCATGTCACTGTTATTGTCCTCCTCTTCAGGCTCTGTCTTCACCACAATGTCAGAGCTGTTAATGCCTTCTGCATCACTCTTCTGTTTCTTGGGATTATTTGTTTCTTCACATCCAGTGTTTCTGTCCTCATTCATGTCACTGTTATTGTCCTCCTCTTCAGGCTCTGTCTTCACCACAATGTCAGAGCTGTTAATGCCTTCTGCATCACTCTTCTGTTTCTTGGGATTATTTGTTTCTGTTGACGCTTCTTCACATCCAGTGTTTCTGTCCTCATTCATGTCACTGTTATAGTCCTCTTCTTCAGGCTCTGACTTCACCACAATGTCAGGGCTGTAAATGCCCTTTGCGTGAGTCTCCTGTTTCTGTTTCTCCATCTCCTCAATAAACTCATGGATGTTAACGCCCTGAGTGTTTACTATAAACCTCAACTGAGCTGTCAGTCTCCCTCCATGCATCTTCTCCAGATGTTTCCACAAGAGCACCACAGATGAGAAACCAAGGTCACAGGTATCACATGGGTACATATCTGGAAATGGAAGATCAAGATAAGGCATACAGTAGTAAATCTGTCTGATTCATTTGTAATGATAAACATGGTCAGCTACGAGAGAAGCACATACCACTTCTCTGACAAAGATCAGGACATCCACAGTCTAAGCAACTTTAGGCTCAGTATTATTCGTTACACTGCTATACTGAGTCTAACAAACCCTAGTAGAAGGTCACGTCAGCTAACCTTTTGAATTGACCAATCAGAACACAGCTTACCAGCTCATAACCGTGAAATTTAACATTCGCGCATACTTTTACCTCGAAAACGTTTGTACTGGAACGATTTCTTATTTTCCACACAATCGCTTCCAAGTGATACACATGGAGGATGCCATTATCCACAAGAGTGAGTAAACAGTCACTGAAAATAGCGTTTTTCAATATTCCAGGATGTCATCTTGCAGAAATAGAAGCTAATAGTAACCATGTCATCAGAAACCCCTAAGCAAGCGCACTGTCATTTCATCTTGCATTGCCATTTTGTTAACAATAGCCGTTGTCTGATTGGTTAAATCTGTTCGGCCATCTCGTGATTGGACGGTCATAGGTCGCTCAAAAGATAGCTGATGCGACCTTCTACTAGGGTTTGTTAGACGCAGTATAGCAGTGTAATGAATATTACTGAGCCTAAGCTTACTTAGACTGAGGACATCCAACAACTGACATATTTAATTCAAGATGTCAATTCTTACAAGAAAATATCATAACGTTATTTACCTTCTGTGTGGCCCTCTGGGAGTTTAAGTTGCCTCTTGATACCAAGGTTCTTAGCATACTTGTGTCCATACCATACAAGCAGCTCAGTACCCACACCAATCTCCTTGTACACTCTGTAGTAGATATGACCTCTGTATTGAAATGCTGTCAGATTCTGTTCCTCCTCCGTACGAGCACAGTTGACATATCTCATCCAGTTGGCCGTGCTGCAGTTGTGGCCATCCACAAAGTGGGAAGGTTGTCCATCTGTGTGTATCTGAATGAAAGAAAACAGGAAATAACAGGGGGGGGCTGTGGTGCAGACTTAGAGGATATTATATGAGTGCCCATGTAGTGTTGGGAATGGTTAAAATCTCATAATTGATGATTGGTTTATTACAACCGATCAATCATTGAAAATAATTGGTTAGCGTCATTTATGAATTTTCCTGGTTATTTTTGTTTATAAAGCACAAAACATAAAGAAAAAACCATGTAGTTCTTTGGGTTTTTTTTGTTGCAAATTGCACATCTTTAAAGAATGACTAGTATGTTAGGAACATAAATTTCTTGGGGTCTTAAAGATAAATTCAATCATGACTTGGAACGAGCTTGTAGTGCTCATGAAATGTAACAGACAAAACCAACCTTGTGAAAAATATTGTTAATGCAAAAAGTGTTCCAGAATTGTTTGTGTTCGATTATGAGAAAACATGATCGATTGCTTGGTCGTTTAGCCACTGCGACCAATCTTCGATTATTTCAATTAATCGGATCACCACTATGCCCATGTCATACCATGTTTATGACATGAGTGCCTAAATGTTGGATATACCAGTATTTAGGCATGAGTGTCGTAAAAATAGTAGGGTATGACATGGCACGAATATTATGTTCTATTTATAACCAAAGTTGTCAAATTGAGGAAAATAAACCCAAATCTACTTTCAAACATAGGCTGGCTACCCGCCACCGCCACATGTAGAACGCAACGTCACAGAAGAAACGTGACGTTATAGCATTGTTCATGATGTCACGTCACCATGACAAAGTGATATTTTGCCCTAGGGCATCAAAAGAAAAATATGAACCCCTATATTTTCAACCTCGTTGGTAATAAACTGTATTTCTGTGAGTGAGTTGGACTTTAAACAGTCTATCGTGTATCAGTTATGTCCGAAGTAATGCAGGTTCTATACATTAAGTCGAAACAAACCTTGATATTCAATCACTTTGATTCTAACATTTTGATAAAAGATTGTTTGTTTCTAGCATGCCTTACAGATGGAACTCTGGTAATGACACCTATCATATTTCCATGTAAGTGTGTGCGTTTGTTTATGTGTGTGTGTGTGTGCATGCACGTGTGTGTGGTTGCTTGCATCAATCTGGGCTAATGCTGGTTTTGTAGTGCCAAACCACTGAGACAGAGTGAATGAGTTTGGTTCGGTTACATCATGTAGTGTCAGTTTAATGTAGCAAGAAAGCCCAAAGTGAGGCAGATCTCTGATGTTTAACACTTCAGTGAAACTAAAGAGCAAAGATATGCTCCTGAAAAAACACTGAAACATTTGAGAGTGAACCAAGATTCGAAACCACATTCCCAAGTTTCTGGCATGCTTAGGGGATACAACTCAGCTCAGGTAATTGTGGGGGTGTCGGGGTAACCATGTCCTTAAAGCGTTCACTCGTTACGCCGAAGACCCCGGGTTTGATTCCCCACATGGATACAATGTGTGAAGCCCATTTCTGGTGTCCCCCGCTGTGATATTGCTGTAATATTGCTAAAAGCAGTATAAAACCAAACTCACTCACTCATTCACTCGGGTAATCATGGTGCCTTGGAGGACTGAGCTGTATGAGATAGATAGATTTACAATGCTACTGTTGAGTGGTCACCTGTCATAGACCAATAAAATGTTAACTTGACAGATGGTACCTTTAAGTAGCCTCGACTTTCGACTGATAGAAATGCTTAGCAAGGAATCACATATTTATAATTTCATAAAAAAAGTAGATGGCAAGGACTAGTCCCACTAACCATGCTTACAGAATTACTTTCATAAAACAATGCACAATCATTAAAAATTGTATTTAATTGAAATTCTAAGCAACGCCTGTCTGTGCTTCATATTTTCTGTATAGTATGACATGGAACCACATCAGGGACTATAGTGACTAAGTCATTTCTTATTTCAGTGTTCATTGGTCAGATCACATGTATGTTTATCCAATCACTAATTATTATTATTATAGGATATTTATATACTGCACATATCCACCCAACTAGTACATGCTTAAGGTGGTGATGGTATTGCATTGATTTGAAGTTCCAGGGATTTACGGGACGCAAATTCCTGCATCCTATACTCATAAAAATTGACAATGGACACAACGAAATTACTTTGCGTGTCTATAGGGGCGCACAAAAAGTCCAAATACTTTTCACAAAAAATTCCAATCAAGTAACAATAAGTTATCACTGAGTTTGTTACCAGCTGGGCTATGGTATTATTTGCAATTTACTGTAACAATGTGGTGATCATGATACACAATACAATAACAGTATCAATAGTAATGTTTAACTTTAATTGCCTTGGACCCCCATTTTGTTGTCAAGGACCCCTGAAAAGGAAGTGGGTTTATTTGACTTATCAGTGTCAATAAAAACATTATCATTTATTATAGACGTAAATCGTAGGGGTGAAATGGTATTCCGTGATATTAATAGAACCTATGCATTTTTAATTCGGTTTGGCATACTGTAATGCAATCCAAACATTCGGTATTTTCGGTTTTAGTACCATCATCGTATTAACCTTTTTAAAACCTTTTCTAAAATATCTAGAAATCTAATCATTTTGTTAAAATCTATTCATTGCTTTGCTAGTCGGCCACTATTTTCCTGGAAGTAAGTTCTCATATACTGAGCCGAAACAGACTGAACCGAAGGCCTTGTACCCAGCGTTCGAAATAGCTACTGGCCCGCTAGCCAAATACCAGCTGATTGTGAATCGGGCTAGTAATGTATTGTTAAAGCTATCCCGACTGGCTAGCTGAAAATCTCAGATAATTTGTTCGTTATTTAATACACATGAATATGATGAAGTCAGTTATTAAGGTTTCAAGCTTATCTGTTGCACTCGAAGTGAGCTGCACATTAAAGCAGTGTTTTCTCCAACCTGTATTTAAGGAATAAAGAAAGAAATCCTAGTTTTTTCTGTTTGTTTGATTTATATTGTTTCCAAGGGGCGACAATAACTTGCCATCTTCTATTACCAAACATCACACCAATTTTGCCCGATACGCATTTTGATATTGATATTTTGCAGGGCCAGTGAAGTATGATGTGGGCTAGCAACAGTTTTATTTAACTAGCCCTCCTGGCCAGTAACTTTTCAAAATTAATTCATACACTGCTTGTACCGCAATACGCACCACACCATGGTAAGAGTGTACCATTTCACCCTTAATAAATTGACTTTGGTTTTCTTTCAATCCTATTATTTTTAGTTACTGGATGATGTTTGGGAATCATTATCATAACAAACTAGATTTGGCAGCCAGTTTGTACAATAACTGAAACATTAAGGTGTTACAGAGACGATCCTAATGTATCTTTGTTGAAGAATGTGTGTTTATATGTGTGTTTATTAAGTGTGGTGCAGCAGAGATTGTGATCAAGTATTCTGGGATATTATCTGGGTACCCATGGATAAAACAACAACAAAAGCAGAAAGTAGTCCCAGTGAATTGCTCTAGATCAGTGTCCCTCTCTGATGAACTGGAAAATAATCAATTCAAATTGGGAATTATTTTGGTCATGTAGACTTGGGGGCCAAATATATATGTGTTTCTTCTACTCCCCACACATGGGGCGGTGGGGTAGCCTAGTGGTTAAAGTGTTGGCTTGTCACGACGAAGATCTGGGTTCGATTCCCCACATGATATATGGGTACAATGTGTGAAGGCCATTTCTGGTGTCCCTCGCCGTGTTATTGCTGAAATATTGCTAAAAGCGGCGTAAAACCACAATCACTCACTAACTCACTATTCTCCACACATACTTGCCAGCTGTATCCTGATCTTTGAGCAGTGGCCTCATCTTTGATTGTGTCTCCCTCGTACGGCCCGAAGCAGATGCGTGGAATCAAGTCCTGCGATGCCCAAACTCCAAGTCCAGCTCCTGGGATCCCAGACTCCTCAATCTCCAGACCAACGGGCATTGTTTTCCATGCTCTGTCTTCATTTTCAGACATTTCCTGAAACATCACCACAATACAGACATCAATACTTATGGTTCCATATTCAATTGTCCATAAACATATATGGCTCTCAAACTGCTGAAAGTTTATTTGAGTGATCCTTGCAATCTAATTTATACAGAAGATAATTTGGGTCAATAACTAAATACATTTATTAATGGCGTTGTTGAAAGTGTCATGATTGAGAATGCAAATTATCAAAAGGCCAAAGCAGATGCCATGCCGGAGATTATAACCCTTGGCTTTGTCCGATCAGTATCCAAGCAAGATGGGATCACTTCAGCAGACAGTGTTCAGTAGTTTAAAGGAATGGTATGGCTTCACACTGCTTTTAGCAATATTCCAGCAATATCACGACGACAGAGGCCCACAAAAGAATTGGGCTTCGAAATGTGGGGAATTGAACCCTGGTCTTTGGCATGATGAGCCAACGCTTTAACCACAAGGCTACCTCACAGCTCCTAGTTTAAAGAAAAACACTTGATATCTAAATATGCTCCCATTTCAAAAGACGTGTGCTTTGATTATCACCCTGCAGTTTACATGGCGAATACCTGTGTCTGCCACTAAATACCTGTGTGTCTGCTTACACACCTCGAGCTACTAAAGTATTCTGGGAGTGAGCCACAAACTTATTATCATCCAACAGTATACATGCTAAATACCTGTGTCTGCCACACACCTCGAGCTACTGAAGTTTTCTGGGAGTGAGCCACAAACTTATTATCATCCAACAGTATACATGCTAAATACCTGTGTCTGCCACACACCTCGAGCTACTGAAGTTTTCTGGGAGTGAGCCACAAACTTATTATCATCCAACAGTAAACATGCTAAATACCTGTGTGTCTGCAACTATGAGGAGAGGTCCATGTACTGTACAGTCCCCTTCATACTCCTTGCTGCAGTCCTCGCAATCTGGTGAACAACGTGGGAGTTAACATATTAGTACATGAGAGTACATTGGTATGGCAGGACATTTGTCTGAACACAATTATGTGCTTCCTTCAATACCTTACAGGGAGTGAGTGAGCAGGGGTTAAATGTTTTAAGTAAGTAACTTGTCCTGACTAATTTTCCACTTGCCCTGATTTTATGACATAATTATGATGATCAACATGGTATTTGATGTTAATGTTTACTGGACTATTTATTGAAAAGTGATAAATAGCAAAGAAAGACAAGAGTCATCAGAAGATGACATATCCCCCCGGCCCCCACATCTTTGAAAGAACAAATCATCTGACAGTTACTTAAAGTCCAGCTTGATTTTAGACTAAGTGCAAATCGTTTCCATGGAAATCATGAAAAAAATAAATGACAAAAATCTGCAAATAGCAAAAGGCACCACTTTGGGATCTGCCTCACATATCTGCCAAGTTTTGCTGAAAGATATTAAGAAGTTTTCCAGTTGTGTTCCGGAAACGAAACCCATCCCTTCCTTTTTGAGACTAAGTCCGAATCATTTCCATGGAAACCGAGAAAATAATAAATCACAAATATCTGCAAATAGCAAAAGGCACCACTTCAAGATCTGCCTCACATATCTGCCAAGTTTTGCTGAAAGATATAGAGAGGTTTTTGAGTTGTGCTCCGGAAACGAAGCCCACCCCTCACTTTTGGGATTAAGTCCAAAATGTTTCCATGGAAACCGGGAAAAATAAAAATGCCAAAAATCTGCAAATAGCAAAAGGCACAACTTTAGGATCTGTTTGATATATCTACCAAGTTTTGTTGAAAAATATTGAATGGTTCTTGAGTTATGCTCCGGAAACGAAAGCAATCCTTACTTTTTGAGACTATGTCCAAAATGTTTCCATGGAAACCGGGAAAAATAAAAATGACAAAAATCTGCAAATACCAAAAGGCACCCCTCATGGTTCTGTTTGATATATCTACCAACTTTTGTTGAAAAATATTGAACGGTTCTTGAGTTATGCTCCGGAAACGAAGCCCACCCCTCACTTTTGGGACTAAGTCCGAATTGTTTCCATGGAAACCGGGAAAAATAAAAATGCCAAAAATCTGTAAATAGCAAAAGGCACCACTTTAGGATCTGTTTGATATATCTACCAAGTTTTGTTGAAAAATAATGAATGGTTCTTGAGTTATGCTCCGGAAACGAAGCCCACCCTTCTTTAAGACTAAGTCCAAAACGTTTCCATGGAAACCGAGAAAAATAAAAATGACAATTATCTGTAAATAGCAAAAGGCACCACCTTAGGTTATGTTTGACATATCTACCAATTTCGGTTAAAAAATATCGAACGGTCTTTGAGTTATGGTCCGGAAACAAAATGATTACGGACGGACGGGCGGACGGACGGACAGACGGACAAGGCGACGACTATATCCCACCGCATTACATGCCGGTGGGATAATAACTCTACTTTATAATCATTGCAAAATTTAATAGCTACATTCTGAGCAGATATGAAATTAAATCAAAGTTTATTTACAGTTTGAAACCATAAGTGGAAATTATCTAGCAGCCCACGGACAAGTAAGATACCATTATTTGATTGCCCGAAATGAAAACTGACTTGTCCCGGGCGTCGGGCGATGGGATTTTTGAACCCCTGGTGAATTTAGTTTTACGCCGCACTCAGCAATATTCCAGCTATATGGTGGTGGTCTGTAATTAATCGAGTTTGGACCAGACAATCCAGTGATCAACAGCATGAGCACCGATCCACGCATTTGGGATATGATGACATGTGTCAACCAAGTCAGCGATTGACCACCCGATCCGGTTAGTCGCCTCTTACAACAAGCATGGGTTACTGAAGATCAATTCTAACCCGGACCTGCACAGGTACAATACCTAACACAACACATGATACCTGAAACCAAACATCTGCATCCTCCAATACTTTACATGACAACTACATTCCAACAAATGGTTGCTTATAAGTTATATGCCTTAACAGATCTTGCAAAATTGAGATAAACACTTGGTTTGATGGTTGAACTGAAATGAATATTGATGTTTCCAACAAGGTATATGATGTACCTTATATCAGGATAGACCCCTGAAAATCCGGGTTAGAATTTGTCTTCAGGAACCAATGCTTGTAACGAGGTGACTAATGGGATCGGGTGGTCAGACTTGCTGACTTGGTCATTGTATCCCATTGGATTTGGCCAACAAACAAAGCCAACATATATCTGTGTACCTGGTGCTTTTACTGCTATAGTTGATCGATACAGCAACACAAATTCACTCACTCATTCATTCTCTTCAATACACATGACGTTGGTGGTGAGTGAGTGAGTTGGGTTTTACACTTTTAGCTATATTCCATCAATACCACTGCAGGAGACACCAGAAATGGACTTCACACATTGTGCCCATGTGGGTATTTGAACCCAGGCCTTCGGTGTGATAAGCAAACGCTTTAACCACTAGGCTACCCCACCGCCCCTGACCTATAGGGAAATGTTACTTACACAACAAGCGATCATCGCCCGGCACCTCAACGTCCATGTAGTTATTCTGTGGCATCTCACATTCTGGACGGGATTGAGTTTCTTCACATGGTTCCTGCTTCACCTGAATTTAAAACATTCATCATTCATTACCTTGGGTAGTATTCCTCCATCCCATAAAATCTACCCTCGCCCCATTTACCATTCCTAGTTTGGACAGTATTCTAAAGACAGGCCACTATAAATTAGCCATACCACCTGATCACACTCATGTACTAATTGTAACATGGCATTTGTTACTTTGAAAAATCTCTAATTTTAATATTTGAAAAATCTGGTTTACACTGTTCAGACTTAACAAACGTGTGCACAAAATAACCTCAAAATCTGATAACATTAATTACTTGTGTGTTTACTTGTTCTGGGATTTTCTGTGCAGTGTGTGTTTTATCTCTTAGGGCCAGTTTCATCCGGTTCATGAAGCGGGTGCACCAAGTTGAGGATGCTTGAAACGACGAGGGTAAGCTGAACTCATCCTTCTTCGCCTTGTACTCTGTCAGGGCCCGGAGACGGATCATGCTCCTTGTGACGGTGAGGCCATGTTGTCTTTTATCCAATACCCACTCGGCAAGGATGTCTTCAAGTTGGATAAATGGCGATAAAGTAAATCGCCTTGATTGTTTGTTCTTGGGCATCTCCATCAGCGATGCCTTCTCTTTCCTCCAGTTTCGGACCTGCCTCTCGTCGATTTCAAACTCGCGTGCAGCAGCACAGTTGTTTGTTGCCTCAGCTCGAGCGACAGCTCGCAGTTTGAAGGAAGCATCGTAGGCGTGGCGTTTTCTTTTAGGACCCATGATGAGACTGTCACTTCCATAAAATATGCAAACGTTTATGATGCATCAACTCACCAATTTTCTCGATGCAACATCTCAAGACTGACATTGACAAGAGCATCAAACATTGCCGCCACAATATTCGTATTGAATAAACTATAAACACACTGAACAGACATCGATCACTACTCACAGGCTTCACAACTCCGCTAAGCTCCCACACCTTGACAGTGTTTTGTGCATACTATAAAACAATAGCAATTGGCCCCGTTAATATCACTGCTCATTTCCTTGTGTATCGCTTGTGCACGAACAACAGGAAGCAACCACTGTCTTCAGCGTATGTGACGTCACCGGAAACAGCTGATCGTTGGCACATGTCTCTTTGCAAATGGCGACCAGATTATGACTTGCCGTTGTCGTGGGTTGTTTTGTTTTATGTGTACGTGTTTATTTGTGATTAAGTAGGCACGTGTACGATAAACGTTAAAATGACAAGGAGAATAAAATGTTCAAATAATGAAAACAGTACAGTTTATTTTACTGATCATTTACAATAGAGATCTAGTGGCTGTAAACTTCCAGCAAGATGTAAAGCCGTCCTGGCGTTTCTGACAGAGCACGGGTGACCTGGTGATCGTACTCCCATACTTCAACATGGCTTGTCGTAAGAGGCGTCTAACCGGATCGGGTGGTGAGGCTCGCTGATTTGGTTGCCACGTGTCATCGGTTCCCGATTGCGCAGATCGATGCTCATGCTGTTGATCACTGGATTGTCAGGTCCAGACTCGATTATTTACAGACCGCCGCCATGTAGCTGGAATATTGCAGAGTGCAGCGTAAAACTAAACTCACTCACTGACACGAGTATGTATATCGTCACGGCTATTCTACTGCGAGGAAGAGCATCTGTCTTTTAATGCCACGCTCAGACATATGTCACACTGTAAATAATCGAGTCCGGAACAGACAATCAAGTGATTTCCATTATGAGCATCGATCAAGTCAAGTCTGACCACCAATCGGCTTCTCCCATTAGCTGTTTCTTATGACAAGCATTGGTTGTTGAAGACGCTACTCAAGAATAACAGACCACCTGCAAGTGTCCGAACTACAACACTCACGCACGCACGCACGCACGCTTCCGCGCGCAGATCCATGCTCATGCTGTTAATCACTGGATTGTCTGGTCCAGACTCGATTATTTACAGACCGCCGCCATATAGCTGGAATATTGCTGAGTGCAGCGTGAAACTAAATGCACGAAATGCGGAGTCAAACAATTCAATATATTCTAATTCATGTTTTTAGAAATCTTCAAAATGAAAAACATTCTACATCAAGTCTATTGAAACATGAAAGTAAATCGGTTTGTTAGCAGCTGCTAACATCTCGAGATTACTAAGAGTGAGTGAGTGAATGAGAGACATCAGAAATAGGTTTGTTCTAGTAGACTGATCCCAGTCTTGTAGTGTAATTAGAGATCTTATGGTTGCTGATAATTTCATTCATGAAAGCAAACAAGTAACATAACCATTGGTGATTTTAGCTAATATTCAGCTCCAATCTGTAGATGTTAATTTGTCTTTATTCTTTAAAGCATAAAATATATAATCATTACTTACGAATGAAAGATTAGTTTCGTCTTCATCATATGCATACTTGTATTAACCTGCACCGTAACACCACATCTGTCACTAAAACGTTTGTTGTTAAGCTCCTTAATCGATCTTGGCTGGTTCGGCGTGGTGCTGTTTCGTTACGGGACCGTATTACAGCTGCTTATTTACATCCTTACACTGAATTTGGCAAACGTCTGAAGCCTGGGCCATCTCGAGTTAACTGTAGGCCACGTGTTTCAATACTATCACAATAACTCAAAAACAAACGGACAGCACGGAAGTCGAACGTGAACAACAAACATCTTTCATGAGCCTCGGAATCGTCTGCACTGCACTGTTGTGTAGATGTGCATCTGCGTCCTTGCATCTGTCATGCACACCTAAACAGGTCAACCTTAACGAATGGATCAGTGCACCTCTGATTAAAATTAGAAGAGATATTCACAGAAATTTGTATCTACTCATGCCATACCTGCATGCCAGCAGACTGACCTCTTACTTTGGTTGCCCTGGTGGTTTGGATGGAGTGAAACCGGAAGGTGCACTATGGCGAATGCCAAAAATACGTGGAACGGAAAAATAAACCAAAGAGTAGATTCTCTGAGAAAATTCGTAGAGCTCTTGCCTGCCAACTCGCACACATTTGTCTTGAGTATCGCGCTATGCGGCATTTATTACTCTTGACACGCTCTCAGGAAAAAAAATTGATATTTAAATCCAACGCCAAAATGGGTTCATATAAAAAAATAAAAATCCGTTAAAATCACGCAAAATGGTCTGAATACATCGTCATCAGTGATTTTTCTGAGAAAGGAAATTTGCAATTATTCACAATGTATAGAGCAGCGATTCAGGACCCGCCCAGGGAGGGCGGCCCTTGGACCCAGTACTCTCCATCCTTTTCTTCTCTTTGGGTTGGAGTGAGTGAGTTTGGTTTTACGCCGCTGTTAGCAATATCCAGAGCTACAGATAACTTTTTGGGTCATTGAGTTATATGTACTCGCTTGTGTTCATCTCAATTGGGTATCCTAATTTTCCTTTGGGTATTTTGCCATTTTCCATTAATTTTAAAAATGTAATAAAGTTTAAATGTTAGTGTTTGTTATTTATACTTTATCTGTATTATGAGATTATGAGTTCATTTCCTGAAATAGAACCTCTCAGTATACCTATTTTATCTAAGCCCCGATTTGACACTTTTGTGTGTATGCATGTAAGATCACATTTATTGAGAATTTACAAAACTTCAAGCGTACTTGTACGCAATAGGCTTAATAGGAATCGAGTTTTCACATAAATATTTGCGGAATTTACGCAGATACGCAGCTTATCTGTACCTCTGAATATCCCAGCAACATGACGGCGGCGGACACCAGAACTTCCACACAGCATATATTATGGGTAATATGGGTAATATTTCATTATATCATCCTGTCTTAAAGATTAACGAATATGACCCAGACCCCGGGTTAATAGCAAGATCAAACATAAGCAACGTAACATGACATTGGAATCAAATGGAGATGAACATGGCCCTAAATAATGTCTTTCAGTGGCATGTAGAATTTGTACATTGATGTCCAAGATATATTTATGGATTAAACTTCTTTATATTTTCCCTCACGACGATTCAGAGTACGATTCATTGCTGGTTTATGTCTCCTTATCTCCACAGCCTCCTGTATTTTTTCTCCGACGCCAGTCGTTGTTATTTCTCGAAAGCACCCTGATGTCATTCCACATGATTACATGACTTGGGTTATTTGCCTTGTGCTCCGATATAGCTGACTGATATAGTGAGGGAAATGAAAAAGAAGTTTAATCCATAAAAATATCTTGGATGACCCTAAATAGTTCTCATTGACGACTCTGTAATTTACGCGGTACGTTAAACGTTCTTGTTCATGTGTGTTGGTGACTGTACAGTGTTTTACTGCCACCCCCCACCCCCCAGGATCCGCCACTGTTGTTCATGTGTGTTGGTGACTGTACAGTGTTTTACTGCCACCCCCACCCCAGGATCCGCCACTGTTGTTCATGTGTGTTGGTGACTGTACAGTGTTTTACTGCCACCCCCACCCCCAGGATCCGCCACTGTTGTTCATGTGTGTTGGTGACTGTACAGCGTTTACTGCCACCCCCACCCCAGGATCCGCCACTGTTGTTCATGTGTGTTGGTGACTGTACAGTGTTTTACTGCCACCCCCACCCCAGGATCCGCCACTGTTGTTCATGTGTGTTGGTGACTGTAGTGTTTACTGCCACCCCACCCCCAGGATCCGCCACTGTTGTTCATGTGTGTTGGTGACTGTACAGTGTTTTACTGCCACCCCCCACCCCCCAGGATCCGCCACTGTTGTTCATGTGTGTTGGTGACTGTACAGTGTTTTACTGCCACCCCTTTCACAAAGAAATACACGAAAAGTGTCGAGTTATTGTGTCAAGTGTTTCCGACGTAATATTCAGATGATGTGTGTAATTCTATCTTTTGCTTGCATTTAGTGACGTCATCCTATTACGTTTAAGAGAGCTTTAATTTTTAAGTATAATTTCTCAACTTCTACTTTGTCCAGAAGAGAAGCCATTTTCTGCCACAGGAATATTCCATAGAATGTATCTCGCTTGAGATTTAGTTTATATTTGATCCCAGTTTACATAAGGATAGTTGCGGAATGATTTAAATCAAACAACAAATGGATTCAGTGTGTCGAACGTACCACCTTCATAAACCGCAATTATTTTAAGGATCGCTTTTACAGTTCAAGTTAATGTACTCAAACAAGAGATATTTTACGAACGTTTCCTACACTGTAAAAACAAGTGTTACTGAATTAACACTATTATTAACACTATCTTGGTAACAGTAAATTAACATGTTAAAGTGTTAATACTGTTTAACACTAGTGTTAATTTAATAACATGTTAAAGTGTTTACAAGATTAACACATTAACATGTTTATTTGATAACGCTTGCTGGTAACACTTTTTTCACACATTAACATGTTTATATAAGGATGTAAGTGTTAATAATTTAACACAATTGTAAAGTAACAAAGAAATGTGATCCACACATTACTTCTTTGAGAAAGTTGGGCTGGAATGTACATCCAAGTGGGCTGAAATGTATATCCAAGTATTAACTTTCATCAATGGTTAACTCTAGAATAATTCCTGTTGTCTTCAGATATTGTGACATGCAGTTCCGCTATTGCTGAAAACCCTGAAACTTGATTAATCTCCTTGATATTACACTGAATGTGATAATTTCCCCAATGAAAAAAGACATGGTGACAAAAGATTTATCTTCACATTCATTATGGTGTAATCAATATGAAAGCAAAAAGGACTTAGTACAGTTTCAGGGTTCGATATAATACAACTAATAGTAATCAACCAAATAAATTAAAGCAGCAATCACAATTTCAATTGAATTTATTCATCGGATAAAAAATCAAATCCTCATAAAAATTGAGCAAACTGTTACATTCAATGCACATAGGCAGATAGAGGAGTCCACAGAATCCTTCACAATACTGCATATTTATTTAGGGCACATGCAAAAATAACCCGGTAATACTGTTAATCCTTTAGTCTTAAGGAACAGAATGGTGAACGCTTGACTGAATTTTAACAGAACATGGATAATGGCATGTATTTTGAGGATAATCATTCCTTCCACGGCTGGGACCGTATCAAAATGGTATGCATATATACATTAATTAATGAAAAGAACTGATACATTGCAATACATATTGCAACTATCAGACAATGAACAATATAAGGGCAACACTGACAACACATATAAACAATATTGCTATTTGTAACCTAAAGTAGCTGCACAGTGTAGGCATCACCTTCAGAAATATACTATGGTGCTTTCATTTTTTGAGAATATAGGATCAAAATTGGCACTAGTCCTATAGTGCAGTCCAAGTTGTCAAATAATACAGGTAGCCCAAGGACTAGTGAAACTACTGCTTTGTTTAAAGCCATCGTTATACATTACAAGGTAGACAGTGCCAAATAAAGTTGAGTTTTAAACGCTGATAAAGCTTGAAATTAAACTATTCTCTTTCTCCATTTGAGCATTAGAGCATAAAAAAAGTTCAAACTTCATGGTCATATCAGGACACATGTTCCCAGGCAGATCATTAGTAATTCTTCAAAACTGGCTTTCATAATTTGTATAATAATCTTTCTCTTTAGAATATCAGCAGTTTGCATAAATTTGAAATAGACAACATCATTGTAATGAAAACTAAAGGAAGAATCAGTCTGTTTCCTTTCACAAAGGTCTCCTTGGGATGTTCCCTGGTATAACTGACTTTTTTACCTTTTGTTTTAACATATTATTAGAGAAATATCATGCCATTGGATAAAAGAATGGTATACATTGCTGCATTACTACCCAAAAGATTTTTTGAAAGTTCAAAGCTTGATTGGGAAACATTCTAATATCTCAGTGTTTATCTTTGGATCTTGTCAGTTCATCACTGAACTTTATCCAATTGGATGTCCTTGATCCAGTAAATATGTCAGATACAACCCAGTGCTGTAGCAGACCAAGAACCTGGCAATATGCAGGGGTACTCCAAATCAAAACATAGTAACTCCCAAGGAGACTGATCACTGCATCAAACAATGACTGTGTTTGAAGAAAAATCTTTACATTGTCTCCTACAATGAATTGGCATAGGATGTGTTTTGAGCTGTCAAGGAAGACCACAAGATGAGGAGCCTCTTCCACAATGTACTGGCATAGGATGTGTTTTGAGCTGTCAAGGAAGACCACAAGATGAGGAGCCTCTTCCACAATGTACTGGCATAGGATGTGTTTTGAGCTGTCAAGGAAGACCACAAGATGAGGAGCCTCTTCCACAATGTACTGGCATAGGATGTGTTTTGAGCTGTCAAGGAAGACCACAAGATGAGGAGCCTCTTCCACAATGTACTGGCATAGGATCTGTTTTGAGCTGTCAAGAAAGACCACAAGATGAGGAGCCTCTTCCACAATGTACTGGCATAGGATGTGTTTTGAGCTGTCCAGGAAGACCACAAGATGAGGAGCCTCTCCCACAATGTACTGGCATAGGATGTGTTTTGAGCTGTCAAGAAAGACCACAAGATGAGGAGCCTCTTCCACAATGTACTGGCATAGGATGTGTTTTGAGCTGTCAAGGAAGACCACAAGATGAGGAGCCTCTTCCACTTGGCTGTGCAGATGTTTTTGAGGAACTGTTTCCACACTCTTCACATCCTGTTAACATAAAATAACATTTTGTTACGGCTGAATATTGTCAGTTTACAAGTTGATCTCACAACAGCATTAAGTAAATGAAACATCTATTCTTAACTATACTGCTATTTGCAAATAAAAAATATCTTAAATATATCTTTATCATAAAGGTATCACCTGTCCTTGCAGTCTAATGCATTTCCATTTATCATAAAGCTGATCATAAGCACTTACTTCAGGAATGAAGTAAACCAGTTTTCAAGTGTAACAATACTTACAGTAGAACATCATTTTCAAAAATCTTACATTGACTATGGTAATGCAGGTCTTTGACTTCAAACCCTTGCCCTTTGCTTGGAAACAAGCTTCTACAAATCGGAACAGTTGGATGCTTTTTCAGCATCAGTACCCTGAAAATTTGAAACAATAATTATTGAAATAAAAATTTCCAATTACATGTTAACCCAGTTTGAAACAATAACCATATCAAATCAATATTAATTAACATATTAAGGTATCACAGAGGGTTAGTGAAATTAGTTAAGTATTTTGATAGTTCACCATATCTAAATAGAAACATATTAAATTATGATATTAAATAATATAAGCAACTTGTAACAAGAAATTGAAAAAAATAAACATCTTGAGTTTTCTGGAGCCATTAATACATGCCTCAGGTGCAGTTTTTTTAGATACGACAGTGTGCATTATCCATTTCATATTTCTGGCAATTTCTTCCCTCGCTTCCTCTGGATCATCACTGCGTTGGCAAAAGAATTCATACACCAACTGAAACAGTATGTTAGAATGTATTTAATGATTAAGAGGCACAAAGACATGCAACAGGGCTTGCCTGCTTGTTCAATATAAGATTAACACTAGAACAACAATGACCATAAATCAACTAATGTGCTAACACTGTACAAGTACTTTTGTACACCTGTAATGTCCGTATATAATAAATAGGGTTTAAGGAAACATGAAGATGTCCATGGTAGTACTTTAGGGAAACTAAATTTGAAACAAAAATTTGCTGTTGAATAAGCTCAAATGATTTATACTTACAAAGCATCCTTCCTCAAAACAAGGGAACTTTTCTAAAATGGGCTCAATCTTCCCAGGCTTCAAGGTGGTTTGCCACTCTTTGCGGAATTGTCTTGTCTGTTTTAGTAGAGTTTGCAGATGAGTAATTGATTGCTTTCCTTCCCATTCCTTCTTTATTTCATCAAGATGGGATGCAAAATCTTTCTCTGATGTCACACCTGATGATTTATTAGCCATCTTGAACAACTTCTGAGGTTGTGCATCTTCAGAATCCTTAGGCGCAGGTCTTGTTGATTTTGCATTGTTTTGAAATCTATTGGTGCGGCATCGCTGACTCAATTTGGACACAAAAAGCTCTGAAAAGACACAATAGGAGAGTTTGTTTTAACCTCCGATTAGAAGGAAGGAGTGTGTTTCTTGGTTATAGCAAACAGATAATATTGACTTTACCTTTATACGAATTCACAAATTGGGGGGTATTGAGTCTCATGCATTTATTTAGGAAAAGAACATTCAGACAAGAGTGCTTTTAAATCACAAGCTCTTACTGAAATCTAACAGAAGAGTACCTAATTCTAAATCATATGCAGTTCAACCAAAAACATTATCTGAAAATAATTACTCTGTGATAAAACAAAAAGAATCACAGAATATCAAGTTCTGTAATACAAGAGCCTATATATGTTGAAATTGGTAAAAGTCGAGTACTTGGGATATGTGAACTATCAGTATGTATGCACTTTTGACACTACATCACTGAATAAGAGATATAAACTGAAGCCAACTCAAACTTACCCAAAGTGTCTTGCCATGTGCATAGGCCAATGAAGGATATTTTGCCACCATCCTCCTGACGATTGATTGATAGTATGGTGAAGATGACATTGATGGATAAACAGTTGTGTAAACTGTTTCACACTGCTTCAATACAGAGTTAAAAATCTGGCTGCTCCTTTCACCTGCTTGAAGGGCTGCAATCGTAGTAGGTGTAAGATCAGGAAGGGGGATCCTGTCTGGTGTTGGCAGCGCAGACAGTAGACTGCGGCTTGAGAGATCTGCTGAAACAAAATGAAAGTATCATGTCACTTAATGTGGAAGTAAGTGGGAACCTGAAGACCACATTTAGGTTAGGTCAGAACCATAATGGAAATGTAATGATGTTCGAATGTATTTATTTCTCTCATCTTATTGTTTGTAGATCATAATTCCAGAAAGTCAGACAGGTCAATTTCTCGGTTCCTGTCAAGAATATTGAATTACATTTTCCCAGTGAACAATATACTCGATTTAAATCTACAATGATACAATAAATATTTGAGTTGAAATACTCACCTGAAGTTCCAAGTAGGATAAGTTCATAACATTGTTTTGTTTACCTGACTGGGAGTTGCACTGATTCAGATGTTTTAGATAAACGTACACCACCCATTTGACTATGTGGTTGCCCAGTCTAGGTTATGACTCACTGTTTACACATGATCTTAGACTTCCAGCATCAATACAACATGTAAACATTAATATGTGAACATTATCTTCGCAATGTCATCAATGTGTGTACTATATTTTCGCATAGCGCTTACCTTGGGAGAATAATGACAACGTCAGCTTGCCCAGTCTTCTAAAAATGGCGAGGATCGTGCAGTGGAATGTGTAAACCCCGTAGATGACGTTTGACGGCACTTTTGGAAGATGACGGCACTGTAGCCGTAGAGTTACCTCCCTTGGTTCATTTGTCACAATGTCATGTTACATACAAACTTAATGTCCTGTCTCAATAAGTGATACCTATTTTTCATGGAAATAATGAAAATGATACTAATATATCCCGTGTGTGGGTTACCACTTTTCCCTACTTTTTTAGCGAACTGGCACGCCACATTCTAAAAATAACTTATTGCCTCATCAAAGCGTTTACGTCTTTCGGCTACGATCGCGCGAGTTGACAGACGATATTCGCATTGAAATCACTGCGTTTTGAACATGCTGACATCCATTTGAAGATATCTAAAGAATGTCTAGGTATCATGTAATATGAGGCCAGTAGAGATGCAGCGATTGCCTCGATCACCATTCATTGGCGCCAAAATGTATCGAGGCACGCTTGCGTTGACAGATTAACACTATAATGTTAATAAAGAAGAGAGATATATTAACACTGGTGTAAATAAATGAACACTGATGTTAATAATATTACGTAAGTCGTACTTGTATGCAAGTAATATTACGTGTATGTGTAAAACAAGGAGTACGACATCTTATTCCATTTAGCCCAATGTTATTTCAATTAGATTAGTTAGAGGGGCAATAACTTTAGACCAACTTTCCAGCTGTACAGCACATTTAACCAAAATGTTTGAGGTAAGATTAGTTATTTTTAAATATTTCGAACACATTACCATATCTAATATGATACACATTTTCATTAACAACAAGATCTATCGTACTCATCGCTGTGCATTGACATTGTTTGAAGATGTACATAGGTGTTATATGATTATCAACGTTGGCAAATCAACACATTAACGCCTGTGTTATATGATTAACATCAATATTCCGTTGGCAAATCAACACCTGAGGTTTCCGTATAAACGGTGGGGAGGTGTTAAATATTTAACATATTAACGCATATATATTTAATGCCTAACACTATTTTTACAGTGATAACTGGATCAATTAATGGCAGAATATAGGATTTATACATTACGAATTGTGTTTTTCTAGATAATCGGTATTTGTAACTCCTTAAACAATTTATCATTGGCGTAAGTACAGAATTTATCTGTGCAGTCCAATTTGCGTCTTTTTGAAACCAGAGGCCTAAATGTGTGTGCTTGGAATAATAATTATTTTTGCATAATTAATCTTGGACTAGTGAAAATCATTTAACTAATATCACTAATTGAGCATTTCCTGAAATCCCCCAAGAGAATTCAAATAATACCATATCAATGTACATTTGTATCTCACTTAAACACAAATGTCACTTATGTCACCAATTGAGCATTTCCTCAAATCCTAAAAAAAAATTCAAATAATAAAATACCAATGTATCTCACTTTGATACACATTTCACTAATTAGTCAGCCAAATCCCACTCTGGCTATGTGAGAAACCTGTTTTGACAGAATCTGGCTAAGTGAGAGGACACCCTCACAGCTTTCAGCCTTGACTAACAACTAGTCTCTGAAATGAACATGTTTTACAGAAAAAAAACAGTTACTAAATTATAATCATAAAATATAATAAAAAGGAGCCCAGAGACTTTCTTCATTTTCAGAAACTGTGGAAATCTATACTTGCAGGGGCTTTCTTGGATATGTATTTGTTTCGGAGTCTGTATGACAGACAACTTTCGGCCGTGGGAGCCAATTAACACTTGTCAGAGGTGTACACAAAGATAACCAGTTCTCCGACTTCCATTATGTGGAAGTTGCGGTAGCTGAGTGGGCTAGAGTGCTGATTTTGCGAGCTAGCGATAAGGTGCATTGCCTGGGTTCGAATTCCGGATTGGACTCAACCCAATAAAAGTATTATAATCTGTGTACGTAACTGAGAAAGTGTAATCCCATAACATACGTTACAATGGACAACGTTTGTTGTCACTTTGCAAGAGGGGCGGTGGGGTAGCCTAGTGGTTACAGCGTTCGCTCGTCACGCCAAAGAACAGGGTTTGAGTCTCCACTTTGGCACACAGCGCGAAACCTATTTCTGGTGTCCTCCGCCGTGATATTGCTGGAATATTGCTAAAATCAGTGTTATACCTTTACTCTCTCACTCTGCAATATTTTATTGCTTAATTCTATGTGTGACGTGTGTGCGTTAAGTGCGTGCGTGCGTGCGTGCGTGCGTGCGTGCGTGCGTGAGTGTTGTAGTTCGGACACTTGCAGGTGGTCTGTTATTCTTGAGTAGCGTCTTCAACAACCAATGCTTGTCATAAGAAACAGCTAATGGGAGAAGCTGATTGGTGGTCAGACTTGACTTGATCGATGCTCGTAATGGAAATCAGTTGATTGTCTGGTCCGGACTCGATTATTTACAGCGTGACATATGTCTGAGCGTGGTTTTAAAAGACAGATGCTCTTCCTCGTAGTAGAATAGCCGTGTGACGATATACATACTCGTTTCAGTGAGTGAGTTTAGTTTTACGCCGCACTCAGCATTATTCCAGCTACATGACGGCGGTCTGTAAATAATCGAGTCTGGACTAGACAATCCAGTGATCAACAGCATGAGCATCGATCTGCGCAATTGGAAACCGATGACATGTGTCAACCAAGTCAGCGAGCCTGACCACCCGGTCCCGTTAGTCGCCTCTTACGACAAGCATAGTCGCCTTTTGTGGCAAGCATGGGTTGCTGAAGACCTATATTCTACCCCGGATCTTCACGAGTCTATACTCGTTTCAGGAGTCATAAAGTATAGCATGTACATATGCATCATGATGTATAAAAACTGAGACTAACATTTACAGGAATGAGTAATAATTTGACTCTTGGTCTTCGCTGGCGAAAATAGCATTCTACCCCGACGTGTCGGTAAAAAGATTCACAATCAAGTGACTATATAAACTGACGTTCAAAAGAAAGTACACACCTGATTCTTTGGTAAAATATTTTCTTTAAAACTGCATTAATATTTAAAAAGGGTTTTGATTCTGCCTTGTCACAAACATTGTGCAAGTGTTTCCACAACACCACAGATATTGTACCCAATTACAACATTGCTAGCAAAGTATTTATGGTTTTAATGGGAATAGTCCCAAAACACCAGGTGTGTACTTTCTTATGTACGTCAGTATATTATGTTTATGTTCTTGGAGAGGAAAATATGAGGCATGGTATGAAATGACAGGAATGGAGGCCGTCGGTGATCGCAATAATATAAATAAACATCGACAGAATGCACGCACGCACGCACGCACGCACGCACGCACACACACACACACACACACACACGGTTTCATTCCCCACATAGGTACAATGTGTGAAGCCCATTTCTGGTGTCCCTGCCCTGATATTGCTGGAATATTGCTAAAATCGGCGTAAAACCCAACTCACTCATTCAACCGGTAATCTATACTTGCATGTTCCCAGTTTTGTCAAACAAATGCGTTGTTTAAAAGGGAGGCTGATTCAATAAGGTTCAAAGTTCTCATTCCCAAACACTGAAGGTGAAGCACGGTACAGCATTTATTTTAATTTCTCTCTTAAAGATGTGACATTCAAAATCAATATTTTCAATTAAATTTTCCATTTATGGCAACATGAAGTTTAACATTGTTAGACAGGAGCTTATCAAAATTTTCTTGAACCTTTTGTTGAAGTCATGAAATCCCTTTGTAAGAAATCTATATTGCGATCATTCGTATGTATAAATCTGTATCCTTTTAAGGTCTTTTTCCATGATTCAGGGAAAATATACAAAATATATTCAAGATCCAAAGATGTACCCTTTATCCCATGCTTATTTTTCAAATCTTCAAAAGATACCAAACCATGTTTACCAAATAAGTTCTTGATGGCACTTCCCCCTTCCCTCGTTAGACCAATAGCGGTCGAGCAAAGAACGTAGACAATTACCCCCAACATGTAACATATGGCATTTAATTACCCAATAATGGTAGCCTATATAAGTGATGCAGAAGTAGCATTCAGCAACAGAAGCTGATGGACAGTGTTCTGATAAGATGTGATTTCGTCCGATCTCATTATCACGATGTCCAAACTAGAAGGGGTCAAGAAAGAGATAACCCAATACGACTACGTCCGACTGTCCCTGTGCGACCTGAACGGCACGTATCGTGGCCAGCTGGTGGCCGGACGCCACGCGGCTAGTTACTTGGACAACGGTCTAGGGATGTTTGAAGGTATGTCAATTCTTACGTGTTCAATAGTAGGTAGTCTAGTGGTTAAAGCGTTCGCTCGTCACACCGAAGACCCGGGTTTGATTCCCCAATGAAAAATATGTGAAGCCTATTTCAGGTGTTCCCGGTCTTGATTTTGCTAGAACTGGAATATTGCAGCGTAAAACTGAACTCACTCACTCACACTCTTTACAAGTACAATTCCCTTCTTGCCGTGGGAAGTGTGGGTGGAGGGATGTCAGGAACTGATCAAACTATCGATGACTTGCGTTGTGTATCGTCGATTGACAATACACCCATCACTTAGTTAAAAAGTCAACATATTTTGTAAATTTTCGATTTACATTCGGAAACATTCGATGCTAATAATCTCTTTGTCATTATAAAAAAACATGTTTAAAATAAGAGTAAGTCATATTGCTATTTATTATGGTAAGTTTAGAAACTGGGAACATACAAACTTTACTGAACCGCAGATTATATGATGTGAAACCAATTGATTTTGAGCTATGTTTGAACAGATGTTCCTTGTGTTCGTTGTAATTCCCGGTCACGTGTTATAGCATTCATTTCGGAATGAATGTAACAATGCAAGCCACGGTCACAAAAGCGGACTACTTTCACCACTACGGAATAAAACAACATACGCGGAGGGTGTACGGGTTCATACAGTTCATAGATCTGGGTTAGAGATGGTCTCCAGTAACCCATGCTTGTCGTAAGAGGCAACTAATGGGATTGGGTGGTCAGGCTCGCTGACTTGGTTGACACATGTCATTGTATCCCAATTGCGTAGATCGATGCTCATGCTGTTGATCACTGGATTGTCCAGTCCAGACTCGATTATTTACAGACCGCCGCCATTAAACTGGAATATTGCTGAGTGCGGCGTAAAACTAAACTCGCTCACTCACTCTTTCTGCAATGAACCGAAAATAAATAAGCAGCCAGTCCCTAATCACTCAATCTCTCAGATAGCTATCTACTCATTTGTGAATGCTTCGCAATACCCGTTGTGTAGATGTACATGCAGATACTATTTAAGTATACATGTGAGACCGCCTCCGTGGTGTGGTGGTTAGACCGTCCGCCCGGTCGCGGGTTCGATCCCCGGCCGTGTCATACCAAAAAAGACGTTAAAATATGGTACTTGTTGTTCCCTGCCTGGCGCTCGGCATTAATGGGTACAACAAGGACTGGAGTCAGTATAATGTGTCTGAGTGGGGCATTCATGCTTCACTGCGGCATGGTATCTCAGTGAGCTATCACTATAAAACCAGCTGATGTCACACACACACACACACACACACACACACACACACACACGCACGCACGCACGCACGCACGCACGCATGCATGCACGTCGTCATATGAGCGTATATGATAAATGCCGTATTGAAATCCTGTCACAGACAGAAAATGTCATCTCTGTAAATTGCCAATATTGGTGATGTATACCATTATATTTTCTTGTCCATTCTTTAATGCTGAACGTATGAAGGACTTGCAAAAGTCTGACACTATTCGACCCAATACGATTAAATTTCACGCTCTCTCCCACTGAAAACATGGTCTCATGAAAATATTAAGTAAATATTGTAGCATTATGAAGAAATGTGTTAATTCCTCCGGCAAACCCTCCCCGCCATCATGTAAAATTGTTTTCTATATAATGTGCATTTGTACCTCACATGATGAGTTCTAAATAAAGGTCTGTTCTGTCAAAGACTCGGAATACGTGAACCGATCATATAAATTGCCTTACTTGCGAATGACAGGAAATCAGTATTCGAACTTCGAAGAACGCTTTCACTACTCAAATTTTGGTGTAGTGAATGAGCCAGTAGACATTTACGCTGATTTTAGTTTTTCAGTTACAAAGAGTGAGTGAGTGAGTTTATTTTTACGCTGCTTTTAGCAATATCCCAGTAATATCACGGCGGGGGATACCAGAAATGGGCTTCACACATTGTACCCATGTGGGGAATCAAACCGGGGACTTTGAAGTGACGAGCCAACGCTGTAACCACTAGGCTACCCCACGGCCCCAGCTACAAAGAAGTGCATGTACTCATCATCAGAACCATATTTTTTCAGGGTTCCTGTTAGCTGGTCCAAGAACAGAACAAGTTTTAATGGATGACCCCAGGAACAACAACGCTGGCAACATGTTGTGTTTTCCCGACGTTGAAACGCTGAGGCCGGTCCCATGGGTTGCCGATGGGGTCAAGGTCGCTGAAATGTTGTGCGAACCTCGATGGAAGAAAGGCGGTGTTCCGCAGGAAGCGTGTCCGCGATACGTTGCTAGGAAACAGCTGAACAGGTTGGACGAACTTGGATGCAAATTGTATTCTGGTTATGAAATTGAATTTAGAATGGTGAATAAGGAAACACTGGAACCAGTATTTGATGGCGAAGAAGCTTACTGCCAAAGGACACTGAACAAGTACGCCAACATTTTACTTCATTTTGACAAAAACTTCAGAAGATCCAACATCGATGTAGAACGTTACCACCCGGAGTTTGGTCCTGGGATGTTTGAAGCAGTGACCAGACCCAAATATGGCATAGAGTGCCCGGATATGGCGTTAAACCTGAAACAAGGTCTCATGGAAATGTCAGATTCGAAAAATGTTACTGTCACGTTCATGTCAAAGCCGGACAATGAGAAAACACCCACTGGAATTGGAGCTCATTTTAATTTTTCTCTCTGGAACAAATCTGGAGACAGCCTTTTCTATGATGCTGTCGCTCCTGATAATCTATCTCTTATTGCCAAACAGTGGATTGCTGGCATTATGAAGCACAGTAGAGCCCTGTGCGCTTTTACCAGTCCCACCGTTAACTGCTACAGGCGACTTCATCAGCCGTACTTCCCGTCAACAGTAACCTGGGGTATAGAAGATCGTGGAGCATGTTTCCGAATCAAGAACGACGGTCCGTCGAGTACATACATCGAGAACAGACTGCCTAGCGGAAAAAGCAACCCTTACCTCATCGTGGCGTCAACCATTGCCGCTGGACTCGACGGTGTGATGAACGAACTGGAGTGTCCACCCCCGGGGCAGAGGGAGAACGCCGAGACCCTCCCCAACTCTCTGTCTGAAGCTCTGGTGGAATTGGAACAGGACGAGGCATTGGTGGATGCCCTGGGCAGCGAGCTGGTCACGTGGTTCGTGAAATGCAAAAGGGTCGGGGAGATTGCCAAGTATAAAGACTTAACGACTGACGAGGAACGATTCGCCTTGGAAAAAGAGGTGTATTTTCTGTGACGTGATGTCGTTAAAATTTTGAGGAAAGTTCAAATCATTTATAGTTTTAGTTGGGAAAATAGTGAAACAACATGGTTTATTTTAAGACGTGTATATTTGATATTGGTTCAGTCAGCAAAAATTCAGTCACCTTTGTGTCTTCGACATTAGACTTTTCTATGCTGAATTTAATATTTGGCTCGACATAACTACTTTATTATGACAAATTCATATGTGTGTCTTTCGATTTTAGAATTTTTGTATCAGTGTAACGGGCAAGGTAAAATCTCGCTTTAATTCAACTACTTTACCATGTGCAAACGATCAACCAACGCAGCTTCGAGGACAGGCTCTCTTATTATTGCTCACTACATATAACATTTGTTACTACTTGAAAACTAAATGACAAATAAACATTCGTTTTCATATCATCAGTTGACTGTCTCTGCAGCAAGCATTATACAGTCTGGACCGAACAGAGCATCCAATGATACAACATTATCACCCGTGAAGATCTGGATTAGAATTGATCTTCAGCAACCCATGCTTGTCGTAAGGCGACTAACGGGATGATTGGGTGGTCAGGCTCGCTGAATTGTTTGGCACATCGCATCCCAATTGCGTAGTCCTATGCTCATGCTGTTGATCACTGAATTGTCTGGTCTAGACTTGAATATGTATAGACCGCCATCAGACTGGATATTGCTGAATGCAACAAACAAACAAACAAACAAACAAACAAACAAACAAATATTTTGCACTGATCCATTAAATGAATCTGAATAAGGCATCTCAGCTGTTTTCTTGATTTCAATTCTTGTGGATGGATTACGTGAATATACTCTTGTATGTTGACATCATTGGAGGCACTTGGGCTTGTAATGCAAAAAACTGGCATCAAGGTATATACTGTCACTGACGGGGTCATAACACTTTATCAATTTATAGGTTGAATATCTTGGCAATCAGTTTTTTTATATTAACTAAAGTAATATAAATGTGAAGAGGATATGGATAGACAACCTCTTTATTGCAACAGATGCGACGTTTCGGTGTAGATCCTAGCACCGTTATCAAGCAAGGCATACTGCATGCTGCTGATCACTGGATTGTCTGGCCAGGACTCGATAAATTACAGGTCGTCGCAATATAGCTGGAATATTGCCATGTGTGGCTTTAAACAAGTAACCAACCAACCAACTAACGTTAGCATTATGTCCAATGGCAGAAAACATATCACCTCTGTGCCACGAAGGGCTGTTTCTTCCGGAGCTTTTTTGTTAGGAAAGGAGTGGTGGGGTAGCCTAGTGGTTAAAGCCTTCGCTCGTCACGCCGAAAACCCAGGTTCGATTCCCCACATTGGTATTATAAACCGAAAGAACCACCTTTTATCAAACAGTTCATATATATGATTTGTTTGAGTGGCATTCCAGAAGCTGGTGGTATGGAGATGACAAAACTGTATGGATGATCAACTTGTTTATTCATGCTTGGAAACCGAAACGTCGCCATTGTGAAAACAAAGAAGTTGATCATCCATAAAGCTTTGTCGTCTCTAACTTCATACACATATGGGTCGGTGGTGTAGCCTAGTGGTTAAAGCGTTCGCGTTCACGCTGAAGAGCTGAAGAGCCGGGTTCAATTACGCTCGAGTGTAGGTGCAATGTGTGAAGCTGATTTCGGGTGTCCCACACTGTGATATTGCTGGAATATTGGCAAAAGCGGCGTAAAACTAAACTCACTCACCATTGTGTCACATGGATTGTATACTTTCTTCTTCTTTTCATGGTTGCAGTAAACGTTTAAAAATGGTTTGATAATTTCATAATTTAACGATGAGATGAGATTGAAGACATTTGCATGTGCATGCACGTGTATGCTTGATTGTGGGTGTGAGTGGTGGACTAACGCTGAGTCCCTGAATATTATGGTGGCTGAGTAGGGCCATCGCTTTCTCGCCTTAAACTTCGGAGGCGAGAAAGAGAGAAAGCGATATCACGAGACGAGAAATAATCAGCCACCATACTAATCAGCCACCATAGAATATACTCTTGAAAAGAGTATGGTGGTAATCCGGGCTGAATTTGAAATAAATACCCATGAATACAAGATATTTTCCGAATTTTAAGGCGAGAAAGCGATGGCCCTAATCAGCCACCATATAATATACATATATATTGATAGTAACTAATAAACCCATTTAAATGGAAAAGGAGCCCCAGTGAGTTGGGAACCTAAGGAAATCTAGACTTGCTTCATTTAGGGCTGTAGCATTCCAGGGAGGGCTGGGCAGTAGGGAAAATAATGTGGTTCTGTGACTGAGAGATAGACTATGTGAGTGTTGTGTTTGCTTGCACTAGTCCGGACTAATGCCTGTTTCACAGTACAGGAACACCGAATGTCATACTGCAGTTTAACAGTCACACTTCAGCCAGACACAGAGCACTAACCATCCCTCGTGTCATCCCTTTACTACCCAGCGCCAAAGTCTGTCTCACGGTCCCTGAACCACATTATTTTCCCTACTGCCTAGCCCTCCCTGCAATGCTAAAGCCCTAAATGAAGCAAGTCTAGATTTCCTCAGGTTCTGAATCTCCTTTTCAATTTAAATGTGATTACATGTATTTGTTACCATAAAAATTATATATATTCAGAGACAAGGCGTTAGTTTATCTCATCCCGTGAGAAAACCCGGAGAGAGTTTGAATGACAACAGAGTAACAGGTTGTTAAAAATGTCTTTATGGCAGATTAGTACTACATCCTGAGATTCATGTTCACGCTTTTCTTTTTTCTTTATAGAGATCACCGAAAGCTCTGACATGACAAGTGACATTTGATCGGCGTTGTTTACTGTTAAATATCAGATAAATTAATAAATCGGGTTTTAATCAGAAGTATATTCCCGATCCTGAGATTCGAAGCAATATACTGCAAGTCAGCTCCTACCTACTCCACCATTTCGGTTATTTGGTATTCATATGTTAATCTAAATGTTATAAGCCTTGAAAAGAGTATGGTGGTAATCCGGGCTGAATTTAAAATAAATGCCCATGAATACTTGATATTTTCCAAAACAGGGAGCATAACCATTTATCGAACCCAGTAACCCCGCCAGTGAAAGAAAACTACGCTTTGAAGCGCGTAAGTCACTGAAGCGGAACTCATCACCAAGGTGAAGCAGCTTTTGTATACAAAAGTTTGATATCGCGCGCTTTTGGCATGCCGGGAAGTTAGAACCCCCTAAAGAGTACACCTGCCTCAGCCAGTCACCATACGGCGATTAACCAATAGAATTGCTTTTCATAGCGTGGCGTGGTTGCCATGGGATTATTACCTGACATTTGCCCCGGTGCGTATATATTGACCTGCAGTTGAAGTTGTGACATTAATGCAATCACTTCGAGATTAACATTGGAACCAGTTTCAACACAGCATAAAACGTAAGTGTACATATTATCTCTTCCCTTTCTGTTATGAATAGTTACACTGCTATGCTGCAAACAAAGCGTACATGCCTGAAACCTTTTAAAACCGCTTTTAGTTTTATTTGTTACGGCTTAACGGCCGTTTGGTAGCTCACTGGGAACAGCGCTCGCTCGTCACGTGGACGTCTTCTCTTGGTTCAGATCCCCACATAGGTACAATGTGTGAAGCCTTTTTGTGGTGTCCATCGCCATGATATTGCTGAAAGCGGAGTACACTCGCTCACTTACTCTTGATAATTTAAATATTTAAACACAATGAATGTTTCATTCAAGGGAATGTGGGGCGATGGGGTAGCCTAGTGGTCAAGTCGTTCGCTCTTCACGCCGACGACCCAGATTTGATTCCCCACATAGGCACAATGTGTTAAGCCCATTTCTGGTGTCCCCCGCCGTGATATTAATGGAATATTGCTAAAAGCGGTGGAATACCAAACTCACACTCAAGGGGATGTCTGCGGTTCCATCACCGCCTGGTTAGCTTCTACAAACCGAAGACAAGACGTTGTTATATACGAGCTGTACCAGTGTAAATAGTGTGTGAGTGAGTTTAGTTTTACACCGCATTCAGCAATATTCCAGCTATATGGCGGCGGTCTGTAAATAATCGAGTCTGGACCAGACAGTCCAGTGATCAACAACATGAGCATCGATCTGCGCAATTGGGAACCGATGACATGTGTCAACCAAGTCAGAGAGCCAGACCACCCGATCCCGTTAGTCGCCTGTTACGACAAGCATAGTCGCCTTTTGTGGCAAGCATGGGTTGCTGAAGACCTATTCTACCCCGGATCTTCACGGGTCACCAGTGTAAATAAGGAAGTGCTACAATGTGGACAGATATGATTGAAAGATATTCATTATATGGCTAAGCAGTGTTTGTTTATCTGCTCGTATCCGATGCTCATGCTGTTAGTCACTGGATTGTCTGGTCCAGACGAGATTATTTACACACCGCCGCCATATAGCTGGAATATCGCTGAGTACGGCGTTAAACAATAATTAAACAATGTATCTGTACAACACACGTACAACAGTAACAATATCAATGACCAAACTTAAATGATACTAACATGAAATTATTTTTTTTAGAATCATGTCTGAGAGAAAAGCCGTCATCAAGAACGCTGACATGAGCGAGGACATGCAGCAGGACGCTGTAGACTGCTCCACAGCAGCCCTTGAGAAATACAACATTGAGAAGGACATCGCTGCATACATCAAGAAGGAGTTCGACAAGAAGTACAACCCCACATGGCATTGTATTGTCGGCCGCAACTTTGGCAGCTACGTCACCCACGAGACCAAGCACTTCATCTACTTCTATCTGGGACAGGTGGCCGTTCTCCTCTTCAAATCAGGATAACCTTTGTTTCCTACGGATTGCCATGACTATAACGTCCTTCTATCGTCTGACCTCTAATAGTACGTAGTAACCATCACTTAACCAAAGAGTGGGCATTACCTTAATAAATGAAATAGTCTTAAATTGTATGGAAGAACATATACTTGAATACAATGCCCGAAACATTAAACAGATCTGGCATTAAAGACAGTCTGCGATCGTTCTGTCTCTTGGCCTTCAACAGGACGTGTTACTGGAAGTGGATGAAAGAAAATAGTTCAGGACTTTGGAACGTGACTTTCATGCACTGCACCTTATCCGTGACGTCACAAGAGCATGTACCAGTCATTGACATATTTTGTCATTTTTAGCTCAACTGCCACTGAACAATTATAATGATTTAAAGAAGGGATGCATATTAATGAATTCCACCTTTTGTATTATATATGTGGAATATTTCTGAGGCATTATATTATATGTTTTTACCTATTTATTATGTGTTGACCAATAAAAAATGCAACATCGTTGACTTTCTACTGTTCTGTGTGAAATCCAAACCTACTGTAAATCCGGGCGCTTGGGTAGCCTAGTGGTTAAAGCGTTCGCTCGTCACACCGAAAACCCGGGCTCCATTCCCCACATGGGTACAATGTGTGAAGCCCATTTCTGGTGCTTTAATATTGTTAATATTGTTGCAAGGCAGGATGATTCCGACATGACAGTGTCTGTGTTTCTAGTTTCATGCCACACTCCCGCATCCACGCCTTGTAATGTAGATAATCAGTATGGACTGGACGATCCTGTGACATGTATTGAATCACTAGGGTGCAAAATCACCAAACACATCCTTGGCAATAATAGTCGCCTCGGACGTCAAACAAATTTTGCCGTGATTTATTCGAACCCAGAATCAAAACAGTAGACATTGTTTATGAAAAATTACTAACTGAAACAGCATACACATTCATGCAAAGTTAGATTTAAATTATTTATTTTCCTCCAAACTTAACAATAGGTAAAATAGAGATTGCGATATAACAGATAAACAACATGTTTCAATATTTTCTTTCGTCATATCTTGTTAGGATATAAAATGGGTTGACATCTTGGTGTCAGCTACATGATATTTGACGTGACTGTAAACAAAAGGCTTGTTTACTTTAGAAAGATACACATCAATACTTTACAACAAACCGACACATAAAATAATCATCAGCGAACATTCATAAGCATCTGAGATCAAAGACGCATCAAAGGATCACATATAGGAAGAAATGATAAAGGTGCAAGGTTCTGATAATTTATTACCCATATGAGAAGGAAGACACAGAGAGAATCTCACCCAAGTGTCTACTGATATCATTTATATCAACACGAGTTGATAAAGTTACAAATATCCGAGGCTTGCCGAGGATATTTTTACCTTTATCAATGAGTGTTTCATTAGTTTTCAATGAAAATCTCTCAACACTGTACTACCATTAGACTTGCAGTGCAGCGATGTCAGAGCATTGTGACGTCATCAAGTTGATGATGTCATAGCATTGTCAGGGCATTGTAAAAAATCTACTGTCAAAACGATATCTCCTAGGAGATATCATACGATCTTACACAAGCGATATCTCCAGTGGAACACAGTTTTGGATGATAAAGGATATTATTATATAGGTAGTATTTTTCCTGTACCACGATTGGTCAAAATACCGTCACATGATTGACTACAAAACACGATATTGACTTGAGTTTTCTGATAAATTACGATATTGACTTGGGTTACTAAAAATAGACAAGGAATCCCGTACGAAGGGGCTTCCCCCGCTTTTCAGCCAATCGGATCACTTGGGTAGATGGCCCAGCGTGTGCATTAAAAGTTTATGTTCCTCGCAAGCTCGGTCGATATTGTTTTACTCAGGTCAATAAAAACCGATATCAACCTCTACAAGAGTCTATAATTGTATAATATTTTCCTGTAAGTCCCTATGGAGGTTACACCTTTTGTTGAACGTTGATTGGCTGCTTCAGAAAATAAACGATGACATTAGTTAAAAACAATAATTACAGGATAAATATTCAGTTTTGTTTATTTATAAGTACATAACTGTAAAGTCTTGGAAATAACAGTTGTAGAAAACACAATGTGAAGCCTAAGAACGTCAACGTTATTGGTGACGTCACACATTGTGAGGTCACGAACCATTCTGAGGACCCAGAACCATAAGTAGTTGTGGGTGCTGATCAGAATGTGTAGGCCCTATATTTTAGCTACAATTATAAGTAATTCCCGGCAAAGAAAAATTATGACAACTAACAAACTGGGTTAAAGAGTTTAATTTAGAAATTTGAACAAGAAATTACTGAATGATATTTTCTAAAAAATAATACTCTTCCACGAGCCAGATGAGATTTGACTACCAAATTTAGGGGCAAACAGTCACTATGATTTTCATATAGCTTAAGGCTTGATGTGGGAAGACAGCCCCGACTGATACAATCCTTGGGCCAGCATTCGAAATTAACGTCGGTCCTTAGGCCCGAAGCCGACTGAAAACCACTCGGAACCACAGCTTTTGTTTTATGTAGGTCCTTATGCCGACAGCTCTTCATCCCCAATAACTAATAGTCCTTGAGCCAGACCTTAAAAATATTGATTTGACTACCAAACTGAGGGGCAAACAGTCACTATGATTTTAAGGTATGTACTCTATGAAATCGCGTGATGAACACCTCCCGTGCCCAGCTAAATAGGTTTTTGGTGGCCATTTTTAAAGATGGCCTCCATTTTCTTGAAACGGACCATCTGTCTACAAAAACAATGCTAAAGCTAAAGCTATAAGCATTAGACATAGAAATGTGGGTGAAATATGTTCAGAATTCAATTTCCCACATTTGGATATGTAATTTGTGGGGGTTCAGCATGATTAGGTTTTACAAATTGGGAAAAATGTATGAAAAAATAGGATTTTCCCCCCCAAAATGCAGATATTTTGTTATATTCTCGGGAAAATAATGATCACTAAGAGGAGAACTTACATAAGTTAGAAAGCCTATGTCTCTAAGTATACATTTGTTTCCATTTAATATTCAAATCTAAATTAAAATGGACTTTTAATCAGGTTTATAACGCAGGTCCCATTTTTAACTAAATGGCGGCCGTTCGCCAAAAATGGACTATCACCCCCTGAAAACAATGACCCAGTCCAAATTGTAAGCTTGAAGAAGGTTATGTTAGAGTAAAATGAGTTCAGTATTGAATTTCACACTTTTTTATATCTAATTGCAAGGATTTGTACATCATTGCATATATTTATATTTGAAAAACTGTTAAAAAGATAGACATAAGATTAACTTTCTTGGACATACAGAATATATTTCTGTAGGTTACAGATTCTGTACATTCAAACAATATGGTTCTGTCTTAAGGTTTAAATGTTAAGGGTTAAATTTTTTCAATTGATTGTGCGTCCTTCCAAATACGGCCTAGTGGTTAAAGTGTTGGCTTGTTACACCAAAGGCCCTGGTTCAATTTCACATATGGGTACAATGTGTGAAGCCCATTTCTAAAGTACTGTCGGAAATAGAAAAGAGCTGTTTTTAGGCTGTTACTCTGTATCCCTAAAATTTACACAACTGCAAATAGCAAATGTCGAAATAACCCACTTCGGCCTAACTTAGCATTCATTGGGATGCGTAATAGAATATCCAGAAAATCATGTTTACTCGTAAAATCGGGCAAAACTTAGAAAAAATACGAATAGCTGCTGGAAACAATAGATAAGACTATAGATGGCAATTAGGTCGCTCAGCCAGGTATGACGACGGGCCGTCGACTCACCTGGCATGAAATGCACGTGTTGCCTACAGGTACAAGGGGTCATCTCAAAGATATTTTGTGCCTTTTCATGTGTGTTGACTATGCCTCATCTATTGATTAACACCTGTCTTTCTTTCATGAAGTGTATGTTGAGATATGTAAAAGAGTATGATACCTGATAACCATAGAAACGCATCGTATTGAATGTATTAGGTGGCATGACCACCCGATCGCAAAGATCGACAGGACTGGATATTGTTTGTAAATTGTTATGACATGCCGTGTACTTCCCCAGTATAATTGCCCTAAAGGATTATCTTATCTTAGCTGATATCTCTATCCCAAAGCCCGACCCCAAAGATCGTCTGCGACACCCGTCCAGGTTTTGCTTTTGAGACAAACCCTCCTATCTGTTTCTTTTTATAGTGGCAGTGAGACTCCATGGTAGCTACATCCTTAATAGTTTCAGCATGAAAATTATTATTTTTTACGCCAGCTATCGTTTATAATGAAGATACGTCTAATTTCAAATTGGGCATTTAAAAAGTGTCCTTTGTAATACAATATCGTCGCACACTAATTTGCATAAAGCCATGGTCTGTTCCAAATAAATCGCTTTGGACTTAGAAAAAACCCGCATTGTTCATTTCTGCACTAATCTCTCCTCAGTAAAGTCCTTTTTCTACGTTTCTTATGTCCCTACCACTGAGACTTGTAATTAGGCCGAACTTAGTTTAACAGATATTTCGCACTTGCACATATCAACTACATAAATTGTAGAGATAAATGAGAAAATACAGTTTTTTTTCTATTTCCGATAGTCCTTTAGTGTTCCACGCCCGGCTATATAAGTGGTGTAAAGCATACTCCTTCACTCACTCCTACGAAATACCTTTCTCTAAATACCACATATTCACAAAATCTCAACAAGTGGTATCGTTGAAAGAGATGTTGATATGTAGATATTGAATTACTTCATGAGTCGTGAGGTTTACAATGTAATAAGCCTTACACAATAATTTTAAGGATTCTTCGCTGATTGCCATGGGTGGTTATTGACTATCATCATGATCATCGTCGTCATCATCATCATTGTTGTCGTCACCATCATCATTGTTGTCATCATCATCATCGTCGTCGTCATCATCATCATTGTTGTCGTCACCATCATCATTGTTGTCATCATCATCATCATGATCATCATCGTCATCATCATCATTGTTGTCGTCACCATCATCATTGTTGTCATCATCATCATCATCGTCGTCGTCATCATCATTGTTTTCGTCATCATCATCATTGTTGTCATCATCATTGTCGTCGTCATCATCATCATTGTTGTCGTCATCATCATCATTGTTGTCGTCACCATCATCATTGTTGTCATCATCATCAGAGTTGTCATCATCATCATTGTTGTCGTCATCATCATCATTGTTGTCGTCACCATCATCATTGTTGTCATCATCATCATCATTGTTGTCGTCATCATCATCAGAGTTGTCATCATCATCAGTGTTGTCAACATCATCAGTGTTGTCATCATTATCATCATTGTCGTCATTATCATCATTGTTGTCGTCATCATCATCATTGTTGTCGTCACATCATCATTGTTGTCATCATCATCGTCGTCGTCACCATCATCATTGTTGTCGTCATCATCATCATTGTTGTCGTCACCATCATCATTGTCATCATCATCATCATCATTGT